TTACCTTATTAAATGATATCTTTGTCGTGGGTAATAAAAGATTAACCAAAAACATTAGGTAATTAGCAATAAAAAAGAAGAGAGAGTTCTAACTAGCAGTATGCGAGATAAAGAAGTTAAGATCTGTAAAAGCGACAATAAGAGAAACTGTGATCATTTATATTTAATAAACACATTTCATGTTTCATTAGAATAAATGTTTCTTTTTAAATAAGCTTACCAAATATACATCTTTATCAATAAAAAAAATTGTAGTTACCACCTATCATTGAAAGAATTAGTCCCTTTAAACACTCGCCGACTGACGCTAAAATTAACAATGCTACGATGTGTCTTCTGAAAGTTTACAGTAAATCATACATACGCTTTAATGCATCTCATTTGTGATATACACTCAATTTAAGTCTACTAGATGCTGAGCACAAGTCACAAACAAATCTAATAATAACAAATGGATTATTACCGTACTCGTGAGAAAGATCTCGTTGCTGTCTCGGTCTATAGTTTCCCACCTGTTTGGGCCCTCAGATCTATAGGGTTTATTGGGTACGATTCAGTTGACAAGTGAAAATGACGCAACAATTTCACACTGCGAACATGTAAATAATCACTGATAATAGATACTTAAAATAATATATATTATAGTATTTATTTACGTAATATCAATTATAAATCAATAAAAATTACTAACGCTTATAGTTTCAAAATAGCAAAGCATTGTAAACAAGACAAGTGTCTACTTAAATAACTAAACCACTCACTAATCAAAATAAATAATATTCAATCTAGTAAGTCGTAATAATATTAGATTTTATCTAGTGCAAGTGCTTTCTTCATCAGAACCTGAACACAGCAGAACCTGTGCAGGTTTTTTAATTTCACAATAGCTGTCTGTTAGGTTGGAAGTATAATCCGACGGATTTAGCTGCCTTCGTAAATGAACCATAGTGAAGCGAGTAAAGCACCGAGCAAGTTGCCCGAGTCAAAGACTATAATTATATCTGTCTGAAATACGCAGAACTGCTCCTCAGAAATTCGGTATCGAACTGTACAATTTTATCTACCAATGTGAGGACTGCGGTCTGGTACTATAACTTTTTTTTAGAAATAAAATTATTCTTTCTATGATAATTGTTTACATGTACATTTTAAATTTAATTTCGCAAATTGTCAGGATTGTTCCATAGTCTTCTTACATATTTTACTCGTATCACAAAGGTAACATCGCAGGATTTGATTTGATCGTAAACAGATCAGGCACGTCACTTCATACCTTGACAACTATTAATCATAATCTTGGTCAAGAACCCATGCTGTTGCTGCTATTGTCTTAAGACCATGCCATAATACTTTTCTAATTATAGGTTTTATGTTTAGACTTTGTTACTTTGTAGGTTTATTATTTAGACATACACTACATCAATAATATACACTATATAAATAATATGCACTGTTGTGCATGTTAATATCATTATTAATACAACATATATTACGTACATACATATACATATATACTGTACGTAATATAATATAAAAACATAAATACATACAAGTATGTATACGAGTATTTCTAGATTTATGTAGCTTTGCATTTATGTACCTACAATTCCTAGTGAACTCCTTTGTAAGATTTAATATTTAATTGTATTTTTATTCTTTTTATATTCTATTATAATGTATATATATATTGTATCGTTGTACAATCTCATTATTTTATGTTTTCTATGTATTCCATATTAAACCCTCATTTATTTAGTGTCATTAACATTAAGAAGACCTACTGACTTCCATACGTGAGGCACAACACGGCACCCGGCACGGTCCACATACATCTACAGCAATATAATCTGTGACGCTGTTGCTTAAGCTCGTCTAGCCACAGTGGAGGAGCCGCTGCGCAATCGTTCGATCCGCAAAGGTCATGGAAGGAATTCGCGCGGTCCAGCGCTCTTGCGACATCAAATATACTGTTCCAAAGAGGTTTCACTTGGTGTTCAGTGCTCGGTGCACGGAGGGTTAAATGGTATCAGTTCATATAATGAGAAGGATTTAATAGCGCAAATGCGTCGTTGTCGCAATGACGCCGATTTTTTTATGAATTTTTATATGTTAATATTATAAAGGTACGAGAATATTATCTTATAGGTAACGGTTGTTGTTGTCATTAATACTTCGTCTGCGTAAAATTTGTACTTCGATCGAATCTTGGAAAAAAAATAGTAGATAGAAGATAATAATATTTTCTCTATACTTGGAGTCTGCACAGCATGTATATTATTTCATTCTTTCCAAAATTCTTATAGTTTAATATACTAAAATGATGAATTTTATATACCCATTTCCGATACAGATTACCATTTTCCTCCTTAAATTTTTCGAGACAAAAAGTTGCCTTAGCCAAGGTCCGACCCGTCTCTATACCGTAATTAATCAAATATAGTGCAATGATTTAAGCATAAAAAACAACAGTCATGCAAACAAACAAAATTACTTTCGCATTAATATTAACATAGATTATTGAGATTTACAAAATATTTCAACGCATTATTAAGTCCGAATATGGATTCCGCGAAAACTTTCACATGAAGTTATATGGGCGTATTTGCAATTTGTGTCAATTAGCTGGTCACCTTTTATAATCTTTCATGTAAAAGTAAGTACCTACAAAATAAGTACATTTCATTAGTGCATGGATGGGTCATGCGATAAAGACTGCCTTTTACAGAAAAGTAAGCAATAGGTAAATCAAACAGAGATAAAACAATGAACTCACTGCTTATCAATATTCTTATTTACATATTTTATCTTATCAGAAAAGGAAATAATCGGAAAACATTAAAGGAATTCGAATATTTACACAAAAACTTTTAGTGCTTAACGGTTACTGCAGTTAGAAACTTTTTTAAGTTCCTAATATAGGTTTATACATAAAACCAAAGCAGTTTTGTTGCATAGTGCATGTAGGTACTTATTACATCTAGACGTTGTGATTAGTCTTTAAAAATCTTGAAATTATTAAATAAGATTCACGAGTTTCTCTGTACAGGTGCACCGCATAAGAACCTTCATCAATAATTTAGTTCAAACGTTTATATCAACAAATGTAAGTTTAATACAATCTATATAATAATAAACATAACCCAGTAACATAATAAATCTTATAATTTATAAACTATTGTTTTCAATACATACATAATATACATGAAAATGTCCAGACCACTACAAACATAACCATGAATGCACTTTACAAAGAATCGAACCGTAGGAAAGACGGTCTCCGTGACTGGTTAAGGAGTCCTACACCAGTCATGGAGACCGTCATTATCGTCATACAATTCAATCAAAATAAATTCTAAGATTGTCACAGTCATCATTATAACATTTGACCCCGTATAAACTAGTTTCGAAGCTCATGACAATAATAATAAATGGGTAGGTAGTTTATAAAGCGTGCGTTAAGAAAGCCCTCGGCTCGTCACCTGCGCGAGGCAGCGTCGAGACGCGAGACGCGCAACGCGTGGGCTTCACCTATTGTATGCTAATACTCTCGACCGAGCACCACTGCGCTCCTCCACAATGCACACAGAAATTATTGGAAATCACACAGTATCAACGTTCAAATCTTGACTGTTCTGACTAATGGTATCACTTGTCATTTTAATACTCCAGAATACAATAATAATAAACCGGGACTATTCACATAGTCCCAAGTTAAACAAAGCCTGCGTTATGTGAACTGGACAACTCATAGCAATATTTAAATACATTCTGTAAATCCATACACCTGAAATAAATAATAATAGTAATATATATCGTAGGAAACAAACCCACGCCCATCAGAAGTAAGTCGGTGTGCTAAACCACTGCACCGCCGAGGGCCTTTAAATAATGCAATACTTACTGATCTACACCTATTATTCTAAAAGATATCTTTTTATTGCAACTTTAACACTTTAACAGATTTTTATTATATCTGTCTATATACTATATAGTGGACTACCCTGAAGCTAAATTACTGAAACATCTTTGAAGGTCTTTACTTTTACTATAGATTAAGTTGCTGTCTTGATATAGAATATAATTATTGTTAAATTATTTGTATACTTAGGCAATTTCTTTTCGAGTAACTTCATTAATAACTCGTTCTATCTATATTGCATATTAGCATAACATGAAAGATAAGAAACTGTATAACCAAATAATATATTATAAATTACATACTACTCGTACCATACTGCTTTGAATATGATTTTAGACATCACTAAATTCGTAAGCTTTATTCTAAAGCCATGAATTGCATTGTCACTTAAGATCCGTGGCCTCTTGAGATTGGCTTTTGTGATCAAAGGATTAACATAATAAATTTCTCGAGGAATTCCTTCGTCCTGTAGGTATGAACTGATTTATTATTGTATATAAGATATATACTAACTTATATTGTATCATTATTTTATTGAAACTACTGTATACTATATGATATAGATACTTTTTAATCCAAAGACACAAATACCATTTCTTTTAAAAGAATACATAAAGTGTATAGTGAAACGTACTCGTAATAAATGATACGTATTAGCAGACTACTTATTTTTCGTGTCGGAAAGTTTTAGTATATAATTTTTGCAATAAATAAAACACTAAATGAGCATGGAACTAGCTCATTAACCCAAAATTGTAATAAATCTCTATGTTGCTGCAAAATATTTCATATGTAGTGTACTACAAAATATATTTGCAGTAGTGGAATAATAGAAAGGAATTTTTAATAATGATAATTAGTAATCAAGTTAACCTTCACGCAGTTCCCCCTGGAAACCATCGTGGATTCCTGGTAAAATGTCACAATGGGCCTGTAACTGACCTGACCTCTTGTTCGTCTTATCATCCTTCACTGGTGCCGCGTCTATTATTAGTGCAGACGGAAACATTATACCATTATCATCCATTGATAAAATTATAGATATCCAGGTGGTATACTAGCAAAATTGTTCTTGTTTCAGACATCTGAGCTAGAGTCGCTGCTGTGCAAGCAGGAGGGCGCCTCGCTAGCGCCCGCCCACATGGACCTGTTCGACGGCGGCACCACGTCCCGCGAGGATGCGTTCCTCCGTCCTGCGCCTGCCCTCTGGGAGGATATCGCTTCATCAATTAGGAATATCGATCCTGAAAATGCAAACATGCTGGCTTCCCTCGGGACCACTCACGTTAAACTCGAAGCAGATGATCCACTGCTCGAAGAATGCGCTACACCGCTACTTAGTCCTTTGGAGATCAAGACGGAAAGACTGTGCGCACCGCCAACGTATGCGCATCCTCAACCCCCCCTGCATCAACCGCCACAGCAACCGGCGCCGCCGTTCGCCAAATATGGACCCAATAGACTTGTCTATATGTCTCCTTTGACACCACCCGGCTCGGACCAAGGCAGTCCAGGAAATTCCATGCAGGTATGGGTAATTTTATTTTGTGATACTATTATAAGAGGTTAACTCAAATGTGATCTGGAGTAGTGTCACAAAATACCTGAGCATATAATTTAAACATCATTTATTCCATAATAGAAGCGAATGCGAATTCTTACGAATCGATGGTACCATCTTCTGCTCAGCGATTATTTTAATTTACAATATGCATCTTGTTTACTTTTTAGCGATGTCACGACATTAACATAAAAGGACATCGAAATAAATACGATTTATGATTCAAATGGTAAGTGGGATGGTCGGCAATATGTAAGTTGTCCTGCATAAATGTAAAATGGATCAGTTTGCAGTTGTAAAATGTGTGTGGTAAAAATTTTTGATATTTAAATCACAGATTTATTGACAGAATTGTAAATAAATTAGAAGAAACAAAATACGAACTATTATTTGCAGGGTGGCCCGCGTCGAACCCCGCCGCCGCCGTACCACCCGCCACCGTTGCTCAGACCTCCCCATGTATCACATCCTGGGCCACATCCTCACCATCATACACAGGTGGGTATAAAAACTACTTTTAAAAGGATTTTTAAAGTCGTGTCAAAATGTTAGGGAAGAACTATATATTATTGTATTCTTCAATTCAATGTTCCATAAGTATTTTTATCAAATGACATACCAAAATCGTTTCACAGTTCAGGCATTTCAAAAACGACGATCTAGCTCAGTGTTTGCATTTTTGAGGCACCTACAACTCAGAAAACTAACCTGGCCATAGAACACGGCCATACGGACATGACTATGAATCATAAAAATACAGTCTGAATTTTAATTATTCATGTTAGCCTAGTTTGAACTCCTCATATTATTGATGTATTGTGTGTAACCGATTGACGAACTGACAATTATTCTTAGTATTTATGTAAGTAGGTCAATAAAAATTCGGCAGAAATTGTATTGCCTTGACTTTTTGTAATAGGAACGTAAGTTTCTTTGTTAGACGCTTTATTAGACTTATTTTTAAGATACCTACTGTCTTTCACAAGTGATACCTACTAGTATACTGGTACTTGACAACTTGAAAGTTTTGGTTGACTGCTACGAGCTTCATATATAATAGCTCCTCTTCTCGACATTTTAATTAACACTACAAAATGGCATGTAATTATTTTCACACCTACTGAAATCAGTTTTTCTATGATCTATACAGTTCAACACAATTTTATCCTGACCAACCTTCATCGACGCTATTCTTTTACGAAATATTTTACAAGACATTAACAGGAACAGTTTGTATCGAAAAAAGAAAAAAATTATACACTTTGCTGGACATCTTTTTCCATTGAACTAATCAAAAATTTAATTCTTGTGCTTTAAAGTGTTTTTAATAAGTATATCTATAATAGGTAACTAGTTAAATTGCTCTAGAACAATTTAGTTATCGTTTTAGGAATTTGTGAATTTTGCGCTTAACAAAATATTTTTTTAATACTCGTAATATTATAAACGCGGAAGTATGGATGGATAGATGGATGAATAAATGAATGTTTGTTACTCTTTTACGCAAAAATTACTGACACGGATTGTAATGAAACTTGACAATAATATAGCCTAATATAGCTCACTTCAGAACAACACATAGACTGTAATTTAAAGATATAATTGAAATTGGAGGAAATATGATAATAAGGATTAAGTGCGATGCAGACAAAGTTGCTAGGATCGCCTAGTAGATATATATCTGTTTTTTCATGCAGCCAATGGCGCAATCGATGCAAATGCACCAGCCGGCACCCGCGCCGCCACCGCCGCATCCGCTGTCGCACGCGCGACTTGGCTCGCCGCCTCAAGTCAAGTACAACCGGAGGAACAACCCAGAGCTGGAGAAACGAAGAGTTCACCACTGCGATTTTATCGGCAAGTGTTGTTTTATTTGAATTTCCATATCTAGATGTTATAAATAAATATCGGTGATTGTATCAGATACAATTTAAAGCAATTATATCTGAGAGCACTGTCTAAGGTCGGACAATTTCTCTTATATTCATAATAAATAAAAGACATTACTTATATATAGCAATTTAACAGCCAAGAACAGTGGTTCAATCTATATAAATGTAGATAATACATACACCACGAGTGCGAGTAATAGATTTATATACATTGACTAAAAACAGTAGCTGCACTTCCTAAAACTTATATATAATCAATAAATTCATGTTTTTACTTCAGGTTGCACAAAGGTGTACACGAAAAGTTCGCATCTAAAGGCGCATCAGAGAATACACACAGGTAAATATAATTGCTGAACATTTTTCAATTCATTATTCTAACTAAATTTGTAATGTTTTAGAAGCCAAAGCGAAATTTTATGAAGCATTGCGATTTCTGTTCTTATAAGTACCTAATATAATATACTTTATTAATGTAATCACTTAGGAAATATAATAATTGAAATTTCTTTTGTTTTTGTTCACACCGAAACTAAATAGGGAACTAATATTTGAATGTCCACAGGAGAGAAACCATATACTTGCCAATGGCCGGAATGTGAATGGAGATTCGCGCGCTCTGACGAGTTGACTCGCCACTACCGCAAGCATACGGGTGCTAAGCCATTCAAGTGTGCTGTATGCGAGCGATCGTTCGCGAGGTCCGACCACCTCGCGCTGCACATGAAGCGGCACCTGCCGAAGACGACCAAATGACACGCGAGGAGGGGCGGTGACCAGCCGCCCGCCTCGCACACCACTCAGGTAATACGCTTTTTACATAAATATGTAGGTGCCACAACAGAAAAAGGACTTTGTTAATACTCATAACATCGCGCAAACTGTCATGACGCACTCGTCATCCTACTGCGGCTGCGCGCCGTGCAATATTCTGCATCTGTGGCGCAATACTTTTGAGCGGGAAAAAAACTAACAACTAAATGGCTTCTGCAGACATTCTTATAACCTATTGTATTTCTGATTGCTAATTATTTTATACTCTTCTACATAACTATATTATATGTGTGCAACTTACTTTTACTTGAATATACTACTTTTATACGACAAAACCTGCATATTAATACAGCCCCTATTATCATACGCTAACAGACTTATATTTTTTTTTAATGAAATGTATTTTATCATTACGATAAGTCTAAGGTACATATATACAAAACTAGTCAAAGTAAATTTATGTGATATTTAATTTTCAGGAAGAATGCAGTGAGAGCATGTTCTTGGAGTGCGAGCTGGACTCAAATCTGATGGACACGTTGTACAGCGTGCTGTGACCGGCACGACCACGTGACGGACTACGGAACACAAGACGCGCCGAGGGGCGCGCTTGCGCACCCACAAACCTATTTATTATACTTACATTTGTAAAGGTTGCTTCCCTTCACAACAAATCTCTTATTATAATTACACAGATTTTATTTAAATATATTAAAGTGACATGATTACTAGCTAAGTGTGTGTACGATATAAAGTCTCGCACGATGTGCTACTGATTAGAATAGACAACATGAAGCAGTCGATGCACTGACAACAATGTTTACTGGATTACGTAACTATATAGTCACCGTAATCAACTAAAATTGATATTGATCTTCTTTATTGTTACATTCTATATGGATCAAATAAATAAAAAATAACGTCGTTATCGTAAACTATTAGAGGGGGTATTTTAACTTTTTACATATAGACATCATAGCCTTTTTATTCTATAGCCGTATTCTCTAACAGTTGGAAATGATATTGGCTAAGACGCAGAATATCTATTGTGTTCTATAAATAGAAACAGGGATTTTTAGTTAATCTCTCTAATTTATTTATTCGGTGTATTGTGCCTAATGCCTAAGAGACATCCATTATGACATCCACGGATGAGATGGAGAGGTGGCACATATATTCATGCTCCATCACCACTGGTTGGATACTTGGTCCATAACGACTGTTAAATTTTAAAGAAAAAAGCAAATTACAGTCCAAAATATATTTGTTAATTACTTGTAAATATTATTTGTACTCAATACATTGCAGTTAGTTATAAGTATCTTTATACCTACTCTTTTCTCAAAATGTAATTTAGTTCATATTGTTGAGAGAAACGTGGTGAACGTTTAATCAGTAATTTACCATACATTATATAAATTTTTGTATAGTTGTTACAAAGTCACAACAATAATTAAAAATATCAGCATTACCAAGGAAATCGCTTTACACTTTTGCTCAACTTATGATACGTGCAATGTTTGCTAAAACCCGTTTCAAAATTCCAGTACGCAAGGATCCTTAGAATATTTATATATATACCTATCAGATTTTATACGAATAAGAATCGTTATGAAATCTAATAAAACTATACTAAAAATTATTCCGACGTAACTTATGAGGTGAGAGTATTCAGTACTAAACTCCGGTCCCAATCTCGGAGCTTCTAGATCTCCTCCTCTTAATTATACTTCCAAACAGTCCTGGTGAAGCCGTATATCAAACTAGCATATTAATTACTTTTTAATATAAATCACAATTGTACGTTCCATAACTTGGGCTTTTTTTATTTTATAAATGTCTAGAATAAATATTTCTTGATCAATAACGTCGAATATATAATCAGATACGGTTGTACATTAAAAAAATTACTAATATTAAGCGAAGCGAGGTAAATTGCGACATTTTTGCTGTCAATACAAAACATTTGGATACATCCTATATTGAGACATGTTTACCCAACAGAAAACAATAGGTTAGAATTTTCACACTGTGAAGAATTGGATACAGATTCTAATTGATAATATATAATAATAGTAGTTTTATGTTTCACTGTGGTTTATGTTTACTTTATTTTAATAAAATATATGCTTAATACTGTAATGTCATATCATTAAAAAAAAAAGAGAAAATATGCAAATCAGTCTTTCTAAAATTTATATTTTTAAAATTAAGAATATTATAAGGAAACTGCTGTGTTTTCCGGTTGAATTAGAGTAAAGTTTTTATAAATTATAAGTACTCTAACTATAAACAAGATTTCAATTAAATCGGTTTAAAAGCGGCGTATAAATATGCCACTTTTAAACATATTAAACTAACACATACCAAAAGCTTATAATTAAAATTTATTATCTCGTAAGACATCATACCCACGCAGGTAGTAGGTATTTCACGTTACATACTGCCTGTACCTCTTATTATTTTTTAGTCAAGAAACATCTGTATTCATCTCTTTGATATTGGGTAGGCGTTCACTGAACAATTGAACTGTATGAATTGTATGTAGTTGAAATTACTAATTATATTTACAAATTGGATTTGTAAAAGAAACAGTGTATGCATTCTTGTACTGGATGTATACCAATAAAAAAAATTGCTCACCACAATAGCAATTGATGTCGGCACTTAAGCCTCGTTACATAAGCTCTAAGTATTCATTAGATATGATTAGTTAATTTATAGTAAGTTATTTAATAAGAGAGCAAGGAATATCCAAGATATTATAGAGTTATCTTCATAATATAAATATAAAATTAGTCGTAGTTAGTAGCTTAATCGTACAGGAGCGTTTTCGAATTATACGACCTGCGTTGGTTTTGTTCAGAATAAAACATACGCACAATGTACTTAGTGCTTATATTCTACATACTGGCTTACTTAAATTGCGTAATTATGAGGCATTTTCAATATAATCTATTTATTCAAACATCACAGGTCATTAAATTCGAATTCGCGGAATTTACACTTTCTAGTCTCATTTTATTACAGATTTTATTATTCCGAAATAACGCGTCACTAACAAGCTTTTGCCTATTATTATACATATTTTATACAGGCTTTCTTTTCAACTAATATGTAATTGAATACAATACTGTAGTAAATGTATATTGTAGTAATACATTAATTCTTATGAAATCTTTAGACAAGTTTAGTAAATGAAAAAAAAATATTCAGCCTTATTGCCTCCGTCCAGAGAATTTTCATAATTAATATGAAATAAATTCGAATTTACCCAGTTTACTATCAATTCGATGGGGACGTATATTTTTATCTTTTAAGCAATTGCCATAGTGTATAGTCATTAGTGTTTGTGCCCTCTGAAATGTATCCATGTGTAAATACCTAATGCTGCCTTATAATGTTTATCATATTCTAAATGCCAATTATGCCTTTGATATCGAATAATTATATCAAGTATAATTTCTTGTTAGAATTTAACTAGCTGGTTAACAAATTATAAATTTTCTATGGACTACGTTTCTGAAAATATTACTTGAAAATTCACCGAAGATGCCTACAATTAAAACTCTATTTAAGACCAGAATATTCATACATTACATTGTCCACAAAAGCCATAAATATCAAACAATATTGAAATGCTGTTTAAATAAAAAAAACTATAACATTATGATATTTTAAGGATGAACAAATAATTAACATTGTTGTTATACTATAATATATTTGCAATTATAACTTTAGCCCGTTTAGAACCAGTTTTTATATTATTATGACTAAGTATGTTTCGTTCTCATAATTATTACAATATTTCTGCCTATTCTAAATATTCGTAACTTTGTGGATATAAATAAATATATACATGACAATTAGTTTCGAGTACCTATAACGTTTATTAATTTAATCTATTTGTATGTGTATTTCCAATCTTGCCACTGTTAGTTGCATTTAGTTTTACCTACTTATCTAACAATAATTATGTGAATTAAAGCCAAACCTAATATGAGTGCTACAATTATTATGTTAATAACATTTTCTAAAGTGGTTCTGTGTTAACCCATACAAGACACACTAACATAAAATTTAAAGACTATGATACCATAGACAATCACACAGTTTAAGGGTTAACGCAGGCACAGTGCAACATTCCATCATCATCAATTAAAATAAAATATAGTGCCTAACTATGTTTATTAATCCTACAACGTTGTCAGTTTGTTATCTATTACTATCAAGTACCACGAAATACTTAGTACTTAAGTGAAATATGAATGTTAAGAATGAGATTTCATTTTGCGTCTATAGTCTTACGCAGGCTCTACGATGTTTTATAGGTATTACCTACAGATATAGTATGGTATATTGTGTGCCTAAATAGTTTATTAATCGGTGTTTATTTCTAAAATGATCGAATATCCTTTTTAGTACTAAAATAATGCCTAATAATCTAAATATATTTGCTTGTGACTATACCATAATCTAGTCTCCAATAAGAACTTGAAAAATTAAGTGAAACATTAGTTTTAACGAACTTTATTCAATTTGCCTATATAACTAAACAGTGCCTCATAACAAATTAATGTTAAAAGTGAACGCTGAAAAAAATACCTAATCGTTAGCTTTAAAGTGTCATTCAGTATCTTTCAATTCAAATAGCGTGTAGAAATAATGAGGTAGTCTACTCTTCGAGTTTCGTAAAGCGGAGTAATTGCCATAAACGTGTCTGTAGATGCCATATTTTTACATAAATAATTTAATTTAGTTATAATATAAAAAGACAGTAGTGGTAAGTTCGACTTTCTGTATAAAACCAAGTATTATACCTCACTCTTTTCTGCTCTTGCTTATTCCTTGTACTTATTGTTTCATTATTAATTTTATGATTGTTTGTAGTACCTTTGCGCGTATTGGTACTCTCTAGTACCTAGTTTAATTAATATGTTGACTAAGTCACAAGATAATTTATTACCAATGACATGTTTTTAAAATCTGTTCATATATATGTACCTACTTTTGTATAGTTAAGTGTATAAACTGGAGATATATATTTTAAAGATATAAATTAATAAATATAATGTTTTTTTATTTAATTTTAAGTGTTTCCAGAAGTGTGATTTACTAACATTTTGTTTTATTTACATATTAAATATGTTATAATTTTAAAAAATTACTCTGCTCGTATTTGTCAGTTAAATATAACATACTGGTTTTATACGTTTTAATATATAAGTACTTATTTACAAAGACGCAGTTTTATGTGTTTTACCTGAAATATCAGCAGAATAGTTACAAAATTCGATATGAAATTGGTCGATAGATTAAAAAATGACTTTTCACAAATTGTAAGTAAATATAGCCCGTCAAGTAAAGTAAATAAAAAAGAAATTTATCTATTACGGTCGGGTTATATATAGTTACCATTATCAGGTCAATTGGCTATGAGATATTTGATACCACGCAATTTTTCCATTTCGCACAAGCAAATAAAGTACGAATCATTTTGTCCATGGTTATTGCAAATCTCTAAATACTTTTTTCTAAATCACGGTGCCATAAAATCAACCAACGTATTCTCAACCAAATCGTCTTTTACCATATTATGTTCTTTATTTAATTCCTATAATCATGGGAAACGTTACACTGTAATACATTCATAATTAATATTAAGGTTTATTTAGATGAGTGTATGAAATAATTCAATATTACTTTAATACAATATAACTATTGTTACATATTAAGAAATTCTCTACAGATGAGAGGTTTTGAACAAAGTGCAAGATTATGTAGTATGAGCAAAGTTACATATCTATTCTTTCTAGAGTAAGTACCAAATATGGGTATCTTGATACTCAAAACATTAAAAAATATATGATCACTGTAAATAGATACTACTATGTCTGTAAAAACCTTGGCATAAAATATGGCTAATAATATATAGAAATTATTAATTAATGTAATCAATTTTCTTCATTCCCTTTATTTTATGTATTAATACATAAATCCGTAGCATAAAAAACATAAAATTGCACCTTGTTGTCGGAGAATACCTAACTTAACTTTATTATTATAAAAACCAAATGTATTGCCATCGATGAGTGTCTACCTATACCTACTTATGTTTTGCAAATTTCACATTTCAGAAGACATTAAATTTAGTCACATTTAGAACGACTATGTTATTTATTAGATCCCAACATTCTTAAATATATAAAAAAAATGTAATTAGATTGAAAGATTCTCAGCTAAGAGGCTAAAATGATTTCAAATATGCCACTATTTTTCTTTAATGTTATAAGAGGCAAATCTTGAGGCATATAAGACGGTAGGAGATTACCGTCGTCAATGAGCCTCGCAACACCAGGGGGGATTGCGGGTGAGTCGCCAGCCTTTTAATAAGAGGGAGTGGTGAGGAGAGAGGAAAAGGAATTAGGACAGAGACAGGTAGGGTAGAAGGATGTCTGTCTGGCACCTCAACTCACCAAATTAAACGTGATAATACGTAACTGTCAGTATTCAGAAAAGATTGACAGACAGGCTTGCACGGACCAAATACCATATTTGGTCCGTGCAAACCCATTCGTAAATCTCCACTTCTAAAATCTCCACAATCAATTAATAATTTTTCTTTGTCATCACAATAATATCACTATGCAATCTCTTTCTATTTAGGTGCCTCAAAGTAGGCACAGGACTTTAAGTATACCTACTGTATTTGAGACAGATTATTAATGTCTCAATTTAGAAGGGTATATTTGATATTCATGTGTGGAATCATTTAAAATGTCAAACTAGCACCGAAGCAACACAAACTGTAAACTCTACCAATAAGAAAACTGACGATATCGTATAAAGTAAACATACATGTTTTCATTCTTAATCTTTCTGATTATACGGATATGAAAGGAGAAACCAAAAGAACATGTATAATGCATAAATATAATGAAATAGGTGTACTATACCTACACAAAAACGTTGTAGTTATTTGCTCAGTGGTAGGTACGTGTGTAAGCGTCATTTTAGTGTAGAAGACGGTAACGACCAAGTCGCTAAATGAAAAACCGTAATATCCCTAACAGTTCACACAAACAAACATACCGTTATCACCCACTTTATATATACATGATTGACATGACCTCTCTCATTTCTGGGCTAGAGGTGTCAGCTTTTGTGGAATTTCGAACAATATGGTGCTACGTTTATAAAGTAGGTTCGACTTAGGAAAAGAGACTTCCTGAAGAATTTGACAGCAGATCAATGATGGCTCATAAAGTGTTTTTGGTTGTGATTGCTACAATTTTTATAACTATTACGGCTGTGTCTATAAACCATGAAAACAATGAAAAAGAACGGTATGGAGACCATATGGACGATAACGATATTGAAGAATATAGTGACAGAAAAGGGAAAATATGTAAGTTATAATCGTACGTTATTGTTTGAAATTATTCTATTATAAAATTGAGTCTTGCGAAACTCATGCTTTGCGAAGCTATACTATTTTACAATGATATACCTATATTATGTTTGCGTTTAAAATAAATGTATTTACAAGTCACTACATTGTATTATATTATGCATACTTAAATAGGTAAAAATTATCAAAATAAAATAAATTATTACGAAAGTACTTTAGTGTGACCTACCTATGCTGCCTACTACCTATACAAAAACTCCTGACGTCAATTTATTCGTTCTTGTATTTATATTTTAATTACTTTTACTCTTTATGTAACTATATACTAGTACACAGTTACAAACAATAGTAGCATTGGGTTATACAATATCCTAAAATGTACGATGTGAATCGAATAGATAATGATCAAGAACTTTATTTCAAAGTTACGATAATTTAAAAGAACAACACGCAAGTTTCTATCTCGTTCTTCTTATGATGAGACAGCTTTCCGAATGAGCTGTAGATTAAAAGAAGGATAACTATGACTATTCAAAAGTGCTTAAGTTTATTTGAATAAATTTTTTATTCTGTTCTGTTCGAATATAGGTAGGTACACCCATACAAAGATACAGCGTAAATCACACAAAAATAGGAATTGTGATTGAAATTAATACTTCAAACGAATAACAAATGTTTATCTGTTCAAATTGTTAACAATATCTATACTATTACCTTTACAGGAAATACTTACTTTTTGTTTCACCGTTCGGTTACAGTGTTTCCTTTCTTTAGCGTCGTACGTTTTGCGAACACTGAATGTTCCAGTACAAATGCCATGAGTGGAACGTGTTTAGCGCGGAGAGAATGCCACAACCTCAACGGTACAATCACGGGCAATTGTGCTTCTAGGAGGGGCAGATGCTGTGTTGGTATGTGCCTATATATTAACAACTTTAAGTAGGGCGATATTAGTGCATCCATTTTCAATGTATGCTGGCGGATCCTCAGGGAAGAGTATAGAATACGTCGATAAGGCCACGTGGAGTTCAGCCTAACAGGTACATAGGGGTCACTAATGCCCATTACTATTATTCCCCTACAATAACAGTTTTACCATCATAGATCTGTCTAAACTTCTACCGACAGTATCTACATCATATAATTTTCTCATTATCCGTTCGCATTCATAATCTTTTCAGAATCTGCCTAAAATTAAACTTTAGACAATCTTAGATATCATGGTTACAAAACATCTACAGCACTTTGTCGTCTCTATTGTTATTATAACGTAAGTGTTCTTTTATTAAAACGATTTGAAAATCTTTTACGAGACCAATTATTTGTAGCTATTCCGTTTTGAAATTGAAAGTTCATACTAATGTACACATTATTGTCTCTAATGGTTAAAAACGCTTATTCCCCTAAAAGATCAATTATTTAATTTTTATTTAATTACTATACTATCCGTCATCTTACCTTCAGTATCTGTTAACCCGAATACGATGTATTAAACTTTTTAGTGGCCAGAGGATGTGGCTCCACCACCAACGTAAACAACACTTACTTTACCAGCCCAGGGTACCCTGCTGCATACCCAGGGGGTGGAGCTTGCAGTATTACTGTTTACAGATGTAACAGCAATATTTGTCAGGTAAGATATTAGATGTAACTAGATAATTTTATAATGGAGTCGTGTTTATCCCATCTTAACATAACCATTTTAACTGTGTTAGCTTCGCATCGACTTCTTGGACATGGTGCTCGCTCAGCCTGATGGCGACGGTAACTGCAATACAGACTCCATAACAATAACAGGCGGGAACACAGTAGTCCCAGTTATTTGCGGGGATAACACAGGCCAAACCCTGTTTGTGGACTTCAACGGAAATACAGCGATTACTATTACCATCACTGCAAGCGCATCTACAACGTTCTCCAGAAGATGGAACATTAAACTTGTACAGCTAGGCTGTGATTGTCCCGGGATAGGTATGTATGTATATTAGGATAACATTTTTAATGGATTAGCATGGCTGGCATACGTAGATGATACAATGAGAGAAGTCAAACCGTAGACCACCATAATAAATTCACCAGTACCACGACAGTTTCCAGTGGAGATCACGTAGAAGTCGACCTGACAGAGTAAGCGCATTAGCCATAATTATGGCCACTAGTCTCAGTTACTAGGAATACTCTCACTACACTTATTAAGACGTGTGTTAACATAGATATGTAGGTCTAAACCCAAGAGACATGACAAATTATCATAGTAAAGGTTTGACCGCTAACTTGGAAAACTCAGAATATCGTTGTCTATGTACATGTGATTATTTTTTAATTGTAAACATATTTTTTAATGTTATAGGGATAGCGCGGTATAATTTGAAATTAAATAAAGCATATTATAATTTACCGCTTACTTAATACAAATAATATAATGGTATCTATTTAATACGTATCTATAGGTAAAACGCAAACCCTATACTCATTAAATATGGACCCCAAATATTCAAAAAGTCAATAATTATACATAATCAGTATAAGTTTGCCAGTACCAAACAGATATGTCCCTCATATATGTACATGTACACCTGTCCAGCTCCAAATGGGTGCTTGCAGTACTACACCGGTACTTCAGGGACAATAAATAGCTTTAATTACGGAACTGGAGCAAATACGGCCCTGAGCGCGTCCCTTGTGACCGGCACTCGACAAATGGTCAACTTGAACTATGGAATTTGCATCCGAATGGAAGCCGGTTATTGTGCCATTCAATATTCTCAGGTAAGAATTCAGCTAGAATTTACATGGATACTGCTTTGCCATTATTTGGGTCGGCGCATGTCTTCTTCCACGGGCCGCTTTCCAGCATCATATCTGAGCTTATACTTCTTTTATGCATATATGTTTCAGATAGTCCATAAATCATTTCATCACTTCTTCCTTTACATACATTTACAATTATCACAAGTAACAGCCATATATTGATGTATCTAATCTACGTTTTCTCCATATACGTGATATGAATATATAGAGAAATAATACGTATATATAGATATAGAAATAATATCCGTATATAAAAAAAATTCTTGTTCTTGTTTCATAAACTCCAACAACATAAATATACATTGCCAATCGCATTCTTATTTTAACTTTATTTTTTGCTTTCTGAATACTATTCCACAAGCTTCAACACAAGGCAAGGTAGTACTAGATATCTTTATTACATATAGGTAGGTGTGTTATATGTAAGTGTAAAAACTAAATTACAGAGTGGCGGTGATGTTTATTCATTTACTGTATCTGGAGACGTGGAGGGCGCAGATAACACTGTCCTCGGGACTGCAATCGGTGCGTCTAACGATGGCGCTTGCACCACAGACTACGTGGTTATCCCAAACCCGACGGTGTCGTCAACAGGCCTCCCGGTAGGCACTGATCGCTTCTGTGGCCTCGGATTTGTCCCCGTACAGAGTAAGTAATTTTCTATTATTAAATATTTTATAAATGTGATTCTGTTTTACTGCGAGACGGTTGAACTCATTTTCATGAAATCTGGTTGTAAGCTGCGTATCGCCTTTAATACAAACCGTTACCAGACATTGTCTGCTTTAGATAATTTTCTTTTTTCTTTTTTTTTTCTCTTGTGGTACGGCATTCACCCCGATTTTAGGGTATTTCGCCAAAAACAAAACGGGGAAACGTCATTAATTTATATCTAGCAACAAAAATTTTGTAGAATAGGGATAAGGATTAGGTTAGGAAATTTCTGTCAGATAATATATTTAAAATCGAAAGTTATTAAAACTGTTTCTTTTTAATGTTATTGGAATGTCAAACATGCTGACGACCTACTTGACGGTAAGTGGTGACCATCGCCTATATCTAGATATATATGTACACGAACAACACTACGGACATCACGTGACACCCATATAATGTGACACCCGTTATACCACTCATGCGTTGCCATTCCAAAGGACTATTTGTCCTGTCATCCCTCTTATCCTGTAATTTCGTTGTCAAATCTGCACTCTACAACTGAAACACAGTTTACAAAGTTTTTTCTCAGGTCCGTTTAAAAATTGCTAATGTAATATAAAATATGCAATTCATTGTTTACAGCTGCTGCCAAACCATTCGTACTTTACGTGGTAACGAACGGTGATGAAGGAGCAACAGCCACAACGTCGCCTGACATCGCAAACAGGGGCTTCTCTCTTTCATATTCAGAAATCGCCTGTTAAACTTTCGCTGGCACTATTATATTTAGGACGGTACTATCATTCTAGATATTTATTGATAAACTGTTATTAATATTAACAAATATACGTGTTATAGTATTTGTGATGTAATAATTACCAAAATTTGAAAACATTGACAATCACACAAAGACATATTATTTCCTATATATTAATAATATTTCTTTTTAAATGTATGTGTAACAAATCATTTGAAAGGGAGACATTAATTTACTTAAGCTATCAAATTTAAAATCACTGTTATTGTTTCTTTTTCGAATTTGTATCATCATCATCATCATTGCCTTGCCTTTATCCCATTATTTGGGGTCGGCGCAGTATGTCATTTTCTTCCACTGATCTCTATCAGTCGTCATATCTAAACATACTCTTCTTTTATTCATATCATCTTTCACACAATCCATCCATCTTTTCTTAGGGCGTCCCCTCCCTTTATATCCATCCACATTCATATTATACACTTTCCATAAGACATGGTCCTCATTCCTCCGCATAACATGCCCATACCATTCTTTTTCGAATTTGTATATTGTACCAATTTTTTCTAACATAATAAATATTTAATATCGGTATTATTCAAGTGTTTATTTTACCTCTACCATAATTTAAAACAATTGAATATAGTCAATATATTCATCATAAAGGTATATTGGATAATGAAGAGACATTATTGTAGTGAAAATAATACTAACTTTCCACCTACATCACTAATTATGTTTGTAACCAACGTGAAAAAGGTCTAATCCACCAATACAATCAATCGAATTTGGTAAAGCTTAGTCTTGTATAAGTTGGCGAAATATTGAATAAACCATATAATAATCGATCAGATTCCAAATATTGACCGACTTCGAATGTATTGTGAAATAAATAAATTGGGATAAAAAAATAGATAATCATATTTGATAAACTATATTATTTCAACAACAAGATAATCACACTTTGAAATAACACTCTAATAAATCTTTGAACTACAAGGAAAATATTTAATAATTTTTTTAATCTTCGCAACATGAGTGATGAATACTTAGAATAAATCACAAAACAATACAACATAGACCGCAGGGATGCCTGCAGGCCTACAAAGGCTACGACTAAAGGCAACACACGCATAACTCATCTCTGAAGGCACGATATTAAAAAAATACTATTTGAGGATAATAATTCATATAAATATTTAAATAATAACAAAGTTTCACTGGTAATTATCCTATACAACTTGTAACAGTCAATATGAATGGAATGATCCTGTCTGAAGGCTCTAAAAACTATGGGATACAGCTTTGAAACCAAATAAAATGTTAAAACGCTTTACATTTTCTAATATACATTAATACGTAAATTTTTTATATACCCAGATATTGAGTATTATATTTGTGTTATTTATTCCCTGTAACATATACCCATAAATCAAAATAATAATCTAATTACTGTGTGAAGCTGGGGCAAACTAATCGTTAATATTAAATACAATTATGCATGAACTGTGGCTGCAACTACCTTGCCCATTTTCCTGCCTATAGTATGCTTTATATCGTCGTACCATTTACCTATGTCGGTGTGATTTCTTAAATCCTGAAAAGCTTGACATCCTTCTATGCTACTCAATACACCGTAAACACTAATATCCGCTAAATTCGGTTGCTCGCCACCTAGGAACCGCGAGCCTTTCTTCTTAACTGCATCAGTCCATTCATTGGCAGCATCATACAATGATTGCCGGACGTCATCTTTGATATTATGCCTGCAAAATAGCAATTTATACATTAATTAAATAATTAGACAATATACAATTTACTAATACAACAAGTTTAACAAAAATATTATTGGTATAGTAGTTATTGGCATAATCATACTGTTAAAAATGTAGGGGTTCCGTTTTATTCAGTTTGTTCAGTCTGTTGTCAATTTTTTTTTTTTATCATTATTACATAGTATAAAACAAAGTCGCTGTCGCTGCCTGTCCCTATGTATGCTTAAATCTTTAAAACTACGCAAAGGATTTTTTTTCAAGAAGATATTTTATATATATGGTACATGTACACCCGTGCGAAGCCGGGGTGAGTAGCTAGTAGATAATAATGGAATGGTGCACCCGCCTGCCGTAACGGTTTACGATGGCAGGGCACCAGAGGAGGATGAGAAGATGAACATGAGGTCATGTTAGTTAGCCCATCATGACAAATTTTCAATGAATTTTAGCAATGGTTTTCCCGGTTATATAAGGATTACAGAGATAAATATTTACCTATACTAGTACATTATTAGTGATAATGTTTTTAGTAAAAAATAATACTCGTAACATATTATAAACAAGTATACAAATATGAAGGAATAGCGATCTCATTAAAGTATCCGGAGGATGTAGAAAAATTATTTTTAACAGAGACATTCGTCATTCATCTTGAACACTATCAGAGGTCATCGAGTACATAAAACGCGGCTGCACCTACTGATAGCGTCTGCAACGCTTTGTTGAATAATATGTTTTAGTTATTTGTTGCAAATATATCTTTACACACAAGCGACTGGTACTGTGCTAGCGGCTGAGCGTACCCTTTCCGACTAACCGTGAATAATTAATGTGCCTGCGACCTAGTTCGTACGTACATTCGTAGAAGTCATCCATTGATTGCAATCAATGGCAAGTCATTTATTAGTATACTAGATTATCCGCAACTTCGTTGGCGACACATTTTCCTCGTTTGTGCAACATTTTTCGTTACAGTTCAACTCCTATTGGTCGTAGTATGATATTATATGGCCCATGACTAAAAGAATTTTCAAATTCTGTTGACTACCACCTCAAATTTTACCTCTATAATATTAGTATAAATGAATAAATAAAGTTATAATGTCCTGAATATAATCGTTAAATTAATAATTACTTCACCCTTTATTTTTTTCATTGCTGTATTTAAGGCATATTTTTGCCTTCTCAAAAGTTTATGATTTTAATAAATAGCAGCGACCCGTCCCGGCTTCATTACAAATGTTAGAATTTCTCGGCTTGTTCTATACTACAACACACTTGCATTATTATACATATAAACCTTCCTCTTGAATTAGTCAAGTATTTTTAAAAACTGCATTAAACTCCGTTCAGTAATTTAAAAGGTATGAGCAAAGAGATAGCGGCAGCAACTTTGGTTTATACTATGTACAGATAAATATGTTGTCTATTAATTACCTAGCCTTTAGTCTCTTAGCTATGATCCACATAGCTGTAGCTCCACCATACACCATTACTGCACATTCCCAGCTAGGGAACGATTGTCTCCAGCCACCTGCCTCCTCGAACCACTTGAATGTCTCGAGAGCTTCACTAGCAGTACGGTATACATTTGGTGACAGTGTGTGAACAAGCACCCGATCAGCCCACTGACGCCATTCACGTTCTTCACTACAATTTAATAAATGTATTCATATTACATTTCTCCGAAACCGAAATGTCTTACACAGAGTATGTTAGTTGTGGTTGAACATGACACCATATTCTGCATCTAAATATATATAAGGCATAAGTATTCAAAATTTTTAACAAATTTCAATAAAAACAAATTAAGCATAGTTCATTAATTCATAATTTAAGAGCTGTGCTCTAGTCTGTGGAGCTCCCACTATTTTCCACGATCTAGTAGTCTTTTTACAGCTAAAAAGACTGCTAGAAGATCGTGGAAAATGGCTATGAAAATGATACGACACGACAGTCTAAGATTGTTAAATAAATATGCCACATGTACACAAACAGAAGAAATATGGACAAGTCCAAGTAGATCATTCTCTATTGTACAACTAAGTTGGAGGATAGTAACAGGGACTAGTGGTCCCATTGCTAGCTCTGTTCCTTGTCAAGGTTGGTCTCTGGAAGCCTTCGTCGTTAAATCCTCAACATCACCAGAACTTAACGTATATTGTGACAATAAAACAATAAATAATAAAGGCTATCTATTTCTTTTTTGTTAATACTTACTTCTCAGCCGCTTTTTCACGTTCATCGGGCACAGTAGTGTTGTGCATAATAAAGTACTTGTTGGTAATGTCTGTTGTGTTTTTCCCAGCATCATTGAGGTACGTAGTAACCGGATAAAATTTGGCTACTTCTCGTAATTGAGACGACTTATCCTGTAAATACGTCTCCAGCACAGAAATTATAGCCGTACTGTCTAATAATTGCTGAAACAATTATTTATTTCAATTATAATAAAGACCAACATTTTATATTGCTAATTTTCAAATTGACTGTTTTACATACAATGGTTAATACTTTGTTAAACTCACTTAGGTATAAAATGAAAATAACCAGTAAAGTGAAAGAAGGATTTCCTTCACTTTCAAAAACCCTTCCTAAATACAAAAACTGCTTAAATTTCACGACTAAAGGTGCTAATAAAATTATTTTTCGATATACCTTGACCTTTAAAACAACCCAATTTTTAATCCAGTATCCAGTATAAGCTAACATAGAACAACAATGGAAACACACCTGATACCCGCCATCCACCTTTGCCAACACAATGGGCACTTTTTTGTAAGTTGACCATTTAATATCTTGCCGAAGGACAGCATCGACTTCAACAATATCATAACTGATACCCCGAGAGTCAAGATATGCGCGAACTTTGCAACAAAATGGACATGTTCTATATTGGAAAAGGACCAATTGTAGATTACTGGTGTCAGCGTCGTTTATTATCTGTAACAAACATTATATCTTATAAGACTATACAACATTAGACAATATGAATATATTCATAGAGAAAGCGGTTCAAAATAAAAAAAAATATATTGAACTGAAGTGATATGCATTTCAGTTACTCATACAAGTTGTTTTTTTTTTGTTCATTTTTCTTCCCTACCTGTTCATTACATACATATGTATCTACTAATGTATTATATTGTATTTTATTTGATATTTTCTGTTTTTATAATATAGATAAATAATGCATTAATCAGTACAATTATAATAAGAAAAATCAAATCACATAGTAAATTAGACATACAAATTCACCATACAACTTTAAGGGACATATATTTTAGAGCACTTGTACTTTGACTTGTACTTTATATAAAATAGACTTTTAAAAGCCTTATTTGTTACAACAAACAACTTTAATAAAACAAGGTTAAGTTAAAGTATTAGTAATAACCAAACATCCATATTAAATCATGAACATTCAAAAATTCAATGGTAACTAGCCAGACAGACATATAATATAAATAGTCTGAGCACATACATATTTTTATCACAATACATTACTAAATAAGAGAGACATTAAAATAGAATTATACATAATTAACATGAACTCTTATAAATCTTGATATTAACTTATAATAAAAAATATATTCTTAATATAGCAATTTACCACACAGCAAATAGCCATGAAAATAATACAATTTAAGTCATATAACGCATAATGGAGCTTTTTATACCAGTTCAGTCAATTAAGCTATGACAGTCGCAAATAGTAAATCAGTCAATACCATATTCATATCTCCTTAATATTGCAATTTACCGCACAGCAAATCGCCGTGAAAAGCATATAATTTAAGTCGTATAACGCAGGAAGGAGCTTTTTATATCAATCCAGTCAATTAAACTATGTCAGTCGCGAAAAGTAAATCAGTCAATAATATATGTCTCTTTAATATTGCAATTTACCGCTCAGCAAATCGCCATGAAAACCATACAATGTAGGTCGTATAACTCATGAAGGAGCTTTTTATACCAGTCCAGACGATTTAGCTATATTAGTCAGGAAGAGGAAATCAGTCAATAATTTAATATTGCAATTTACCGCTCAGCAAATCGCCATGAAAACCATACAATATAGGTCGTATAACGCATGAAGTAGCTTTTTATACCAGTCCAGTGAATTAAGCTATGTCTGTCGCGAAGAGGAAATCAGTCAATAACTTTTTATTGCAATTTACCGCACAGCAAATCGCCTTGAAAAGTATAGAATGTAGGTCGTATAACGCATAAAGGAGCTTTTTATACCAGTCTAGTCAATCAAGCTGTCAGTCTTGAAGAAAAAATTAGGAGTAAGAACTAGTATTATATAAATACCCGCACAGCTGTAATCTCAGATGGAGTAACTGATATTGTTGCTGTGAAAGCATCATGGGTTGTGACCACGTTTTGGCAAATACGCCAGGCAACGAATGAGACTACCAGCACCTCTAATTAATTTGTTATTGTCTCTAATAAGTATGAATCTTTTACATATTGTTAATCGCAATTTTTTTTTAATGCTGTCAAATTTTATTGCAATGTGAAGTTTTTAAAGCAGATGGGAAACTACAATGATTTATAGAAGTATACCTAAATCAGTATTTTTAATAATTTGTAATAAATTACATTAGGTCACTAATGTAAAGTAATTTATTACAAACTACTATATTATGTTAGACTGTTATGCAAGCACACTGTAGATATAATTTTAAAGATAGAAAATGCATCTTCGCAGATCCTACAAGAAGTGAATAACAAGAATTAATTATTTCATATTCACTAACAAATACTTCAATAAATGGCATCTCTTATCTTGGAATTATTAAGAAAAAAGGAGTGTGTAGTATTAGGATAACAGTGTACCACTTCTCAAAATATCATTGTAATAATAATGTGAGAGAACATGAAATACATCCTTGTAGTGAGTGATAACAACCAGAGCAAATAAAATGTTTGCAACATTGTAATCAATATTATAGGTACTACTAATCAGTTGCAAGAATTATATAAATCAAACTTCATAAATTATATTCCTTATCTTCCAATTTGCTCCACTTAATGGGATTGCACTGATAAAATAAGGTTTTAATTTTATAATATAATAATAATAATTATACAACAAATTTATGGACACAACCTTTATTTACATTTTTGTAGAATAGTACTATACTATACAACAATAACAATATTTTAAATCGGGAAGATGGTTATAGGCAACTTATTCTGGAATGCAGTAAATGTTTGATTAAACAACAATCATTACTGCAAAATGTCTTACATGTACTTATAAAGTAATATAGTGTCAAGATGAGTATAGAATGAATTGCTGTGCTACCAACAAACCAGCATATGTGAAAGAAAACTATTATTTCTGCCAATAATCTACTTTTTATTTGCTGTTCAGTTTAACCATGATCATGGATGTTGCAACATTGCTCAAGTATCAGGAATTGAATACGATAATAATGAAACATGGTAAGATCCCATAATTATTTAACATTACATAAGACATCTTTAGGTTAAAACTAGATAGAAAACTTTTAGATTCATAAGTACAACTGTTTGTATTGCTCTGTGTGTTTTCTATATGTATGAAATGTATTTAAGTATAACTATCATTTATATATTTATTATAGGTTTATTATTATTATTATTATATCTCTATTTTTAGATATTACTTTTCGTTACCTCAGCTCAGGCCATCGTAATATCGATCCCCATTTGAATTGGACAGGGGATCGATCGGAGGGCGCCCGAGGGCGCCGGTGTGGAGCGCAAGGATGCGCAATATTGTGTGTTTGAGGTCGTCGTCTTCGCCGGCGAGGACAGAGTCGTGTGTGTGTAAAAGTGTGGTTGGGGTGGAACGGGTGGGGCCGTGAAGAGGTTTCCTGCCGTTATGGGGTCGTCGGGGTCAATGAGAACGTGCCTCGGGCGACGTTGTCGCGTATGTCGGATATTACTCCTCGGTGCATAGTCAACCGCACTGACTATAAACGGGTTAGGGTGGAATTGGGCAGAGTCAAAGAAGCTATATGATAGTATTGTATATATATAGTGTTAATATCAAGATTTATAAGTACTTACATGTTGTCAGATATATTTAACACATATTTTTACTTTTGTCTGTAGTGGACATATTAACACCATATTATATGTTGTCAATACTTACTTTCGGATTAAGCATGACATAAGGAATTTAGCAGTAATAATTACAAGGGAACAGATGTGATTAGTAAAATTAAATTTATATAGTTTGCCACTTGACAAGCTTGCCAAAAGTGGATTAATTAAAAACATTGATATTAAATTGAAAATTCTTACCTTATAATGAGGTTTGTAGAGTGGTGCTGTTTTCAAAAATGGATACTCTTCATTGTCTACTGGTGCCAAACTCTTCTTAGCATTTATTTTATAATGTGTATAACCTCCATAACCCGCTCCAACGAGAATTCCAACACTGGCGCTTACAACTGTTAACTTCACAGTTGACCTTGGTACACGACTCTTAGATGAATAAAACAATTTAGCATTTGCTTTTATAGATGGAATAATTACTTTACGAAGTATTGTGAAGGTTGAATGCCACATTTTATTTCGACATTAGTAAAATGTATTAACCATATAATAATAGAGTGTTCGCTCCCGGTCTTCTCGAATCAAATTGTCTATAGAAAGTTGAAATTAATTCACGATAATAATAAACTATTAATAAACAATAATAAGTAATTAATGAAATGTTATGATGAAATTAATAACTATATTTTATTTTTTGGTTAACTTTTACTACCTGGAAACTTATATATATATATATATATATATATATTATGAAACAGAATATAGACTAATACCGACATATAGATGACAATCGGATACTAGGAATACGAAAAAAATTTTACGAATCTAAGTATGAAATTTCTTCCGGGTACAGATAAAAAACTTGATCACGGTGTCCCCTACGCCAGGTAAGTATTAGATAAAAAACTAAAATTACTTGTATTCTGTGCAATTTAAAAAAATACAAGGACATTAGGTATTCATATACACATACATATATATTTGTTGACTTTGACCGTTTAAAAAATATTGTGTGCCAATATTTTTTATACGGCCAAAATCAACAAATATACATATATGTTTTTAAAAAAGCATTATTTTACAACAATGTTCAATGTGGTAGTTTTTACTGTATTTTTAACAGAAAAGTTTTGACTGACATATAAATATAAGAAAGCTTATAAATACATGCGTTAAAAAAACATGTAATATTAAGATCTATAGTTTTTTACATCCAAATCAAAAAGATTTTGCATCACGCGTTTGCATAATAAAATTGTGAACCCATAACAAACTTCTCTTTAAATATTATAAATTAACAATAATAAATCGTTTTGGTTCTGATTGGATTTCTTAGACCACCTTATGAATTTATTATAGACAGGAAATGAGAAGGACTCATAGAATCAAACTTTCTCAAGAAATGGTGGTTCTGTTCACTGTTCAGTGGTGTAATTGCAGAAAATATAGGTAATTATTACAAACACCTATGTTACCTAAAAACATTTCTTTCTCAAACTATATAGAGACATGCAAATAATTGTAGTTTAACTACTATTTGATTAGTTATAGAATTTCTATACTTACTCTATGGTGTGTTGTGTATTCTGTGGTTTGGTTATATTATTATTGATGACGTCATACAATACTTCAATAACAATAATCAATATTATCGCGAGGTATCATCTATCGCTTATTGACAACACAGAAAGAATAGATACAATGAAAAAACGATTGCAGTCCTTGACAGATAGTTGGCACTTATTGGCACGCTGAATATTGTACATGAAAATCATGTATTAGTAGTGAAAAAATATACTAAATAATAACAATAATAATAAATATGTGTCTTCATTATTATTGTTGTTATAATTATAATTTTGGTTGGTAAACCAACTGTCTTTTTCTTCCGATTTTTAAACCTGGCATTATCGATACATTTCATTAGAATCTGAACTGACAAACTTTTCAGAGAATAGAAGTTCTATTGTACTTCTGTACTACATAGATAGGGGGGGAAGGGGTTATTAGTAATGTGGACTCATGACCTATTTACTAGCAATGTACCATGTCAAGTTGACCTCCACGCGGTTCCCCCTGGAAACCATCGTGATAAATTCCTCGTGAATTTGTCACCACGGGCTAACTAACCTGACCTCATGCTCATCTTATCATCCTCCACTGGTGCCCCGCCAGCGTAAACTGTTAGCGCAGGCGGGTGCACAATTCCATTATCATCCACATAAAAAAAATCGATGAACAAAACTATCGATATTGTTATCGTTAGTGAGCTACGTTTCTTTACACAGTTAGACACCTTTGTGACTGACACTGGTTCAGCGCGGTTTCGTATCTGTAGAAAGACGCGTGTAAGCTTCGTAAAAAGAATTAGTGCGAGTGTAACATTAATTACACTCGCTGTATACACAATAGTAAAGAAACTGTACAGTTTGGCCAAGAAACGAAATTGCAACGACCTGTAGAGCCTTAGGGACTAATTTGACATACACACACTACATACACATTATATGTACATGCACAATTCAATTTTCCAGTTCCAATTTGTTTGTCTAATTCTCTATAAATACTAGCAGTATAGCTGTTATGTTACTATTATTGACTTAGTTACCGACAGACACAGTACATACCTACTACCAATAATCAATAGTACCTATCTTAATTACTTTGTTTACTAGATCTGTGGTGAGCAGACAATATTTAAGTGAAGTGTATTCTGTGGAGTAGTTTAGTCTATGGCTTATTGAAGCTAGGTATTTTCTTGAAATGTTACAATTTGTTGGAATTTGTGAAAATATATTACTCTAAATTTGTCTCCAAGGCTTGTGGTGCTAACAGCAAACGGAACCTTTTAGTGCGGTAATACAAACTTGTTTGTCATTTCAAGAAAGGTAAATATCTACTCGCGTCATTGTATTAACTATTGGCGCGTTAATAGGTCCGTACGCTTTTTCTTATGCGTTTTGGTGCGTGGCGTCAAATAGTATATTTTATTATTAGGGGAGTGGTTATGCCAGAAGGATGCCGTCGTCGTCGCGGTCGAGGGGCTCCGGGCGCGGGCCGGACGGCGCGCCACGGGCCCAAGTCATAGCGCCCATGTCGGAGCGGCAACAGCTGGCTCTAGTGATGCAAATATCATCACAAGATGTTCCTCCAGGTCAGTCTCTATTTCTTTATAGCATAATTCTATTTACAATTGCAGTTATATTGACCTGTCGCCATCTTCCTCCTTAGCCGCTCCGACACCAGCAGAAGAGAGGAAGCGCACTAGACAACAGCGTAACGAGCGAGGTGAGACTCCCCTTCATGTGGCAGCTATCAAAGGGGATCATGATCAAGTAAAAAAGCTTCTCGACCAGGGTCAAAATCCAGATGTTCCAGATTTTGCTGGTAAGTATTTTATAGGTATAGTTATTGTAAATTACTCTTGTTTAAAATGCCCGTTTATAGTTATTTTGTGACTATGCACAGATATCATAATGCAGTTATAAAGGTAAACCATATTTCAGACAGCAATGACTTATCCTTGTTTAAAGTGTGTATATCACATTTAGAACATTCAAGTATGTAATGTTGTTTATGATAAAATGTTCACTAGTTGTGTGGCCTGTTGATGTGATGTTAGGTATGCCCAGTTAAGCATGTATTTTAATTCTGCACATATTCTGTGTAATAATGTGTGTTTTATATGTACAATTTTAGCTATGTGGTTTTATTTTATTTTCAACAATATCTTTAGTAGATTTATTTAAATTTAAATATATGTATAATTGCACCTATTCCAAAATATGGTACTTCAGGTATTAGTACTTAAAAATACCATAAAAACTAACACCTTTTTTTTTTTAAAGAAAAATGTAAAATACATTTTTAACTATATAAAATTACAATTTGTTATAAAATAATTGTTTTCATGGCTCACAAAAACCACTTACTCTCTCCGATCTATTGCCATCATATTAAGAGAGAGAACAAACCCAACAGCACACACATACACAGGTATATTTTTACAAGAACAAAGGAAATGTCTTGATGCCGATGCTGCTATTGTGTTATTTAGTGTAAAAGGGTTGATCAACTATTTTATGCAATATCTTAATTTGTATCTAACTTTAAAAAATTCAATCAGATCTTTTATATGTTAGTTATTTTTTAATGTATGTCATGTGAAATATCATAATAAATAATTCTCTTTATAACAAGAAAAATATTTGTTATCTATTGGCTGCTTGTTACCTAAATCAATTTTTCCTTTATATGTTACCAAGTAAACATTTTTAAACAAATCTTAAAATTCTATCTAACAACCAGTAATATTCCATGAAGTGTAATGCTTCCTTGATATACATATTTCAATAATAGAATTTATCTGTGAATATGAAAGTCTGATACGCATGACATAAAATAATTGATTGGCCCCAATACATGTTACTGGTCAGTTGCGAGTTGAGGGTTACATATGATTAATATTGGTCAATGATAAATTGGCTACTAGTTAACTACAATGTAATAGGAACTGGCTATAGCTATAATAAGTGAATATAGATATAGTTTTAACTCTTTCAGCTGTAAATATACTTAACAATAATAATACTCAGTGTAATTTCATATGCATGTGTTAGTATGAATAATAATTAATGAGTATTAATAATGTAATAATATTACATAAATTGTCCCTTAATTTTTAACTTCAAGTGTTGTTTTTTTTAATGTTATTAAAACAATTATCAAGTGCCACTAATAGACCTTGCATGCAGCCCAATTAATTAGTTTGGGATAGAATATTATTTATTTTCTATAGTATTGGTAAATATAGGACTTCAGTATATTATGATAATTATATTTAGAGTTAATTTCTATTAACTAATATTAGTGTATCTAAGTACATAATTATTGGTATTGGTGGATGATGAGATAAGGATTTTATTTACTATAACTATCCTGGCAAAAAAGTTATTTAAAATTTTATTTCAAGTATTCCTTGACTTATCAAAGGTTTTCGCCTTGTTTCCCTAGTTGTCACATACAGCAGATTAGAAATAAAATTCACATTGTCTCCATCATATGGAGCATTATAACATTATGCCCATGAATTGACACTGATTTAAGGATAGCATCGAGATGAATTCCTGTGTTGTGTGCCATATAGTTTACACTTGGGATGTAATTGCGCAATAGCATTATTTGTACTTTTTTTCAAACAACGTACTTTTTTACTTTCTCCCTTATTAGATATTATTAATACATGCATTAACATAAATAATTTTATAATAAAAAACTATTTATCTCTCCCAACACGTTAACTAGGTTTCACTAACAATAATAATGAGCTGACTGGTGCTATCAAGTTGAAATGGTCATGCCATAAAAATGTTTATAAATATTTTAAATAGATCTCTTAAATATTAGACTTTCTCAATATTAATGTTCTTTGTAACTACTATAATAATATATCAAATTATTGAGTACTTTATAATGCGCTCAAATCTACATATGCACAATTTTTTAATTACCAGTACTATAACATTTTTTGTTGAATAATAGGAGTATGTAATTTTGGTTAGTTTTTCGATATGGCTTTGTATAAATATCGCTAATTTGTGGTTGTGGCGGTGGCGGTTATTAAAAAAATATATTTGTGTATCATTGTCATTGACGTCTGTCATTTGGGGTTAATGATTAAAAAAATAGTTTAAATATATTATTTATTTATAATATTACTTTTGTAATATCCTTCTACCTACCTATCTGCATTCCATATTATCTATTACAATGTCAAGTTTTTATATTCCTTGAAGCGCAACAGTTGCTTTGTTCCCCTTGGTGACTTTTACAATATGCTGGGGGATGAAAGGAGTGGTGGCATAATTATATATTGTTACTTAATAATATTATTAGGATTTAGTATTTATAGTTTATGAAAAAAATTACAAGTAGTAAAAAGTATAATCATTATTACATAGTATAAAACAAAGTCCCTATATATGCTTAAATCTTTTAAACTACGCAACGGATTTTGAAATGTTTTTTTAATAGGTAGAGTGATTCAAGAGGAAGGTTTATATGTATAATACTTGTACAGCCGGGCGAAGCCGGTGCGAGAAGCTAGTTTAATAATAAATTAATATCATTGTAAAGGCAAATTTGAGATAGTTTCATAAACAGTTAGTGTTTATTGGGGTTTCTTAATTATGTTATTGCATTTTGAAAAAAGAAATTACAGTATAAATATAATATTTAAATACATGTTCTTTAATAAGTGAACACTATCACAAAAAAATTAGATGTCTAAACATATATTTTGATGATAACTCTCTATATTTAATAATATATAAAATATAATTAAATATAGAGAATATAATATAATGAATATAGATTGCAAACATGAATATACTAATATATAGACTACTAATGCTGGCAAAATAAACTATTAGTAGTTTAAATATTCCTTAACCTTATTAAAGATGAATGAAATGTTTATTTCCTTATAACAGGTTCCGCAATGGGAGCAGATTTTTTAAAGTAGATCTATGAATTTTGTTAAAATTACAAACTTTTGTTAAATATTATATCTGTGTATTTTAGACTTAACAAATGTAAAATGTCAATATTTATTTCTACAAAGTCTCTGATACAGTTACAGTATTTAAAGGCATATATATATATATAATATGAAGATATAATTCTAACGACTTAGTCGTTTTAGAGACATTATAAAAACAATTTTTAACAAAATATAAATTAAATATACGCATTGTTTAGGATAGTTACCTTTTATACCCCACAATAATCACTGCTATTTAAACCGATCTGATTTTTAAAGGTAATAACATCTTTATCTTTTTTTTACTAAATATATGACTGTATACAGGGTATTATAATAGACAAATAAAATAAACGTGTTTAAAATATATTTCGGTGTCCTAGTTAGACTCGTATTACAATCATTGATTTTCTTGAAATACTAAAAAACAGATTTCGACTGTAACTTTTTTAAATATGTCCATATTCTTAATAATTTATAGTACTCACTATTATTAATTCGAACGTGTTTTTATATGTCTTAGACCTTTACAGGATTAAATGGTTGAATACGTCTTTATGAAATTTGACTTTAAAGTATAGACAGGCTATTTTTATTATAAAAAAAATGGGAAGTTGTAGGTAACTGTTAGTGTAATATGAGTATAATACATTGTACTTTTTGTGATCTCCTTTTAACTATTTTATTGCTTATTTACTCATAATAATCGGATAAAGGCCCGTTATAAAATACGAACCGACAGTGCGCGACCCTGTCTACCACTTGACCTATTTAATAAGTCTTTTCAGAGCTCAGTGGCCAAATGGATGTCTTTTAGTCCTCAAGTTTATTTGCCTGTCTATGAGACGCGCTTTATAAACGAAATGCTCTAAGGCATCATTGAAATGTATAGAAAATGTAGTCTATATTGAAATAGTAACATTAGATATAGATACAAACCACATTTCATATAGATACCCTAATGATTAACTGGAGCTTAGAAATTATAGTTACTTTAGCATAAGTTAATAGTATTAAATCATAAATACATATATTTTAACATTATTGTACTTCTTTAAGATTTATTTTGCTCATTACGTATTGTATGCTTTTTAACAAGTAATGATAGAAACTTAGTCTGTGTGTATTATGGTCGACATCAATTACGAGGCCGATCCTAAGAATTTATTATAGATGTGTGTATCTATAAAAAACCTTAGGATGGACCCCACTTCATGAGGCGTGCAGCTACGGTTGGCACCCTGTCGTTATAGTACTCGTTAATGGGGGAGCCAACGTCAATGCGAAGGGTTTGGACGACGATACTCCGCTGCACGACGCCGCCACCTCTGGAAACCTTAAAATGGTGAAATTCCTCATTGAACATGGGGCTGATCCAATGGTCAAGAATAAAAAAGGAAAAATGCCGTCAGATTACGCAGCACCACACATCTATGAATATTTGGAGACACTTAAAGGTATGTTGTACTTTACCGCAATACGGGAATAATTATGCAGGCTGTTCAACGACTTCACTAGCCTTACATTGTTGATTATGTAATTTAGTTTTAATGATGTCGCCAATATATATATATATATAGATATATATTAAGAGACCACTTAGGTGATCTACTTGTACTTTAAAAGATCTCTATGAATGTCATGAATATATAAGTTGCTTACTTTTAAGCCAATACTACTGAACCAATTTACTACTGAAGTAGTTGTCTATATTTACATAATAGTGGAGCTTTGACAAATTTAAGATAAAAGGTAACATTTAGTTGGGAATACAGTTCACAATATGAAAACGTCTTGTCATATATGAAGGAGGTGAACAATTATTATGTGTTACTATTATAGTAGTAGGTATTAATATCAACAAGTCGCCCGTAAATTACTATGTTATAGTCATTTACCACACCTGCCGGACAGTTCGCTCATCCGTAGTTTATTAAATTTATTAATTTTAATAGAAGACATTTATATAATTAACTATAGATTTGTATCACTAATTGTTTAAAATCATCACACTAGATAACCATAACAATATCATATTTCGACACACACTACTAAATAAATACACGTTGTTTCATCATTCATATCCATTTTACATGTATGTTATTACAGTATTTATTAAGGTATTTATTATAAGAACTACAATCATTAAGAAGTAAGTTAATGGAAATAGTCATAGTTTTAGAGTTCAAACAGTAGAGAAATTAATGTATTCATTATTCTATGGAGGAACAAATGGAAATTTGTATCATAGACGAATTCTATTTATATTTAAAGTTGCACATACTTTTCTGACTTTAGTTTTGGTACCGCACAATGACATTCTATTGTTTTTGTCAGCCCCAAAACAAGTCTATAAAATCTCTGTTGCACTTCCGTACACTAAGATTGTTGAATAAATCTAGTAGATACAACTTATGATTTTATTCTAAGCTAATACACATTACTGGTATATAAAATTATTAAAAAATTCGTAATATGTATTTATTGCGTTTATGAATAGCATATTTTAGATTTACGGATATTTTATGTAGTTAATCTTTTGCATATCACCCAGCACGGTCAGCCGTATGTATGCCATCTATATGAATATGATCAGGAGGCTCCCTCTAGTCACATAGGATGTTGAAGTTTGCCCTAAACCTTCAACTGTAATAATGTATTGTTTTATTTGACTTATGACCATGGCTTACAATTTCATATGTGAATATTTTATCGTTTTATACTTTACACTACTGTTCAGTACAATAACACTTGACGTTTAATTTCTTTTATTTACTTTTTATTCATGTTACTTTAGCGTTATAATTTGTATTTATTTATATTATTTGTGTAGTTTTCGGTTTTTGTAGTGGAAGGAATATCGAAGCGATTATATTATTATATATTAAGGCACACATTAAAATGATATCCATGCATAGTATCTCTATATAATTTCTGATAACAGTGTATTGTGTTAATTAAATAAATAAAATAAACACGTTATGATGTCGTCTAGAGGGCGCCATATTGAAATTAATGTGACGTCACATGATCTATACTCAGCGTAGAATTCTTTTGTTTAGTAATATGGTGTAAGTTAGAGAATAATTTTAAACTCAATACCTGGTTGTTCATTATACCTACTTCAAATCGCTTTCAACCAATACCTAACGGAGAAAATCATAACCATTTTTATTTCTCTGTAGTCGAGTAAGAAACAACACGAGTATACGGATTTTATAACCATAATAGAACTTACAGAAATATATATCGTAAAATGTTGTGTAACTTACAACATACATAAATATATTATAATGTAAAAACTTGACGTTCATAAGCGGCTAAAATGTCCTACATGAATAAATGATTTTTGAATTTGAATTTGAATTAAATTAAGGTCGCTCGCAATGGAAGTAGTAAAAAAACTTAATGCTTAAAAATTATAACAAATTTAACTTGAATCAAAACTACCAAGATAAAATATCATTATCAATCGATGCATCGTAAATTTTCTCCAGAAAAAAAGGACATTTGACAATCCTTCGAGACAATACTATTGATCTTTGTGTGAAACGGAACGTATAATTGTGTTTTGTGCTCTGCGTACTGTGAACAACGTGCGAGAGTGAGCGTCTGTTTACAGCGTTGCCAACACAACCACAACGTGTTGCCGCATGTGCCGTTCCATTCCTTTATTTTTAATGGATCATGCGAAATGTATTTCTACTTTAATATATAAAACCACTTTTATTTACACTACTACAGTGCATTATTTAAATTTAGTTACAGTTATTTTGTACATACCTTATTTAATAAATATTTTAAAAATAGTTTGACGCATAATAACTTTTAACAATAATGAAACGGCATAGGTTGTAACGAAACGGCATAGGGTGTGTTGCCGTCTGTCGATTACTGTCGAATGATAGATGATGGCTGCTCCACCCTAACGCCAACTTCGTTACGGTCTTACGGGCCGAATAGCGTAATTTTGTTGTGAAAAATATCTTCAACGCTGGCTAAAAAAAGCAATATAGTGTCCCACGACGTGAAATGCAAAGGAGGGCGCTCTCCCACAATAAAGGCGAGTTAAATAGTAAACCTATACTTTTTATTTTTAATAGTCATAAAAATTTCTCTGAATGCCGCACACTTTTCACGTCCCTTGTCTAAAGCTAATAATGACCTACCTGACGTGACAATGTGATTATTTAGACCGTGGAATTAAACTGAATAGCTTCGTTAGTATAATTTAATTACAAGAATTTAATATGCTTATGAATATGTGTACAATTTTAATTACATTTGTATTGCCAAAAAGTAATTACGATAGATATCCCACTACTATGAACTATATATATTTTTATATGTGTCGGAACTACAGCTGATTCTAATGAATCCATATAGATTATGCACGTATTTTATTTTAATACAAAATGTTTATTCTAATTAACTATTACAGTTATAATGATGTAATTACTTTGTTTCTGATGGATATATTTAGAATTCATTCAGTCCTAACCTCCATAAATTCAGTTTATTATAACCAATAACATAACCATTTTACAGGTATATATTGTTTTAAATTTTAGTCTCAAATTACTTTTATAGCTGTTCACAAAGGAAATGTTGACTTAAATTATACCTCCAACATCTCTATTTTTAGATTCCCTAATTACATGCCAGGAATCATTATCATTACAAAAACTGACAATTGAAATTATTAGTGATTTATTTAATTCATTATTTGTTCCACATAAGAAAGATACATATGGAAAGGAAGTGATACTGGTGTTTGTGAAAATGAAAACAATGTACATTTTACAGCCATTTACATTTTTCTTTCTTTTTAAAATGTGCATTCAGAAATAATATTAATTTGTGACATATATGTGTCTATATGTTATACAAGTTGTATATAAAATACATAATAACATTTTAACTGTTTCTAGGTCTAGTGTGTGGTGGTGTGTTATATTGGTGACAGTATATAATATTGATATAGTGTCATCATAAGAATGCACTAGCATCCGACCACTAGGCATGCGTCTTTCCTCATAAGAAAAGATAAATATTCCACAATACTTCATTAGGTCTGTAATTTATTACTATGATGTTTTCTAATACTGCTGAAATATAATAATTTCAACTCATTGTGGAACAATGCTCTAAGTGCAATTTTGTATTCACTAACTGTTTACTTTTTGTATTCATGTTTTCACTTATGGATAAAAGTAATTCTGTATAAATAATTGTTATTTAGTGTGATTCACAATAGTTGTTATGCTATAAATGTTGTTATTTGCCTTTTTTTGCCATACATAATTCATGGAGTTGCATAGCTTCATGATATTATAATTTGCTTTATGTTATAATAAGATGTCATGTTAAGCTTTCTTCTTCCTATGAACTTGAATACACATCAACTTTCTTCAAGAAATGTGTTGTATTTGTATTTATAATTTCTTGGTAGTTATACCGTTTAGTTTGATCACTTGTTTACATGTTAATTATATTGGAAATCAAGTAAACATTATTTCAATCTAGAATATTTATTACGTGTGTAAGATTGTCACTATTCAAATGAAATGTGAGACATGATTTTTGTAGATTGAATAACTTTTCCTTGAATTTGACAATTTTTTATACTGGAAAAGGCAAACAAACTGAGAGTCCACCTGGTGGAAATCAGTATCTGTTTCCAGTCAAAACAGTGATTATTTTGCCTTGTATTTATGATTTTATATAATTATTTATTGCTCACATACACAGGTAACAAATGGTAAAGAAACTTTATGTTGGAGAACACATTTAGTCATACAACTGTAAACAGTCTCTTACCGACAATTTAAATATATGTTAGCACTGATGTATCTATGTTTATTTTAAAGGATTTGGTATGCTAGTTACACTACCGGCTACAGAGATATATTACACTAGTCCTCATGAATGACACATAATGTGGGGCACCACTAGCATCACAGCTTATCATATGATGTCTGTAACCTGTTCATGTCTGTAGACAACAGACCACTTTCTGTTATGATAAATGGTATGTCAAAATTGTAGGAATGGGTTGGCCATAAAGTTTGTAATATTAGTTCAAATAAATTAAAATAAAAAACAATACAATACACCAGGTGGTTAGGTTTTTAAACCGTAACGTTTAGGTAATGCAAAATTATATCATTTGAGTCTAAAATATAAAAAAAACTCTGTTATCACTGTCACACGTATGAGAAAAATAATGTATTAGTCCCTCATTTTAGTGAACCATTTTTTTAAAAGAATTATCATAATAACATTATCGTTGAGCGATCATCAGATTTTTTGCCTTTTCAAAAAAACAAATATATCTAGTAAATTTGTTACTGTTCCAACAAACTTAGTTATTCTAAGTAAAATACCTACCTTTATGTAATCACAGATAATAACGTTAGATCGTCACACGTCAGTCGCACAAGGGATGACAGCTCCAAGAAGGGTTGCAATGCTAGTGGTAACAGCGATTCTAGTAAACGAAGCAACATGGATGGCCTAGCGCAGGCTGATTTTGAAGGCAAGGAAGCCATTTCGCAGGAGAAGGGGGGTACCACAGATAGGGATGGTAAGAATTTTATTAATGTTCTAAATTATTGCTAAAATACTGAAATGAAAACATGTTCAGTATAGTTCATAATACTAAGAATGGGTTTTATTAATTATGCAGTTCACATCTTTAAAGCTGCTATTTACAAAATATCAAAACAGTGTATATATTAAATAAATACAGAGTACCTGTTCTCTCTAGACCCCTTTCCCTTCTATTGGGATGCCTGACGTCCAAAAGATGATCTATTCATATACATACATTAAAAAATAGATAATTTAAAATCTTTATTTTGGGAAAATATTAATAAAATTCTAAAAAAAAGTATATATAAATATTTTAACGGTAACTATCTGATGGCCTACATACAAATGTGACTTATGACATTTGTATACCCACATGAACAGCGCCACGGACATCATATGTTATGCTTCCAATTTATTATATGTATGTATATGTAATTTCTCACCCTTGAACAGAAACACAACTTACAAACCAAGTATCTTGACAGCTGAAATATCATCCACCAAGATATCTTGGTACAGTCTACCTCGGTAAAATGTAATATACTAACATTGTCAACTGTGTTAGATGGCGCCCAACTTAGCAGTGGCGTGGTGTCGTCCACGCAAGATGAATCTAGCAGTAGCACAAAGAGGCCATATACAGAAGAATCGCAAGAAAGTGAAACGGTTGATGATGATGTATCCAAAAGAAAAAAACGGAAAGAGAACGAAGAAAAGGAGCCAATGGCAAAACCAGCTCCTGTAGCGCGAGGTGGACCCGGACGGTGAGTGTAAAAATTAATTATTAATTTAATTAAATATTTTTTGCAATAACTATCTTTCATTCTTATTTCTATTTCTAACATTTTGTGATATAAGCATATAACATATAATAATATTGTTTTCAGAGTTCTTACTGGTAGTAAGCCTCCGGGTCCAGCTAGCAAAACAGGGGCAACTCCACTGGGTAAAAGCAGTGGACAAAACAAAGGAGGTAATTCCTCCGGAAAAAGTGGACAACAGGCGCAGGGGAAAGGGAGCGGCGCGGGATCAAAAAACAACTCGCAGGGTTCTCACCAGGTAAAAACAATTATTTTTTACCTGTTTATTTTGAAATCTGATTTGGTGGCATCTGGAGACTGTCACTGAACATTTTAGTACAAGTACTATTAAAGTCATATAAAGGTGTAATCTAAACTATGTAATCTATCTAGGAGACTGGGGTTTCGTTACCCTATAATGTTTTTTTTATACCGATTTGAATAATGCTGATACTAAATTTTAAATTAAGTTTATTGCCGTTGCTTGTATGACGAACGCGCTTACCATCTTGTGGATTGTAAGCTTAAAATAAAATATTGTAATTTCCAAATATGATTTTTAAATAAATTTTTAAATAAAAAAAATATTCATTATGAAAATTAGTAATAATATTAATTTTAAGCATAAACACTTTTAGGTTGTATTTATAACTAATAAACATTGTAACACTTATATTATTTATTTACAACTAAGGGCAAATCGTCTGGCAGTTCAAAGGCATCTAGTTCGCAAGCAAGTAAACAGGACAGAAAAAGTCCTGTTGCTAGTCCAAAGTCTCATCCGGGGAAAGACAATGCGGATGGCGATGAAGAGTCGAAGCATGAATCAGCGGCCCCAAAAGTTCCACCTTTAAAGATTGTAATTCCTGGTGGTGCAGGTGGTTCAAGCAGCCGGAACGAACAAGAAGGAGAAGGTATTATCAAAATAATATTAACTAATATTTGGAATAAACGCACCTAAAAAGTCTGAAGCGGTATATTATATAAAGTAACATTAGTGTCATTGAGTTGCATGTGTGCAGGTGGTTCAGGAACAAGAGGCGGCGGCAAGGGGCGTGGCAGTGTATCAACATTGCCATATGTCATCCCTTGCACCAGTGCTGATACAGGGCAGACATCCGACAGCTCTGACGGCAACTCTGACGACAAGAGGGTTCCTGATACCGGAAAGGTATATGTTATTCAAATATAGTTTTTATAATCAAAACTAAATTGATAATAATTAAAACCCCTTTACTAATAAGAATGGTTTTCATAACATACCACATTTGAACCATAATCTAATTTGGCAATCTAATCTCAAATACGGTATACTATGTATGAAGCTTGTATTTTGTTAGTAAAGTGGTTAATATAACGTATACTAATTTACTAAAATTAACACATCCTATAGTTTACTCCAGATAGCCTGTAGTAGAGATTTCGTACCCTAATGTATTTACTGGATAATCGCGAAAGGTTTCATCATTTACCGACATAGCTTTCATGAAACATTATGAGTTTATTGAAGAAATATTTTTCCTCCCAAGGCTGGGCAAAGAGTCCTGCGTTCGCACAGGACAAATGATGGGGAGAAGGACAAGGAGAGGACGTCCCCTCAGACAGGGACAGATAACCGCTCCGGATCAGGACACAATCAGTCTTCTTTGCATTCCAACAAGAGCCCGTCAGCGTCGGGCTCTGTAAGTTGTTTTTTAGATTTACCATGTATTAGGGTTAGATGAAGTACCTAAGGCCCGGTCTACACGACACAGACTTGTTTATTGCATAGACAAGTCTGTTATTATACATGTATTGGAAGTAATGTATACTAATGGTAAATAAAACCAATGAATAATTAAACTTTTGGTAAAATTATATATTATTATGAGTGCCAGTGCCAGACTTGTCATGTACCTGTAGAAATTAAATAATTAACAACTAAACAATTGATTTAGGATTGTCCGATATTAACATTGTGTGTTTTTATATGAAACCAATATTGCTAATAAGTCAAAATTTTGGCAAGCTTGAAATTAGTAATCCACTGTAATGAATTGATAACAATCACATTTCTCTCCTTATTTTCTCACCATTTACTTGTTAAACTTTAAAAATAACATGGATAGATGTGTATTTCATGAAAGTTTGTGTCATGGGGACCTGCCTTCATATCTTCTTGATATTAAATTTGATGTAATTGTAACTTACTGCTGCAGAGGTATGATGGTGGCAAAAGAAATGCTCGAGTAAGTTTTTTTCAGATTTAATCAAGTGTTGCAAAATGTTATCTATGTGTTAAATGTATCTGTTAAAGCATGATTCGCTCGATAACCTTATTTTTACTATCGTCTATTTATTAGGGCTACTTTCAGGCTGTCAATTTTATTTGAAATACTGTCATATTTATTGAAAACTTATTGTTGAAGGGGCACGACGCCGACCATGGTTCAACTTCATCAGGCGGTCATAGCAGATCTGAATCAGGTAAGATATATTGTAGTTTATATAAACAACCATACTAAGTGCATTATAATAATAAGTACTTTATTTTATGTATCAGCTAGTGGTACTGTGGAACTGCATCCTCGTAAAAGGAAAATTAAAGCATCTAGAGATAGTCATTCACGAGATGCTTCAAAAAATGATACGGCGGAAACCAGCACTACTGCACATAATGTGACTCACGCGAACCCCTACCAGATGTATATTCACATACGTAAACAGGTAATAATATATACTTAATCCTTTTATCCTTATTTAAAAAAAGTATTTTTTGCTTTAATTAACTGCACATTGTGCTTAAAAGTTTATATTTGTATTATGCAACAAAAAATAAATATTCAAATGTTTTGTAGATTGATCGACGCCAGAAAGGTTTGTTCCCGGTGAAGCCAAAGCCGCCAAAGGATTTCAACAAGTATCTAATGAATAGGTGCACATATACCCTTCAGAGTAACGTTAATCCTGAGCCTCCGATAGAAATACCTATAAATTTACCACCGCAAATGATCAATGAGTTTATGACTCAGGAAAAAGAAAGGTATATTTTAAATTTTATATAATATTTTTAAACATGTTTACACTGTGTATATGTGAATTTTGAGAACTATCCTAACTCATTTTTAGAACCCGTCTACGTATTCAACATCTAGTCGAAAAGGAAAAACTTGTACTGGCGGTCGAACAAGAAATACTTCGCGTTCATGGGCGCGCCGAACGCGCTGTGGCTAATCAGGTAGTATATACGTTTACTATACGTATATTTTAAATACGGTATATTTGTACTAATAATTAAAACAAAAAAACTACATATCTGCATTGTTTGATGTGGCAGGCTCTTCCTTTTTCTGTGTGCACAATGCTGCGGGACAACGAAGTCTACAATGTATTGGCTCCAGAACAGGAGGAGAAACGCAACGCGCAGCGTTCCCGGTGTAACGGTAGACAAATTAATTCCTGGTTGCAAGAAGTTGACGACAAATGGGAAAAAATCAAAGTAATTGTTTTTTAATTGTATTATTTTAACTTTTTCTATCGACCCTGTTTATTTTAAAGTAATTACGTAAGTGAACCCCAGATGGATGTTGATATGATGGTAGGCTCGCTCCCTACGGCGTTGGATTGAAATATGCTTAGTTAAATATAGGCACGTAAAGTGTTATGATCGTATATAATATATATCTCTATATGCAGATCAAGGAATATTTATTACCATAAGTTATCTGAAAAATACCTAAACCTACAATCTAACCTCATACGGAAGCCGGTAAAAGACAAGATATCTGCATAACCAATCAAGTCAAACATTGTTATCACATTCTTCTCGCAAAACTTTTTCTTTTAACATTAACATTGTGTCTCATTAATAGGAGGGGATGCTTCGGCGTCAGCACACGGAAGCAGAAACCTTACACGCAGTACAAACGATGGGTTGGGAATGGAAGCTGAAGGAATTAGGCATATGTGATTATAAGGCGACGCCTAAAATTGATTCGACTCATGTACCACAAATACACGTGTCGAATTTTGACTTGCCCGCTTGAATTTTGAGTTCAGATTGCCTGTGTTTATGTAACGTCAGTCTAGATGGTAATTTAGGCTGACATAACTATTTTTATGTTAAGTAGGTAGTTTGTCGTTCTAATTCTCGTTATAACGCTAATTGGTAATGCGACTCAAGCGGAGCTACAAAATTGGATTTTTGAAAACAAATTCTCGATATTTGTCGAACCTTGTATGATTCTCCCGCGCCACACCTCTCGGAAACTTATGACCCTACACTAGTAGATGCTACTGTTTAATATATTATTTTATGAGTTGAAAAACGAGTCATTTGTTCTCGAGGGTGGACATTATATTAGTAAATGTAATTATTTTGACATTTCGTGAATTAATTTGTATAGTTATGATTTAATTTGTTATATATATAACTTGTAGGATAGCTTAGCTATACCGTATGACTTTCTTTACCGTTCAAAAAAGGTAAGAGTAACTCCTAAGTATATGCAGTATATTATTATAAGCGTACGCTGCATATCCTGTATGTATTCTGTCTACAATAATTATTAATAAAAAATACCGTTGGCAATATTTTGGTTTTCGATAAACAGAAATGAAATATATTAATTAATAATATTTAAACGTTGAATTCGTTTACCAACATGTAATTACAATAAAAAGAGATTTTCAGGATTCCATTAGCAATCGAATCGTCTTCACTTCACTATTATGCCATGATTTCCCGACGGTTAAAAAAGTCACCCAGTATAAGGAATAATTAATTATAGTTTTGACTTATTTTTAAGAATTTAATTTCTCGCATGTTTTATGAAGCGAACATTTCATATTGAAGCACTACTTTTCTAGATGGTATAGACGAACTAGCTACATTATTTCTAAACTAATATATTAATCATGTCGTGTTTATAAAGCAGCAGTAACTAGGGATTGGTTCTCGGCGCAATTGGTAAGAATTGTTGTTTGAAACAGATTGAACATGATAGCTCTACTTATTTATTCACTATAAATAGTTTACATAATTTATAGGATAGAAATTTAAAGTACCATATTGTTAAATTTAGTTTAATTAGAATTATAATTGATATACATCATAAATGGATTTACATATGTATGTATATGCAACAGTTCTTGATAGTTCAAAATTATAGAATTATTTCAGTCTGAAACTGTCAGACGTAAATACACGCTGTCAAAGTATCAATTCAATCTGTTTCAAATAGGCATTATATGCATTTGACATAAATAATGCTGTACTAGGTTTAAAGTATTTACTGTTTCTTACAAGCTCGCGTAAGAGATGACTATTCGCCTAATTGCTTTAAATGTATTTTTGTCATGTTTATTGGATTATAATTTAGGAGCATTCGCTACCGAAGACTCAAAATCTGCTTTACTGTCTATGTTCAAAAATAAACAATACAATGCTCTGAATTATAAAACCTGTTGCACGTAAATGTATCAGTAAAAAGTTTCATCCATATTTACATATTTTGCTTTTTTTCTTTCCAATTTTTTTTTGTAACTGTCATTTTAATATTATTGTTGATTAAATGAAACGAGTTGCATGATTAAATGTTAGAGTCGTTTTGATGTTAGACCACTTATATATAATCATTTATGTACACTGTAAATTATGTAATTGTGTTTTTAACATGAAAATTGACAGATGATGCAGACCCTACGAGACGGTAGTGAGCGCTTTTAACGAAATCCGCAATTTCATATTTATAAGTAACTAATCAAATGTTCTATATATGATTTGGTATAATATAATGAAAGAAAACAGGGATTTAATATTAGGCACACCAAGTTATGTAGTAGTACTTACAGTTTAATTAATTAAATATAACTTTTGGACATGCAGTAATAGAAATGAGCTAATCTATATACATGTAATAAAACTGTAAAGGTCGAATGTCTGTACATAGAAAAAAAACTGCCTTAATTGTTAGAAGTAAAAGAACCAGATTGTTTAAAAAAAAGCTATCTCTCTTTGTACGGGGTAATCTCCGAATCTTTTAGACCGATTTAAAATATATTTTGCATGGTAGTCCTTACATCCCCTGACAACATTATAAGGTTCTATGTTCTTGCAATATAATTGAGGTTTCGTATCTTAAAATTGTAGTAGTATCAATAAAAATTTGAATCTTGCTATTTGTTATTTAGTAATCGTGTCGGTCGAGTTCACTACGGAGGTTAAAAATGTTAAACGAAGTAATAACAAATATCACACTGTCGAAGTCGAGGGCATAAGCTAGTACTTATATAATTTAAATTTGTAATTAAAAAATAAATCATTTTACTTTACACAATGTATAATTATAATCGTACTCTATACCATTACATAATAGAATTTTATTGTCTATTCTAAAATAAATCCTGTGCCCAATTCTGTGTGGCCTATATTCGAATATTTTTAATTATTGACTTATATTTCTGTGATATTTATGATTCGCATCTGTCCTTGACTTATCATTTATATATTATATTATATCGACGATTTGGAAACTTGAATTTTAAATAATAATTACAACTTTATACCATACAATATAAATTTAAAATATAACAATTATACAATCAGAAGAAAATTTTATAGCTTTATAGCGTAATTATTGACCTCGCCTATTCTCTGTTTATTTACTATGGTGTTTGTTATGTCCAATTACATCAAAGAAAATTGATATTTATCTTATTTGTAATTTCCAAATCATCGATTTCATTTATAATGAACAATTTTGTAAATCTATATTAGTTGAGTTATGCTCTCAATTAATAATTATATGGAATTGTAACCGTTTAATTTTTATTAACTATAATATAACTTTAACCAATCACTACAGATCTCAATTAAAACTTGTTGTTTTATTTACACAGTGGTTCTCCAGAAACACGACGCTTACCTTTTAGTATACCAGCCACCTACCTACCTGAGGAAAGGGTTTGATTGTAATGGGTGTTAGTATAGTTTTGCCTAATTGTTATGCATTGCTAACACTCCATACAGGGGGGAAAGTTTGTTTGGATTGTTAATATCGTGGCTTGACCCCACTGCTAGCAATGTACAATGTCAGGTTGACGTCCACGTGGTTTCCCCTAGAAACCATCTTGAGAGATTCCTGGTAACCCCTAGAAACCCTCTTGAGAAATTCCTGGCAGATTTGCCCGATTGGTTGATTGACCTGATATTCATCCTATGATCCTCCACTAATGCCCCGCCAGCCTAAATCAAAGGAAGCCTAAAGATTCCTCTGAAAGCCATCGTGATTAAAATACGACGAATGTGCAAAGATTGATTAACTGGCTTGAGTAGAGGAAGTCTGCGTACATGAAAATCAATAGCGTGGTTTATAAATAAGCGAAGAAACAAGAAAATAAAAGCCACTTTATACTGTTTATGATCCTCAATAATTAATTCTTTATTGCACACATTTAACAAATGTATATTATTAATGCATAACTATTATTTCTACTCTTAATCCAAAGCGTTTATTTGCTCAAAACATAGAAATGTTCTATTATTTTCAACTCTGAATCACAACATACAATAAATTACATTCTTAGAAATGACTTGTAGAATTTAACATTCTTGTCTACAAAGAAATATAATTATAACATAGATAAAACTGAAAATGAACTAGTAACAAATTATCACTGTTCTGCACTCCATTTCCGCTGAGTACAGCTTTTAGTTGTTTTTTGTAAAATAAGTTAGATATATAGTGATATTAAAATATATAAAGTACACCTTTTCAAATTGCTGCGTTGGCATATGTTAAAATGATTTAAGGGATGCGCCAAACAGTACCGGCCATCTTTCTAAAATCTAATCGACTAAAATTCATCGTATAGGTTATAATAATGAAACCTACTACAATTAGGAGTGTAATATTTTTGAACAAGAGCTACTATTATTTAAAATGCATTATAAATTACATTTTTACGTCTTATGGATATGACAGTACGTTATAACAATGGTAACTTCCTGATGAAATAGCGATGCCACATGAAGGCTGTTAATCCACTAAGTGAATACCAAGTGACAATGTATGATAAATGTTCATTTCTTAAATTAACTCTAGTTTGGTTAGGAATTGGCCAGCCTGATGGGGGATCCAGCACGCCGCGAGCATCCAACCACACTGGCGAACATCCAATATGATTACCCATTTGTTCTAAATCTCTGAAAACAAAACACTATATTACATATATTATTGTATTTTAGATAAAAAAGGATAACAATTAATTGGGTACAAACATTTATAATATTCCTGAACAACTCACATAGCGTAAACTAATTCCAAGGTAAGCAAGGTGTTATGGGTATTAGAAACCTACCTGATATAAATATTTAGATACATTTATTTTGTAAATTCAAATATAATATACACAGAAAAAATCATATACATACAATAATACTCACTAATACAAATGTACCTACTGTGCGAGGAATCGAACCCGCGACCATCTGAAGTACTGGGGTGTGATATACCGTTAAACCACAGAGGCCATCAAAGTTTTTAAGTGATAGTATATTCAAGTCATCCTTTAACGATAATTGCAGTAAGTGTGATAAGTGAATTACAATAATAGACAGTTTGCCACTAAACATTAATTAATTTTTATCAAACTGAGCTACTACCGAAGTTTCCAGTTTAATTGTTTACAGTAGTAATACATTTAATGTAATTTAATAGATGTAAAATACCAGACTTCAACGACCTGGCATAAGCTGGAATATCTAAGGCTGGTTTCTCAACGAAGAATCACTTCTCACGTCATTTTACATGATCAATAAATCTGTTTATAGCCTGGAAGACCGATTGTATAATTAAAAGGAAAAAAATGTATTGTACATTTACTTTGAATAATGACAAACATTCCTCTAAATTATACTTAATTTTAATGATTAAAAAAAGTATAATAATAAAACCTAAGTTCATCACTTAGATACTAAAAAAAATATTACAAAGGCATACCTAGTGTACCAAGCATTTTTCTGTGGATTATTTTTGGGCATGAATGGTGGTCGCTTTTCAGTTAATCTTACAACACCAACGATTTCCACAGGCCCTTTGACAAATGACGAAAGCCGCTTCTCCCTGGGCTTCTGGCTTTGGGGAATCCATCCCCGATTAATTAATATTATTTCCCTAAATGATAAGACTTAAATGAGAATATATCTGAATAATAAAGATATTTAAGAAAAATTTATATCTGTATTTCTAAAAAAAATTTAACGACTAATCAAATCAAAACAAAAACAAATTAATTCCTGTAGAGTTACGAATATAAAATTTTTGATATTAATGTTTCTCCCCGCCATCCTCCATCCCATACCATTCAGTATATAAATTCTAATTCTTATTGTTTACATTGAGTACTAATGCATTTTAGAACAACAAAATCAATAATATTTTAATTAAAAATTAGAATAAGATGACAGTTTATATATGCATTACCTAATAACTCTAAAACAGTGCATGACTCTAAACTTATATTACATATGTTACATTATATAGGTTATATTTAAATTATAAAGGATATCATGATTGATCATCACTATGTATACTTTAAATAAAGATTACTTACCCATTTTCTTGTAATTTAAATGGTGTTATAACTAGCCAACCCTGGTTCTTTTTAGGGTCAGAAAGTAGTGAATTAGATGGTGAATGTGCATCATTTTCAATTAATGCCCGAGGTCCTATACAAAATTCTTTATCATGTAAAAATTCACCTTGCACCTTTACTGGCATATACTCCATTTCTTGTAATTTTTCAAAACTGTAAAACAATTGAATATTCAGTGTCCTAGAAAGATGTTAAACTAAAAGTGAGAAAATATTAGATCAGTAAATTTCAGATGACTATTATTTACAGAAGTAATGTGTAAAATTAATTTAATATCAATAATAAGACAGTCGTCAGAAGCTGTATGTATAAAATGCAAATATCTTAAATTACATAACATATTTTTTACGCAATTTCTAAATAGTTGTTGAAGCCTCCTTTTAAGCATAAAAAAGCCCATGTCAGGAGGCTCCATTCATCCATAGAATTGATACCTTGTATCAACTTTGTGTCACATTTGTGGCCTTGTGTATACAAAATGAGAGGGTTCTTAATAAGGTTGTATTTTTTATTACCCTAGAACTCCTGTAATTTATTACTTGTCAGGTTAGCATTTTATAGTTCTTTTTTAACTTTAATGTATTTAATTAACAATAATATCCATTAGCATTAGTATCGTAGACATTTGCAATCATCACAAAAAATAATTTTGTTATTTACAAAATATAAAACTATTTTATAAATAATAGAACTTACTCTAAAGGAATATTGTTTGGACTAGCATTGGTTTTTGCTTGCATAATATCTATTAGTTCTAACTTCCACCGCAAACGGTACACCTGCCAGCAACCCAAGCCCAAGGAAGTCACTGGAATCATCTGAAATGTTTTATTTTTTAATTATTGTTAAATATTAATTAATGTAATTACAAATTATACTGTAAAATAAATTAACATCAAGTTTTTATTTTTATAAAAAAAAATATTATTAGTAATTAATAAGTATAAGTATATATTGTTGTTGTTAATATAAAATTACCATTAATAATAAATGTTTGTATTTGTTTGTGTGTTAAATAAAATTAATCAATGTTCTTAGCATACCAATAGTATCCATTTCAAAACTTCAACAGACTCTTTTTTCTTTTTCAGTCTTTGAGACCTCAGCAAATTAGCTACATCGTTATTTGATTTCCTCACTTTCTGTAGAAATATATTCTTCGGACTGTTGTTACTAAAAACGTGTAGTAACCCAAAATTGTGGGTCATTTTACATAAATTCCTAAGCATAACCGACATTTTAGATAGAATGTAATTTTCAAAATTAAAATAATTTATATTAAAAAAGTAACATATAGTTTTAAATTAAATATTCATACAACAGTCATCAACAAGAAAAACATTACAGAAATACAAATGAGTGAGATAGATTCATAGACTACAGACATTACAGATATAGATATATCAGACAGGTACAGGAGTGGAGAACTTTGACAGTAATGTCATTCCGTGGATTAGTCCAAAAATATCTCAGAATGAGAACTACCATAGTATACAGATTATATATTAACTAAACTCTGTATATTTATATTTATCTCATTTTTACTTATCGAGGTACTAACGAGTTATAAGAGATCGTAGATATAAATGTCAAAAATATCAACGGCGGAATTACTTCGTTTACATTATCATGAAGTACGAAACAATTCACAGCATTGGAAAATTTCTTCTTGTTTAATATACGAAAAGTACTATCGTCTTATTTATCAACTTATTAAAATATGATCATGTAGGTATATACAAATCCTTTTTGTTCGAGTATTTTAATACGACTTATCAAGGTAACTTTTGACCCAAAAGAATCTTCCAGCTAATTTTCTTTCCTTTATAGCTCTTTGCAACTCTGCATATTGTCTTATACTGCACAGTCGCCAGTTTATGTGGTGGATAATATTGTATGTATTATTATGTAATATTATATTATCTGTGGTATTATGTTTGTATGTCGGTTCTTTATGTGCAGAAAGCTATTGCATCTACTCTATAACTATGTAAAATAAATCGATGCAAAGAAGAGTAAAATAAAATCATATATTTTTCTTATGTAAAAAAATTAACAACTCAAATTTATGCAACACTTTTTAAAGGTAAAAAAAGTGCTTTTTAAGTGGCCAGCAATATACTATGAAGTCCACTACACTGTAGCTACTTTGTCCTAAGTATGGCTATTCAAAGAGGCAATGCTGCCAGTGTCTTATGTACACAGCCTCGATGTCCCTTGCCTTGAGGTGTCGTGTTTGGATTACAATGACTGTTTTTTGACATAAAGTCTTACTTATATTTCGATTTAGTATTAAAATATGTGTTCGATTAAATTACAGGAATCATTAAACATGTTCATATAGTGTCATCATTACAAAACAGTTATGATAATTTTAACAAATGGATCAGCATGGAAACCATAACAAAATCTTAATAATGTATGATAATAGCCAAACTCTATAATTGATTATCATTAAATTAATATGAATTCGCATAGACAGCATTATTACCGCGCGGTGACCACTGACCTCACACCGCACACCACATGTATCATTTTACTAATAAACAATAAATACTCACAACGGGACGTATCTTTTATATAATCATCCCCGTTTATCATTAACATTATCATTATTATTTTATCACTATCAACCGGTTGTAGAGCTCATCCCCTACAATTGATATGTAATCTAATTGATTAGCTAGATTGACTGAGTCGTCAGGACACAACTATAAGGTTATAGAATTTTAATATATAGAATGCACCTAGTTACTTGCACCGAACGAGTCATTTTTTAAGACTTAAGTACGCTAATGTGGGCGCGTGGGCTATCCTCCTCCATTGGTAACCGATATGGTTGATTACCAATGGAGGAGGATAGTAAAATAAATCCAAGGATTACAATTAGTATTTTTTTTTAATTGATGTTCATTGAAAGCCCGCCTACGCTATATATTCTGCCATAATGCCTACTACATGTAGAGGGATGGGTTGTTAGTAATGTGGACTAATAGCTCCATTGCCAGTATTGCTCGTATTTATATTATTATATTATTACATTTCTTATGAATTTGTCACGATGCGCTAACTGACCTGACCTCGTTCTCCTCTTATTATTCTCTACTGGTGCCCCGCCAGCGCAAACCGTTAGTACCGGGAGATGCACAATTCAAATTCAAATTAAAAATATCTTTATTCATGTAGGTCTATTACAGCCTCAGTTCGGAATGATTTCCGAGATGAGAAGAACTGAAAAGAAACTCAGCACGTTTTTTTTTAATGATGTAAATATTTACAATTATACCATTTTATTTAAATTTAAATTTGGGAGAATAGAGTGACCACCAGCATATGCTATATAAAAAAAAATCAAAAAATCTAATCAGTGTTCGCAATCTGAAGCAGACCAGCACCCACAAGCAGCACCCTTTCACGAGTATGACGGATGAGCTAGCCATCATTGCACTCAACCATATTAGAGGGAGCACATCGATCCGGCCCACCACGCCGCCACAAGTTTGAACTTTATAGCGAGCATGACTGTTTCAAGTTACTCCACTACGTCATTTATATTATTTACAGCATAAACTGTACAAATCACAGTTTTCACCCATTACAATATTTAATTTACATTATTTAAATTACAATATGTAATTAAATGTAATTAAAAAAGTAACTAGATGGTAACCGCGACTTCTCCTGGTTTTTTTTTATGATTCTTTATATATGTAGATGGATATTGTGGTTATCAGAAACATCCATGAAAAGTTTTATATATCAAGTGGAGGTATTGATGCGGACATCATGCGGTCCTACTATAAAATTATAACTGCAGACCTTATAGTATAAAACAAAATAGTCGCTGTTGTCTGTTCGCTTTTATATTTTAAATTAAGCAACAGATTTGAATGCAGTTTTAGCAATAGATAGAGAGATTCAAAAGGAATTTTATATGTAGATCTAATGCATGAGTCTTGTAGTACAGAACAAACAGAGAAAATCAAAGATTTTTAATGCATCCATGCGAAGCCAGGACAGGTGCCTGATTTGTATATAAAATTTTCACACTTTTTTAGCAGGTTTAGAATATTCATTTTTTTTAAAGCGAGTCATAGTTTATTTAATACATTTTATTGTGAAGATACATAGGTATGCTGAGAATAAAAGTATATCTCTAATCAGTAATAAATTTATGTAGGTATATATGTACCTAGAATGAAATGATATCTATACTATAACAATAGTTGATTGATTACATTCAGGTGTAACTACAGGTGTTTCGACATATTATTGGATTAAAATGTAATGTGGCTTATGCGTTGGCACTTAGCAGACACGTAGTCGAATGTAGATATATGTATTTACACTATTTAACGGACTTCGCGATGTAACCATACGATGATAATAATTAATGTGTTACATTTTGTTATCGATAAGAAAATATCGATTTATATATTATCATTTGAAACTGCATTAAGCTATTAATGTATCCATACAACGTAATACAGCAATAATACACATTTGTCTACAAATATATTAAAATATTAATACAGTTTGACACATTGACATAAAAATATGACCACTGTTAGTTACATCATGATAGTAGGTACAACTGTACAATATTTGTTTTACAGCGGCAAAACGCGTTTAATGTCGATTAGAGACGTAAAGTAGGCCATCCTGTGCTATATTTTATTACTTATCGTTTATTATTTCATCTGTCTATTTCTTGTTAAATTGTGTTGAAATAATAACTTAACTATTAACGCAGTTTTCTCTTAAACTTTATATTACATCGATAAGATAAGAATGAATAAAAATGGCTCAAACGGAGCAGAATTGGGTAAACTGGGAAGAGCGAGGTAGATAAAATGGAATGGGTCATGAAATCCTGTCCGACCCAAAAGGGGCCTGTAACTGCTGGTCACACGCCTTATGAAATTGAAAAGTAAAGATAATAATATATATTTATTCAAGAAAATAAAAGTATTATAATTTAATATGCACAATTATGACAGTACTCACTTACCCCAAATACAAGCAATTTTTTAAAATATGACAACATAGTTGACCTTACTAATAGCGTAGCAGATAAATGAATTTAAAAATAAACAAGACTACTGAGTTCAAGGTCATCACCGGTCAAAGCGCTTAAAAATTGACGAGCGCGGCAAGACTCATGACGCTGGCAATGTGATTATTGTCGCATTGCTTTGAGACTGTTGTTTCATAATATTGTCTTCATAACACCCGAACATCTGCCTCCGAGCACCCTGCATATTCCAATGCATGAATATTTACCATATTCCTGCATTGAAATATGGGAAAGCCCTCAACAGTCTGCGTACCCAGGTGGGCCGCTGCAGTACAACTTGCTAAAATAGGTAACGCTACCCAGGAGGCTTTCGACTGCGGGGCTCTGTTTCAAAACATGTTCCATCTCCTGTCATACTCTTTGAACCCAGTGTTTTGCACTAAGGAAGACAAGACGACCGATTGTGCCGTTGGATTTGCTAAGTTCTGGTCTAAACATATTTAGGTTAACTATTAACATGAAATGAAGTACTGACTACTAATAAGACTGTCTGATGATTATACGAATATTAAAAAAAACATTAATACGCATCGCGCTACGTTACGTTGCCCCATTGATGCATGATAATTTCCCTATTTTATTTTTATCTAATTTTTTCCGGGGTAATTAACATTTAGTAATTCAGTGTTGACATATAAATCTCTCTCCTTTATGCAAAATACATATCTAATAATAACTAATCAATCTAAACGTATCGAACAGTACTTTAGTAACAGCTTGTATACCTACTTACAACATAATTTAATACATGACCAATTCATGTATTAAATTATGGTCATAATTAGAGGGAGGGGGGAAGGATTTATTAGTAATGTGTACTGATGACTGTATTACTAGTAAAGTATCATATCAGGTTGACCTGAAAGTCGGCTTAGAAAAACCATCGTGAATTACTGGTGAATTTACCACGATAACTTACCTGACCAGAACGATAGGATGAGCATGACTCATCATTGTATCATCACCTCCACGGTGCCCCTCCAGCGTAAACCATTAGTGTAGGCAGGTGAACTACCATAATGGTGTAAAAAACAAGAATTTACTAAATGTTTCTCAAAATGTATGGCAACTATTCTGTACAAAACTATCGATATGAACTGATGTCTATTATTGTCGATGCATCACTAGTGGCCCGTGAGTTGATTTCATTTGGGCGATAAGCAGCACAGCAACAGGTCGACATGTCTGCAGCCGCAGGAGTTACGGTCTGTTCCTTATTAATATTTTTATGTATAATTATTGAGTTCTACTCATCTATATTTTATGTTAATCAGATGAATATTTGGCAAAATATTTAAACTATTTTTATTTAATAGAAAATGAGTAACATATTGTTATATCTGATATTCTAATCTTATGTCTATGCGAAGGTAGCTACGCGACATTTTTTTTTTATATTATGGCGATAAGTACTTTCATTTATTTACCGTTTATGTACATCTAATTGGTTGGGCTCTGTTTATAATTTATTAGTATATATATAAATAATTCGTTCCATATGGATAGGTATCGGCGGCAACTTACCTAGCAGCCTGGAACAAAATTATAATCAATTTTTAGTTGCTGGTATGTTGTGCGTAGTTATAATTCATATTACTATTTTTTTTTTATGTATGCAGCAATATCTACACATATAAATAAAATTGGAGTGTCTATTTTTATATTGAAATAACCGTTTTTTCCTACATGCATATGAATATAAATACGATACATACACCAAAACAGCATTTTTTATAATTTTTGTTTGTCTGTCTGTTTGTTCCGGCTAATCTCTGAAATGGCTGAAACCGATTTTGACGGGACTCTTCACGCACTTGCACGCGGACGAATTCGCGGGAACAACTAGTAACAAATATAAGTTAACTAGCTGTACCCACGACTTCGTCCGCGCAAAATAGTGACTTTGACCAAATAATGAAAAAGATATTTAATGACCTAATCCAATAATCCTTTTTGCTTCAAAACACGTCCATACATAACTAACATACATATTTAAAAATGTCAATATTTCCATATAAACATTTAACTCTCCTTTAAATTCTTTACAACACATTTTCTTTATTTATATTTAATCGTCAGCCTAAAAATCAGTTGCAAGCTTTGAAAATGGCAATATATCCATACAACCTTGCACCTACCCTTTCAATCCCCTTACAAGCCTTTTCCACATAAAAGTACCCTATATCCATTCTCAGGGTGTAGATTATGTGATCCAAATTTCATTTAAATCGGTTCAGTAGTTTTGGCGTGTAAGCGAGATCGAGAGTGACGTATGTAATAAATAAATCCAAAAAAGCCAATGAAATTTCAGGTTCATCATTCTAGCTTAAAAAGTCATGAATTTACATAAAACTTAGATCCCCTATTTTATTTTACACCCTTAAGGGTAAAATTATTACAAACTTTGCATGTCATATTTATTCATATTTAATCACCAACCTAAAATATAAGTTTTAGCTTCTAGTTTTAAAAATAACGATTCTTACGTACAACATTGCATGTACCCTTTCAACCCCTTACAACCCTTCTATCGCATTCAAAAGTAGCCTATGTCCTTTCTCAGGGTCTAGACTAACTGTGTACCAAATTTCATTTAAATCGGTTCAGTAGTTTTGGCGTGTAAGTGAGACTGACAGACAGACAGAGTTACTTTCACAGTTATAATATTAGTAAGGTATTTAATAAACTAACTCAAAAAGCCATTAAAAAAGTATCATCATTCTAACTTCAATAATGTCGAATTTACATAAAAACCTTCTACCCCTATTTTATTTTACCCCCTTAAGGGTATTTTTTTACAAACTTTGAATGTCATATTCGTTTATATTTAATCAACAGCCTAAAAAATAAGTTTCAAACTTCTGGCTTCAAAAATGTCGAATTTACATAAAAACTTTCATCCCCTATTTTATTTTACCCCCTTAAGGGTAATATTCTTCCAAATTTTGATGGTCTATTTATTTATATTTAATCAACAGACTCAAAAATAAGCTTCACGCTTTTGGCTTCAAACATGACGAATTTACATAAAAACTCTCACCCCCTATTTTATTTTACACCCCTAATGGTAAAATTTTTACAAATTTACTTAAAATGTCATATTTATTTATATTTAATCAATAGCCTCAAAAATAAGTTTCAAGCTTCAAAAATGACGATTCTTCTATACAATCTTTTATTCAACCAATTTCAACCCCTTACAACCCTATTTTAGCATTAAAAAGCCTATGTCCTTTCTCAGGGTTTAGACTAACTATGTACCAAATTTCATTTAAATCCGTTCAGTAGTTTTGGCGTGAAAGCGAGGCAGGCAGACAGACAGAGTTACTTTCGCATTTATAATATTATAGTAAGGAAGTAAGGATATATGACCTTGAATATATCACACGGAGCGTTTTTTTATATGATTAATCTTTTGCTGCAGTGATGGTTTAGTTTAGTCATTAAAACTGTCTCTGTTTGATGTTTGAAGAATAATGTAAAAATATACTCGATGGTAAAATAGGACTACCTATATTAAATCAGTTACAACACTAATACCTCATTCTGCTAATGATGCGAAGTTATACCTAATAGTTATTTACCGCAATTATTTAAGAAATTTGTTTTATTCATTAAATTTGGCAAAGAAATCTAACCATGAAATTTGCCCTTTAACATTTTATCATTAAATTTGCTCTCTTAACAATCAAACCTTATAGAATATGAGGCATGGCCCCACGTTGTGATACACTGCTATACAACGTCCACCTGGATCGATACATCGACATCTAAGGGGACCTTGGTGGCATAACAGTTTAGTACACCGACTTATTTTCCAACGAACCCTGATGGTTCGATATTCACTTACTGCAGTGCCTATGATTTTCTTTAATATCCATGGTTATACGTGTATGTTGTTATTGGTACTTATATTAAAACAATTAGGCGTATCTATCAATTATCTGGTACCTGTAATAGATCAGGACTGTATTTTTGGCACCAAATGCAATCAAAACGCTGTATTGAATATTATTTGTTACTATTATTATTAATCGGTATCCAATAGCAGTAGTTATTACCGTGTCTTAAATCTCATGTCTTTCACCTAAAATTGGTTCCTAATTTATGGCGATTCTCTACGTTGCAGCCGTTTTATTCCTTTGAATACCGTTATTGAATTATAATATAACTTGATATTTATCATATAACGCAAATTATGTCGGTAACATTTCTCAAGTCACTACGTCACAACTGTCACAAGTGACCACATCAATCCTATGTAGCTACTTCTGTCTAATATTTTTGATTTGTAAACCTTTTTGTTCTGTTCGGTAGTGGTGGCAGTGGTTGGTGCATATCAACGATATAAAACAGCTATGGGCGGCGCAACCGACGTACCTCATTTCTCAGGCCGTCTATATATTAGCTGGTTTAATCACACTTCTCCACGGTAAGATCTAAAAGTTATTACTCTAAGTAATTCTTATATAATCAACAATACAGTCGTGAGTAGTATTGTGGATGTTATACGATAACATGATGTCCTTAGTGCTGTTCATGTGTATATGCGTATTACAATTACATAAAATGCATCTTTATTATAGACGCGAAATAGGTAAACTGCCAATTTCGTGAAAATAATCAAAATATGAGTTCAAGCAGCGCGATCTCTTGTTCATTTTTAGTATAAAATTTCAAAATATGTTTCCTCATTTTCAATTTGTGTCTTTAAAGTGTAAAGTTTGTTTAAAAACCTTGGTTTTGGTCGGAGACTATATGGTTATGCAGATGGCAAACAAACATACATATAACTCTCTTAACATCTTAGTTATCCAGAAATGCTATATCTGCATTTCTGGACAACACAAATTTTTTTAACGTACAAATAAAAACATCGTATTTAGAACAAGGCGGGTTTGCGTTTACATTATGAATTTATTTATGACAGGCGTATGGGGGAAGCATATTTTGACCCGTATTTACCATATTCAGTGTTTGTAAAATGTCAATAATACAAATGTAACTAAAGTCTGTATAGGATATATAAGAAAATTATCATCAGTAACAGTAAAATTCTAACAATTATGTTTCGGGTTACATTACGCTTGTAAAATCACAAGCGTAATGTAACCCGCAACATAATTGTTAGAATTTTGTCTCTGCGCGGCAATCTCAGAAACTAATTGTGTCTGGTTTTCACTAATATTATTGTAATAATCAGAATATGAAACTATTTGGTTAAAATTTACAAACAGAGAAGTTGTTAGGGTACGAGGACGCTGGTTCATAATAAATTGATTATTAACTTCACTCTAAATTTCTCGACCAAATGTTACTAATGTTTACTAACTTAGTAATCGCAGACATCTAGTAGCAACTATATTTTATGTTTTCGTTACGCGATATATGTAACAATTCCGCACGGGTTTCAATTACATACTCGAACCTATTTCTTTCGCAATCGATTAGCGTTTCGTCCTGTGTATGCTGATTTTGTAACTGTTGAAGATTTTTAATGATACATTAAAACATAATCATTCAAATTTAATATGTTAATCCAACGTAACAATAAAGTTAATACGTGGTGGGCCGGGACTGTGGTGCTAGCTCTAATATGGTTGAGTGGTAAAGAGAGAGGTAAAAGAGAATTGTAAGTAATGTGGTTATCAATCCATCAATCAATCAGGTTGAACTACATGCGTATTTGACACAATGAGCTAACTGATCTGACTTCATGCTCATCGTATCATAGTCCACTAGTCTCCCGCCAATGTGAACCGTTAACGCAGGCGGGTGCACCATTCCATAGTTATCCAATAAAGAAAAACTGGCAGTGAAATGATGTCTGGCTCATCCGTTATACTAATACATAAAATGCAATAACATATGCCCGTGGTCACTATACTCTCCCTAATTGAATTTAAAAATGAATTTATATCTTTGGTTTCAAGCATATTTGAAAGGAATAAGAGCTGTGTTTCCTGTCAGATTCACATGCGCCGTCAGTTCGGAGAGCTTTCAAGCTAAAAAATAGCTTGAAAGCTCTCCGAACTGACGGCGTATGTGACACATCCTAAAAGTCTTTAATAAATCTACATGAATAACGATATTTTGATTTCATTTCATTATTGATAAGACACCTTAGGTTGCGTCATTACCTATGTGTTCAATGAATAATTATGTTTTCTCTTTCCTGATAAAGCTTTCAGAAAAGGAGGTAGATGGCCGTATTTCTGGTTGGCGACCGTGCTACATGGTCAATACGCAGATAATTTTTGGCACTTTGTTGTGCCCGAGTATGATAATTTCTGGCATTCGCAAACACCCATCATATTCCTGGGGGCTCGAACTCCACTTCATATAATATTGTTGTGTAAGTATCACTATCCTAAGAATATCCTTCAATTCTTGTCCCTGACGGGTCTAGGTAGCGAACTCTGAAAAGGGCGAGCACAATAGATCTATGTAGGTCGCAGTGCTACAGGTGCTACACATCTGACAATAGCCCAAACAACCCAATAAAAAAAAAAAAAGTATCACTATTGTAAATACTCAACCAAATACACAATAATTACTATAAAATTTACTGTTTATAACCAAACAACCATGTAGTTAATATAAGTTTAAGAACAAAATTTTGCAGATCATATTTTTTCTCTCGCATTGATTGTTAGTTCTAAAGAGTAATATCATGATATCGTTACACTGACCATAAGGATCCTAGTAAGATTACCGGGTATTAATTATATCATCAGTCATACACTAACATGAGGTTTCTAGCTCAGGCCAATTAAACAATATATGTACCTACTATACTATCTATCTACTAGACTGCTAAGTAATCACGGTAGGGAAAAAATATTTTTGTATTAATATTTTTTCCCTTGACGTTCACAAGCGACTAAAATGTTTCACATGAGTAATATCGTGATTTTTGATTTGATTTAATGAATTTAAATAATCATCCCTTAATTTAATGTTTGTTAATCACAATTTACAGACCCAGCGTTCATATACCACGCTGCGTATGCCGTATCGAAATTGAATCTACCTAGATACGCAGAGCCTTTTGCCGTCGGCTTGGTGACCGTCCTCATCGATATACCCTATGACATCGTGGCCGTTAAGTTCGTGCATTGGACCTGGCACGATACGGACCCAAACATCTTCGACCGTCACTATTGGGTGCCATGGAACTCGTACTACTTCCACGCGACTTTCGCAGCCAGTTTGTTCTTCTTCTTTAATGTTAGCAGACGATGGCTTGCACCTAAAGTAGCGCAGTGGGAATCGGCTGGGTTAGTATATCTCTTATTCTTGTCTTATTGTTGAAGGAATTAATTAGTTTGACGGCTTCATAAACCAGTGCTAAATGGTTTACTGCGTCACTTCCGATGGTTACGAGTTCGATTCCTCGCACAATGTAAATGTTTGTGTACATAAGTATGATTGTTTGTTATGTTCTGGAAAAGTGTATTATAGATATATTTACAAAAAATGAATTTAATACTTTTTTTTGTAATCCTGTTATGGATTACTTGTTAAAAATGCAATAATAACTATTAAAATGCCGTAACTAATAACAGTATTCGTAACGTAACTAATATACATAATGATCTATAATATAATCCGTTATAAAGTGGATTAGTAGTAGTAGTAGTAGGACAAGTAGACAATAATATAGATCTAAATAACGAATCGTGACATTTTGCTGATAAAATGTTTATGAACTAACGATTAATTTAGTTTATATCGGTTTTCTTCCATCACTAGAAACTTATGTAGGTATACATATGTTTAAATATGCAAACAAAATTTACAAAACAAACACTAAGTCGTCCGGAATGATAATGCATGATTGGTGTTCATGACACATGATGTTCTTCATCTATATAGGCTACGATTACCTAAGTCCTGAAGGTTGGCCCTGCCTATGTTAAACTGTTTAACCTTTTTCTGTTTTTAGGAAATCGGTGGAGTGGAAGTCTCTGGCGGTCGCTACCCTGTTGGGTATGCCAGGCGGCGTGCTGATGTTCATACCAATCTACCATCCATTGCACGATGTGTTCGGTATTCATTCGGAAGTCACATTTTTCCTCCTCTTCTCTATATTTACCGTGATCATCTTGCACGGCTTGCTATCTGATAGAGAGAAGACTAAAACAAGGTGAGTCGTTATAATTGTATAGTTGTGATTATTAAAGACAGCTATGTTAATTTAATAAAACATAGTCCAAATACTGAGTACATACCTATTCCTTTATTAAACAATATTTTACAAAAATGAACAGTATCCTGTTTATTTATTGTATTAAGTAAGCTTTTCGCAACTTTATGTTTAAGCAACTTACCTCCTAATTTACAATCTTATTGAAACACTTCATACGTCTCACCACAATTATAATTGAAATTAAAATAAATAACTTTTTTATTATATTTATAGATGCCCTATGTCTATCATCCCGCCACTTAGAATTCATTACTGAAAAAACTCTTTCAGTAAATGCTGAGGTTTTAATGCTGAAAACAGTATTTTGTATATGTATTTTATTTTAGTTCAACAGTAAAAATTATAATTTTGTGAAAAACAGTATAATGCTGTTTAAAACAGTATAGTTGGCAACCCTACGTATAAGGGTACCACGACTTCACATTATGACGGTCATATATTACGGATATACCTAGATCATAGATACCACTCCTTCGGTACCATCAGTTCGTCTTCCAGTTAAATTAACATTCCACTTAGGTACATAAAAAAATCAGCGCAAGATGACAAGTAATAATATAAATTGTTTAATCTTCTCCAGATTAAGTACGACCGATTACATCCTTATTCTGCAACTGGTTGTCCATTATGCTATCTACTGGGTGTTCGTAGTTTTCTTCCACCCCGAGAGGGAATGGTCACTTGGATTACACGAGCCTGTAGGGCCTTGCAATGAAGTCGCCACACTCACTACACCGTTTGGTCAAGTAAGTAGTGCTGTAGCTACTTGTCTAGAGCCATGTCTCCTTTTTATTTACATAACTAATATATACTAATTACCCGCCTCCTGTAGAATAAAAAAAAAGTATAAACTATACCTATACAATTTATATTGTCAATAAATACTATATACTGTGTCGTAATAAGTATCCATAACACCTGTTATTATAAATTCGAAAGCGTGCCCGTCGGTCGGTTTGATACTTTTAATTTTATTAACACCCCTTGAGCCGTTACTGCTAAACGGCTGAGCGGATTTTAATAAAATTAAAAATGACGACAGATTGTATTCCAAGGACGAACATTAGCTATTTTTATCTCAAAAAGCAGACGAAGTCGCATGTTACAATTAGTATGAAAATAATTACTATTATAATTTATAGTAACGTAATTTACTTATTATATTCACCCTCTCCTTTTGATCTGACCTGTTTAACTGTATTGCTGATGCTAGATTGCTAGATTTAATTTAAAATTTAAAGTAGGTAACTGATAATGTCACTCTCATTGTCTCATTTCGATAAATTCATGAGGTATCTACCTATATGTTATTGACTTTGCTAATTATGTATTAAATGATATGTATAAATTGTATAAGCTGGTGATTACCTAAATAAATAATGATTTCATCCAGACTCTGCTGAAGCGCAAGTACTTCTGTCCGGAAAATTACGACGAGGGTTACTTCAACTTCCATTGCGTTGGCGGACAGAAACCAGCTAACGGCCTCAGCTGGTACGTCGTGTGCGGAACTCCATTCGCGTGAGTATACTATTATATCCCTATTTAAAAATAGGGGTTGATATATGATGATTAGAGCGTGCAAAAATTAGAGTTGTGTGTATTTTTTAATGCAACATTAAAAATAAACAAAAAAAAAATTCGTATATGAAAAATAGATATTAGCTGATTCTCAGACCTACTGATTATGCTTAAAAATTTCATAAAAATCGAGCAAGCCGTTTCGGAGGAATATGGTAACTAATATTGTGACACGAGAATTTTATACGTAAGATGTACATAGATGTGAGGACTTTTTATGACGTCCACGTCAACTAGCAACTTACTTCAATTCAATAATTAAGTAATTACAGTAACATTTTTTAAGTTATCTTTTCTTTTGACACCATATATAACGTACCGATATATTATTTAATCTGTTATGTACCAGAAAACTGTAGGTATAGTACCTACAGTTTTCCATTTTAAGTACTATTCGCTGATCGTACGATGTTTACACACATTAATTTACTAAAAAGACAATAAATTAGTAAATATGAATAAATAAATACCTACTCACAACATAACGTATCTTTTATTTAATCATGCCCGTATATCACAACATTATAATCGTAATTAAATAATAATCGTAAAAAAGGTAACTAGATAATCGTAAATAAATTGTAATTAAAAGAATATTGAATTTAATAGGTTAAGTTTTATAGTATATTTCCGAATATTTATATTTTCAATACAAATTTAAATTAAAAGTGATATTGGATACATATTTAATATCGCTTTACATTTATTTTTGCGTAAGATCCCAATCTTATTGTGTTATTCAATCAGAGCAGTAGGTAGTTACATTATCCATTCTAATACAAAATGACCTTGATTTAAAATTAGGTTGAGCTAAAATTGTACTGCGTGCTTTAAACTGTCTCTTTCCTTCCTTAATTGAGATATGTGAATAATTAGGAGAATATATACAAAATAAGTTAACAACGCAATGACTTTTCGATATTGTTGGATCGATCCGTATTCAGAGTTATATGATATTAGACTTAATTGGTTAGTCTTTTAGTAGGTTAATAGCTTAAACGTCTAGAGCTGAAACCCCTTATGAAAGGGCTAGTTTTATTTGTTAATTTTTTCGGATATCCAATGCTGTTGACCACAGCTGGCCCTTACAGCTTTACTGGACGATGAGACGGATTGTGTTGTCATAGTTACCTTTATACGTAACACAAATAAACATTTTGTTTGCCTACGTACCTACGCTATTTTGCAAGTTATTTGTGTTTCATGCATGTAAGAGAAAAAGAACGACAAAGCGTACTAGCAATACGTCTGTTTTAAATTAATAACAGGAATGATATTTTATAAAGGTTTTTAATACTCAGCTTATATTATATACCTGTATTAAACCAAGAGTAACCATTCTAACCTCTGTCTCACAGCATAATAACATACAAATTAAACTTAGTTATAATAATAGTGTCAAACTTATAATAATCTGATATCTATTTTAATTGCAGAAACCGAGCTGAGTACATAACTGTCCTTTCAACAATCCTGGTAGTGGCGTTTGGAGTGTTTTATGGACTCTACTTCAAGACGCAACCAGTGCCGTCAAATAAGAAAATTAAAACCAAATAATAATAAAAGAAGGTAGTGGCTAAATAAATTTAATAAAAGATACTGAAATTTTTTGTTACAATTATTTTTTATTTTATTCATGTTGTTTTAAACGATTTACATTGCCTCTCTGATTTGATTTTAGAGACGTATGTATACCGTTTTACCTGCTTATTCAAAAAAGGTTAAACAAGAAAAGGAATGAGTAGGTTTTTTTATTTAGTATTTAGGAGCTTTGTATGATTGTTTGTATCATGAATCTTTTTAATACATTACTATTTTTGTCAGTTTTGCTACATAATAATGTTAGTTTTATTTTTTCTAAACCAACAACTATCTCTAATGAATCCTTATTAAAATATTTTAAGTAAATCATGAAAATCAAGAGAAGTTAGTATATAGTACCTAGTCGTACTTAGCAGTGCTACTCACTGTTTATACCATGTTATTCATACTGATTCGACCAAGTGATTAACGTGGTGATAATAATGATAATAACAAAACTGTTCGAAATACTCAGTTATTACCGCATACATTGTAAGTTATACTATAGATAAGATATAGAACATAGTTATACCTACTTAATCTACATACAGTCGACTCAGTATTCTCGAAGTAATAAATGATAAATTTCTTAATTTTTTATCTTAGGTTATCTTATTTGGTATTGGTCATTGTGAGTGCGGACAATGTTTGCAAGGATACGAACCCCAGACCTCTGGTCTTAATACATACATAGTTATTACAAGTATATTCCTTGTTTCGAAAAACAACGATGAGAATGTTAATGTATTCACAACCTTATTACACTTATTATTTAAAGTGTATAGTTATATAAGTATGTTATATTCTGTCATTTTTTATAGTAGACATATATTTGAATTTATATGAAATTATATGTGTGATAACATCAGTGCTATTTTTTGTTCGCGTCTTAATATATTCGTCATTAATCTCTCTCAAATAAAGTCCTTCGAATACCGTATTATTTGCCATTAACTATGAAACGAGAATAAGACACAACAATGTACGCGAACAAGGTATCCTAGTGAGATAGGTTCAGGGTCATATGGCCGTCGCGGGTGAACGTAATCGTCGTCATTCATCTGAATTAGGCCCCACTAGATGAAGCCCCATTGTCATCCCCTGGCTACCCTGAATCTGCTACGCCTAGTCAGAATTAGCGCCGAACGCACAAATATTAGTCCCAGTTCTAGATCGCCAAGATCTCTTCAGTCATCGTCCACATTTAGGGCACGTAGTTTTACTGCAGAGGAACAGTTGCCTTGCTTGAATTGAAACAGCTTGCCATCCATTACAGTGTAACAATGTACATGTCAAATTAACATTAATTTAATTTGTTAAAAAAGGCTCAACGAAATTAAATAATTAAAAACCCATTTTATTAGCACAATATTATTTAATCACTTCCAATGATATGTTCGTTCCAACATACAATCACAATAACATCCCTTACCGGCTAAATCACTACACATAATATTTAGTGCCAATATTTTTATACCTTGGGTACTGATTAATAGACATCAATGACAATAAGTCAGTAGTCATACATATAATTGTAGGAATACATATAGGGCGTAATATAGGTGCCCACTGACTTCATACAACGTGTAATAGAAACAGTATAACAATCCGCCGATGGTATTCAAAAATAAATAAAGATAGCTCTAAAGTTGAACACAGTCCTTTAGACAAAAAATATTTGATTAATTCAGTAAGCAGAGGCAAAAATGTTTTCGATTTTTGAAGGTCTTAATAATTATATCAGTTCAGGCAACAATCCCATAGGCAATTTTCGTATTCTTTTATGCAACCTTATGTTGTTCAATACGACCATTACAATACACACGTCTATGACATGGTCCCATTCTTGAAAAGTTCAAGAAGTTAAGAATACAATCTCTGCATTTCGAATTGATATACAATTTCAATTCTACATTGTATAAAAGATTTTTGACAACAATATATAGCGTTTTAAATCTAACATTTATAATTAAGTGCGCCAATATCGGCGACGAGATTAAAGGACGGGGTCAACTTTTTTATGTCAAGTCGGGGACACCATGTTAAAAAATATATAATAAAATATTGGATTTTATATTTACGACAATATTTTTTATACCCAGATCTTTTATATTTATCACACCCAAATCTCGTTTAAATGGCCTACACAGGCCCCTGTAAACTGTGGCAATATCGAAGCAGATCACTTCCTACATCACTGCGTGTCACAAAATCAAGATTCAAGAAATTCAGTCGATTTCTCGGAGTGTGTTGAACCAATTTTATCCCTAACATAGCTGCACCAATATTGCCCTGATTTATACACAATAAATATTTGTTATAGAGCTGACACAGTCAAGGTATCTGTGACCCAATATTTTTTTAATCTGTTCTAACATTGCTTATAAATAATAACTTCGTAAAAGTTCCACGCTATATTTGTTTAGATTCAGATCATAAACTTCAGATATGAAAAAACAATTTGTGACATAAAACAGTTGACTGACCCCAAACATACAGATTGGTACCTACTAATGTAAAAACAAATGAGCGCTTATAGATATAGGTCAGGCGTAAAAAAAATAGCGAAAAGTTTATATTAAAATCTAATTACCCCCTTTTTCGAAAATATGTATGCATATTTCGAAATGACATTACTTTTATTCTAAGGTACGATTAATAATAAAATTTAATGCAAAGAAAATCATGCTTCACTTCTTTCCGATGACCACTCCAATAGTTTTGTATATATTTAACAAATGTGATGTCAATTAACACACATTAATTTTATATTTATAATTGTGATTGTAAAGTAACCTTGCCAATTCGTCAAAACCTCATATTTCAACGATATTTTTTATAAACTGTCATTTCATCCCATTACAATGTATCCCTCCCTTCACAGTCTTAGCTACGGCATAGTAAATACGTTTAAGTATGAATATATTAATCAGTAAGTAATATAAGTACATAGTAACAATTATTCTAATTACTTATATTTAAAATTCTCAACTCTCATTTGCGCTTTACTTGTTGGTGAGCTACTTATAACTACTCGTAGCCACTTGACGACATCAATTCTATACTATGTGTAAACAGACATCCATTACAAACTAGTAACATGTTGCAATTGGGATTCTGTTATATTTCTAGGTACTACAGATACTAACTCAAGGTATATAGGCAAGCAATCTAATTACTTATAATTCGTATCTTTATTTTCCACTGAATATAATTTTGTTTAATTATGGACAATAATAATAATGTATAACAAGCGTTCATGACATCATTTTCGGAAGGGAATCAGACATCGGGATCAAATTGAATCGGTCAGAACATCAATTTAAAATTCATTTATACCATTGAGAACCATAAAAAAGTATGTTTCTGTTGTGTCAAATTACAAAGTTAATTAAAATAAGTGACTACTATTAATAATAGATATTTTCTCCAGTATTCATGTCAAACACAATTACTGCAAAAACTAAAAATAATGGCCACATTCAACAATATTGTGCGGACAAAAGTGTATACTTTATAAATATTAAACAGTACATATAGTAAGTAGGTACTTCATAAGTACATATATATTTAATGCTTACTATATAATGCGTTTTACATAAAATTTTAGAGCTTATCGCTCGCACCTATTACAAAACTCAATGCTAAGCTAAATTTAAGTAAATAGACGACACAACAACATTTGTTTGAAATAAGATGAGATAAATACAGAAAAAGTAATGTAAAAACGTCTAAACAGGAAAATGTTTAAAGTGAAAAAATCTTTCACAGAATATGAAACGTAAAATATGTTAGCATTAATTAGTAATAATATCATGGCAACGCAATGGAATTGGATTGAGGTCCCCATACAATAATTATAAGGTAATCTTGATTTCAGATATTGTTAAGAGAGATGTAGTTTATATTTTGTTTTGTCGCATCATAGAGCTTGATTCGGTAGCTCTACTGGAATAATGTAAATAGCGCAATAACTGAAAAGTACTTAATATACCATTATACCTTAATTAAACAGCTGTGCGTGAGTTTCAATTAAAAAAATATTAACAATTTTATTTTTACTCACTTACAGAATTTTATATAAATTATTCATAAAAATCCTAATCTATAAAAATGTCACAACTTAAAATTACAATTTATGTAAAAAAATAACAACAAAAGTTTAAACGTCTTTCACCATACACGTGCAATATATATTCCCAAATTATATTGCACTATTCTTTGAATAAACATTTTTTTAACAACTGTTATGATTCTACAATAAAGGTAGCCTATTCGGAATGCTAAATATTAAAAACGAAAATATTTTCTCAACAAAACAGCTCTCATAGAGGTAATAACTAAATAAATGTAATATAAATAAATAAAATTTTATATTTAAGGAAAATCATGAGCACAACATACTGTACTAAAACATTTTATAACAGATCTAATTGTTGATTTCAGTGACTTAATTTATCTTTTCCATTTTTAACCACACCAACGGTAATGAAGCTCACAGCCAATACCAAAATAAAATATACAAAAATATCCAATATATTTAATATTTATATTTAGTAAATAAAACTATTTACCTATTTGTTGGTTTACCTTTTTCAATTTAACTTTCATTTTTAAATTAACGTTAACTGCCTTGCAGTTAAGTGGTCACTTTTTTTTAGTTCTTGGTATGTTAAATTTTAGGTTTTATTTTGCATATAAGTCCTGCTTAGATTCCACGCGATGTAGCGTGTTTCTTCTTTACTCAATTATCCATAAAACTACATGGCCAACATTCAGTTTATCTTAAAATTGTTTTTTAACCATTTAACTTATCTTTAATTTAGTCTCATCTACCGAAAACCCATATCAAATGAGCGATAATGATCGCATTAAGGTGGTCGGACCTGCCAAACAATAAATAGCAGGTATGGTACTTGACTGTTAAATCGGAATAAATTTTCATAAAACTAAATGATATAACTTTCTCTATAATTTGCTTAATCAGCCGAAATAAATGATAACAATAGATTTTACAATTTATTTGTAGATACAAAATAAGCATAATTTATCAATACTTCGATCAACTGCAATGTTCTATATAATCTCAGCATGTATCATGAAGGTTAGAGGAGGGGTTTAAAATGCTGTTTAAAAACGTGACCTATTTAATGGACGAACCATTACTTCGAGAACTCGTGTTTGAATGTAACCATGCTAAAATTTAATCACACCTGTAAAAATTTCTTATTTTTTACCGTCAACATTATACACATATATAAAACATATACATAGATAAATTTCCAAGTAATAACGCGACCTAATTGCTTTCAAAATTATAAATGTAATTACAATAAAGATCACAACACTTCAATTGTTTACAATTGTGCTGAGCTATGCCTATGTATATAATAAATATTAACCCTACTAATCACCAATCCGACGTACTCCCATTCCCCACATTCATATATTTAAACTCGTTAATGAATCTGTATTTTACAATAAAAACGATTTGAAACACAAACATCAAACTGTTTTGCGCAGTTGCATTATACCAGTAATTTAGAAATGTTTGTTACATTTTTTATTTAAAATGGATTACTGTATGGAAGCGGACGGCTCTTAAAAAAGAAACTCGTTACATGTGCGTTAAACTAAATCATATAAGCCTAATACAAAATTAGGAACAAAACTCCACAATCGATCTAAATAGCCATTCAAATTTCGGTTACTTCTAAATAAAATTATGGCCTGTATTTGAAAAGCTCTGGTATCACTGTTGGGTCCGCTAATGTGGACAGGTCACCTACAGCCTCGTCTCCGAGAGCCACTTTCCTCAGAATTCTGCGCATTATTTTGCCTGACCTAGTCTTTGGTAAACCAGGCGCATACTGAATAACATCAGGAGTTGCAAATGCGCCAATACTCTTCCTCACAAGCTTCTTTAAGCAATCAATCAATTCGTCGTCAAACTTCGCCCCTTCATTCAAAATTATGAAACAGTACAGCGACTCTCCTTTTATAGGGTGGGGTTTAGATACCACAGCAGCTTCTGTGACTCTTGGGTCTTTTGCTAAAACCCCTTCTACTTCAGCCGTGGACATAAGATGTCCGGAAACATTCAGCATGTCATCTATGCGGCCGGTTACCCACAAAAATCCATCTTCGTCTCTTTTGGCACCTATAAAATTCAAAAGGTTCTGAATTAAATCTTAAAGTTAACAATATTTATTTTCATTTACTACTTGACAAATCTAAATAGGGGTGAATGTTTTGCAGTTCATTTGTCTAAGGTGAACTACCTTAGGCAATTTTCGAATATTTTAGACTGAATAAAAAAAGGCAAATATAGCTGGTGATACTAAAGAACACTTCCGCTAGTAGTATATTGTTGTAAATTATTCGACTGTTAAAATACCCATCACTGACCAACTGACATAACTTACGTATATTTCTAGCAGTTAGAATATAACTGCTAGAAATACGAAATTAAGTTTTTTGTTACACTTGTAAACAATGTTTTAATTATCTAAACTGCGTAAAGTTTGCAGTCTGAAGTTAAGTGTTAAGAACATCGTCGTAACTGAATTGAAGAGTAGGTAAGTATATCCCGTGCCACATTACGCATACCATTTCAAAAGCACGGATACCACTTGTAGTGTTTGGGTTAATGAACTGCCAATGCTAATTATATCAAGACTAATATAAATTCAATATTTAAGTAGTTGCATTATTTAGTTGTGCGTTGTCATGTTTTAAATTTAGTGATGTAAGTTTGGTAGACCATCGTTGTAGTATAAAGTGTACAATACTCAGAAATCGTAACAAATATCATAGATAATAGCACTAGTACTGACAGTAGTGATGTTCACTGTATTTATTTCACAGTTTGCTTCTTCGAAATGTTGTATCATTGTGTAATAAATAATAAGTAATTTTCACTTTTGGTTGACTTGGGTTGATATAATTTAACAGTTCACTAGGTATTTGAAATTGATAAATTATTTTTGAAAAAATATGTTCTTATCAAGGGAACAGTAATTTTCATAATCACTTTTTTCGACTAATCACGATTCAATTGTTTATAATGAAACTAGAAAATATAAATTTTATAAAAAAATATAATTGTAACTAACTATAAAAGTAAGTTTTTATAATTGAAGCAACAAGTTAAGTACCCTAATTATATTAAATAATTCATATATGAGAATATCTTATTTACTTACCGTCACCTGTACAGTAATACCCAGGAAACTTTGAGAAGTAGACAGTCTCAAAACGTTCGTGGTCGCCATAAAGAGTCCTCATGATGCCTGGCCAGGGTCTGGAGAACACCAAATATCCTTCACCGGGGCCTTCAATCACCTCCCCGTCTTCGTTCAAAATTCTGGGTTCGACGCCAAAGAATGGAAAACCCTTCACGGAAAGAAGATACTTGATTAACACTTAATAATAAAGAGAACAAAATATCAAAGTACTACTCGTATATAAAATATTAAATAATTGCTTTGATATCAAAATTACATATGTATATTACGTAATAAAGTGAATGAAATTTATCAAGTCGTGGGTTTTGCCGACTACCCAAAATTGTAGACAAAGTAACCGTACTAATGAAGATAGGGTCGGTAACTCGCAAGTGACACCCCTGGTGTCCGGCGACCATGGGCTACGGTAACCGTACCTTTTATCATCAGATGGGCCATACGGCCCAAGTATACACTTGTTTGCCACCATCATAGTATAATAGAAATAACAACAGTATTTGTTTGAGTCTGGGTATAATCATTTTACATATAAGGAAAACCATGAAATATTATATAGGTACTGGCTGTTTATTCGTTAAAATAGAATGCGTTTATCTGTTATAATTTAGTCAAGAAATTAAGCACAAAATAATAGTTTTTAGTTAGTTCATTCTTGGTTCATATTAGATTTTAATAATACTTTCATACTTGTAATCTAATAAATATATAAAGAAGAATGAACCTTTTAAATAAAAAATGCTGGATTACTCCAATATATGTGTATGCCAAATAACTTACTGCTGCTCCCGGCTTCATGGGGGTAGCACCAGGTAGACTAGTGAGAACATGGCCACCAGTCTCGGTCTGCCAGAATGTGTCGACAATGGAGCATCGGCCGCTTCCTATGAGGTGGTAGTACCACAACCACGCCTCCGGGTTTATAGGCTCGCCTACACTGCCCAGGACGCGCAGACTCTTCAAATCATTCCTGGAGTCAAAGCGTTTAGCATTATTTATAGCAACATAAAAAGTCGACATAAATTTTTAATCGATTACTTTTTAAAACTAAGGAAGCTTAAAAGTAAGAACAAAACCCAAATTAGCCTTTATTAGATTACGAATTCGATTCGATACGTTTCTGTCAATTCGTCCTATTATAGTACTAGATTTCGGATATAGTGTCCGACATAGATGTAATTTTGTATGTCTAAAATCGAGAAACTGACTTTACTATTAAAGACGTACGGGTGTTGCATTCTATATTCTAATAAAAGAAATCATATTAGAAAAAAACTTTTGCGTGCAAAAACTGGCAAAGACAGTCCTGACAGGAACTTTGAATAAGAGTGAGCACAATAGATCTAAGAAGGTTGTAGTGCCTTAGCACCTTTAATTATCTTAGAACCTAACAATAGACCAAGACAATCAATAAAAAAACCATTAGCCTGCATGTAATCACAATTACGGCAAAAGATTTCAAAGATATCGCTGTCAAAGTACTATCCTTAGATTTAAGGTATTAAGGTAAGATGGTCGCGGAAGGAAATGTCGAGTGACGAGAGTTTAAAATCTTCATGCGGTGGTCAAACGAAGCGAACTTGATAATGTAGATAAAAATACATAGTACTTTCGTCAACAGTGTGATGTGAGGACGTACAGCATTTAAAATTGGACTTCTAAAGGAGCGGGGCTTGTACCAATACGACTTGTTTAAACTATAATGGTAGTTCTAAATACAACCGAACAAGTCGAAAATATGTAACTTCAATATAGACACGTAAATCAAAACATGCCATTGTATTTGTTGTATTAGAATTTTACGAGTATTTTCCATAATCTAACAATTTTACAACTAGCGAAGTAACGTGTTACGTTTTTTAAGGACAACTTCCTATAATGAGACGTATGCGTGTCTTGTAGTTTAGCATTATCTATTAAATATTGACGCACAATATTCTTAAATACTTACGTCACTCATCTAACTAACACGAGTTGCAGAATAAGATTTGCTATGAGCAGATATTAATGTGCTCAGAAGTGAAGAGTCAAAGCCAAAGTAAAAAGAAAAGTCTAGTCTCACACAGTTGACATGAGTAAATATTTTTATGCTGGGTCGTATTTAGTTTCTGACTGCGTGGCATTGTGTGAATTGTAAAGGTTTATTATTTTTATTAATATTTAGAATTATAAAATTACTCACATCTTAACATAGTGGTCACCGCACTTAGTGAGAGATCTGATAGCAGTAGGTGCAGTGTAGAACTGGTTCACATTGTACTTGTCCACTAAAGACCAATACCGGTCGTTTTCAGGATAGAACGGAGTGCCTTCGAACTGCAACATGCGCATTCATCTTAATATTTTTCGTGACTATATCTGCTTTTTTAGGTAAAAGATAGCCAATGTTCTCATGATATAATTAACTTATATCAAAATTTTAATAAGATTCGTTCAACTTGTATTTGTGATAAACTTGGTACCAAACAAACAGACAAAGAAACACACTTTTATATTAGTAATAATATTAGTTTAAATCCTTTATCTGTACTAATATTTCAAATAAAAAAAAATGTTACCATATTTAGGTTCCAGTTTTTATACTTAAAACAATAATTCAGATTTTATTCCAATGTATAACAAAAAAGTAATATTATTTATGGCGTGTAAACAAAATCGACAAAAGTAAATCCATTCCAACTATTTAACAAAGCAAACATTTATGGATGCAAAGTGAATTAATTTCATATACATACAATAATAGTTGGTACGTCATAGCATATTGCTATTCTCACGTCTGTGTTTTGCTTGGCTACATATCACTGTCGTGAAGATAAGATGTGATGTTGTTTATTGTGTTAGTTCTATTACTTCATTATCTAGATTAGTTCAAAAAATATTCGGCGTCATATGTCGTTGGATGGTAATGATAAAATGATATACATTACAACTATTTAAGACAGTAGAGATAATTAAGAACTAATTAAGTACAATATAACTAGGTACAGTTAAAAAAGGAACTATATATGTTTTGTATATAGCTTAATGATTGTTTATTAGGCAATATATACATATAGATATATTGCATAATACATATAGGTATATATGCTATACACAATTACAATTTATAAATCGTTATACAAGTATATATATTAAAAAATGATAGAACTCAAATACATTATACCAGTAATCCTCTTCAGATTTCGTTTCAGCACAGTTGTCTCAATCTAGTAGTTCGTTGTTACTTTCCATCGTTGCTATTATTCGATCCATGTGGGGGATGATAAAAAACGGATTAGATACAGTACTGAACTCTTTTTTATCATCCCTGTCATTGATACGAATACTTATCGGTTCATCACTTTCTTCATTCAACATTTTTTCTTCACGATGCTGGATAGGGCTCACATTATGACTCGAACTGCTGCTACACATTCTTTTTCGTGGACGGTATAACTAAACTAGACAGGCATATTGCCGTAGTTGGCTGTGGAATGAAGCTAGAAATTGGGCTTTTTATTTGTATCAATACAAAGCTATCATTGCCGTTACCGGTATCAGAACATGTACAAAAAATGTTTGGTACCATCTTAGCAATATTACGAAGTAACTAGCTAAGTGCTAAGCTTAGCTAGCTAAAAGAGCAGCGGCCATTGAGTTACGCTTCACAATGCGTGTATACAAACGTAGCGTCATCAGGTGACCTAGATAACTTCGGTACGCAATTGACGAATAATAATTAGTAAGAAATCTCGAAATATTTTTTTAATTTTTCTGTAAATCTCGAAAGATAGTTTATCGATGTATTTAGACGCAAAACTTGGTAATCGAGGTCTCCTTTAGCACTATTACAATTGGCAGCGAAATTGGCTGAGCTATACTCTCTCACTGTTCTTGTCGAGGTCTCTATTTTTTATTTTTTACAATTTATTTCTGCTTTTTATTAACATAATAATATGTAAATAGATAATATACATTTGTATGAATATAAAGCGCATTTTATGTTTAATAAAAATAACTGAAACATAATGTTATCTCACGGAAATAACGGCAGTTGACATCTGATGTGGTCACCAGGTCATATGGTGATAACACCAAAATAATTATTTTTTCAGTAGGTAATGAGATTTAGGTAAACTTGATAGAGGTGATTAATGACATTGGATATAATAACAAAGTATGTATAACACTCGTATAGTACCAAGTAGCCGAATTAATCTAATGTAGTGAATTAATTGTGTCTTTTGACTCTATTGCCTTATTATATAGATATTGACATGAATATTATGACATGTTATGACATAGACATATTATGACAGACACAGACATTATCTAAAATTAACTACATGTAGTAATGTCATAATGAAATAAAATAATAAAACAAAATAATTAAATTATTGTTGGTTTACTTACAATAACAGATGTTGCGCCATTCGCCAAAGGTCCATAGACAACATACGTGTGTCCAGTAATCCAGCCAACATCAGCGGTGCACCAGAAGACGTCGTTGCCACGGTAGTCGAATACATACCGAAAGGTAGCGGTAGCATAGAGAAGGTACCCAGCCGTAGTATGCAACACTCCTTTTGGTTTACCAGTGGATCCACTATAAAAATAAGCCCATTACAAAATAATTAAATGAAATGGGTTCTAACAAATAATTATCCAGCATATTTGTCAATAACAATATTTCATTACTACGTCACATTCTCTAATTTAATTGTATATTGAAAATAAATTTACTTTTCTACTTCATTGATTTCTCATCGCATCACAGTTCTTGACATTAGAAACTATTGTACTATGGTATAATTTAATAATATCTCAGTCTACAAATGAAAACAACGACCAAATAAGTTAATTGCAGCATAGTTAATGTCTAATGTTTTAATAATAATTACGGTATTACGCAGTCTTCGTTTTGGCAAATTTTATCAGAAATCAAGTCTAGGAAATGATATTAGATATTTTCCATGAGTCATCATTATTATGTCACTAAACTTGACACCTATTACACGTAACAACATCTAAGAGCGAAGTACGATATAAAATCAAAGATTAGTCCACTTTTTTTTACAAAATCATCATGGAGATTTAACCCGAAATAAAGTGCAATTACCTGGTGTATAACATGAATAGCGGATCTTCTGCGTCCATCCACTCTGGAGAACAGATAGTAGACTGCCCTTCCACCAGGTCGTGCCACCACACGTCACGAATTGGATTCCAATGGAACTGTAGCATTAGAGGTATATACATGTATATGTAGCATAGCTAATGAAGTAATCGAATAACTTGTTCCGGATAGCGGAGGTATGGGTATGTATCAAATTGGAGGACAACATGGAACAAATTGGGATGTATTTGATATTATATAAATTATTTATTGTTTTGAAGCTGTGTGTATCCGATCGCATATAAAAAAATTGTAGGATGTGAAATATACTTGCCATATCGTTATAGTCATCAGGTAATTCACCACAAGGCGTGACCCTGTCTAGATGGGATACTACAATGCACATCGAAACTAAGTGATTATGTTGACGCTTCGACTTTTCTATAGCTTCACTGCAAATGTTCTTCAAAATAAGAAGCTTTTCTCCACGCCAGGCGCCATCTGCCGTCACTACCATCTTCGCTTTGCAGGCGGCTATTCGTTCAGCCAGTGAGTCAGAAGAAAAACCAGCGAACTAAAAGCAATGAAAAACTAAAGTAATCTATCAAATTTATAACTTTTTTTTTATTTATAAAAAAATATACACTCTATTTGATCTTGAACTAATATTTAGTATTGTTTTATTACTATTGTTTACATATACATTTCTATTTCGTACCTACTACCGGGCGTGGGAGATCATAGCCTGTCGAGAAGAAGACATGAATCTACAAGTACTATTTTAATTTTCATTTAAGTAGATACGTACCAACTTCTGTTTCTTTGCAAAACATAATATCACGTTACCGATAATGCCAATGACAATTAATATATGAGTGCATCAAATTATTAATCGTAGGAATATTGCAAGTTCTTACCACCACGGAATGTATGGCACCAATTCTAGCGCAGGCCAGCATGCATACAACTGTTTCCAAAATCATTGGCATGTAGACGGCAATCCGATCTCCTTTGCCCACACCACTTTCTCGTAGTGCATTGGCGAACTGGCATACTCGGTCCATCAGCTTCTTATATGTCACCCGGCTGTAGTCATCAGGGTGGTTACCTTCCCTGCAAATTACATATTCTTATTTATCTACCCATATTACACTTCCAATTTCTTCTTTCTTCTCAATTTATCAATTACGTTTATTACAAAATTATGACATTGTACATAGATTACATGTGTGTATTCAATGTAGGTGTGTATGTGTCTTCTCATATATATAGGTATATGTATGTAATTTTTGGATAATATTCAATCTTACCAAAAACGGTATTATATATTTATCATTATCTAGGTATAGGAAGGAATATATGTAGAAACAGGACAGAACTATCTGTATATTTTCATCTCTTTGTTCTCGATCATATGTATTGAAAACATAATGGTATATATTAAGAATATGTTTTAACGTGAGTCTTTCATGTCAATTAATTACTTCATTGATCAAATTATACATTTCAAGAAAACCAAATTTCAGGATTATTAACTGAACGATACTTTTATTTAATATTTTGATTTTGAATTAATTATTTTAATTGCTAATGAGATTAAGTTTGCGCCAACACTGCCACCCCATAAGCATGGCCTAAATTGGGTATGAACATAAATGAGTGCGGATTGAGTAAAATAAAATTAATAGTATAAATTTGCTAACTCAAAAATTAACTAATCTAATACTATTTTATTATAGTAATTAGTATGAAATAGAAATAACGTTATGACGAAATACGATACGATACAACGAAAGTGAATATCAAAATACGTAACAAACTCATAGTAGTTGTGAAATTTTATTACGGAATTGAGCATGCTCTGATTATTTAGACATAATTAGATTAGTGCTTTCTGGCTGCTTACGTTCCATAATTTTTTAGATGCACACATGAAATTTTATTTTGAGGAATCTTTCATAGATTTGTGAGATAATGGCGAGTTTATAGAAGTATTTTATATAGTTTATTTATACAATAAAAAATAACAGTATGTTACTGGAACTGGACAACATCAATCTGCATATTATGCAGACCTACCTAGTCCCTACCAGGGCCGAGAGAATAGAGATTTATTGTTTCAATCAAATTCGATCGGTTTAGGTTAAGCCTTATAATAAAAATAGTAAAGTTCACTTAAATATTACTCTACTCGTACTGAATAGTCGTCTGTAATGGATGTCGCGGGTATTACTATATATTAAATTTAAAATTTGTTGTTTTTATTTCAAAGATAAATAAGCCAACACGGACTAAATTTTTTCAAGGGGCTACGATTTTGATTTTAGTCCGTATTGGCCACTTACTTTTTCTTACAGTACAAGGTCGTGGATTATTTACATTTTGGGGCACTGTTACACTAGGGGGATGTAATTTTATTAACTATTTGTTCTTTGTATTGTGTACAATCAGAAGTGAAACCGGGGGGTCCTTTAAAGCCTGTGGCTCGCAGCATTTGCTATTCGTGCTAACCTAATCCGGCGCAGATACATCCATACTTCCCCTCCGATCGAACCCCCGACCAATTCAAACGGGGTTCGATATTACGACGGCTTGAGCCGAGGTTGGAACCCCTAGCAGTGCCCTCAGACTAAAGTCATATCCGTCAGGCGGAAGTTGGCCTTCAGCCGCTCCGTAAGACCTTCCGCGGGTTTGTAGTGCTATCTGCACTCGCCCGGTGAAGCTGTAAAGGCCAGCTACGGCCAACAGCATTAGAGTAGTCCGAAAAAAATATATCCATGAGCTTACCAGAGTTCAACTAAGTACGAGTAGGTATCTAACTCAGATTACACTTGCGGTACGTTGTTTACAGTTTTTTTGCTGGCGTCCAAAATATAATGGATATATGCATACATGATTCATTTACACAATCACAAGGTCAGTAGTGATTTCAATATCAATATTACCTACTTTCACTTCATACTAATTAAGAATATTTTTTCTGTACGACATAGTCAAAGTACTCTACAATATACAGATATATATGAATTCTGTCCGCCTATATTTGAAATTAGTTTGACGGGATAACAATCATAAATGTTAAAATAATATAATAAGATTCATTGTTAATCAATAATAATTTAATATTACTAATTTTAATACTTTTTTAAATCCAAGCTCTAATAAGTACAAGGGGGTTTTCCTGTAAATGCAAAGGAATCATTTACTATGTAGGTACTACCTACTTGCCTTGTTGCATTCGTAATTGTATGTAGCAAGGTAAACTCGAGGTTTTCTGACCAATTGAAGGCAGTTAACTCGTATTTGTACTTGATGTCGTGTCACTACAAAATTGGAAATTATTAAGTTCCTACGAGAAAAATGATTTAGTATGCTTATAATAAGTAAAAAATTGGCCTAGTCGTCACAAAGTATCTCATTATGTAAGAAACAAGGTAATTTTAAATTTAATTTTTGAATTTTAAACGTTTGTAAAGTAATCACTGGCAGAATAGACATAGCATACCGGCAACTAACACGGGGATGCTTTGTAAAGCTATTTTTTTATATCAAGGTGTCAGTAACTTATTTGCTATTCCAATGTAATTAGGTATAAAAAAGCAAACTTAAATAAGTCATGTTTCGTTTTCGTCTATTCTAGGTCGATTTTGATTATTACTTTTATTTATCAAAATATTCAACCGTTTGTCCCGTATATAAGTACAAACGGTTGAAAATTTTGACTTCGTTCTGTTTAAACAAATACTATTGAAATTAGGATTATATTTTTCATTATTCTTTTATTAATATTTTAATAGTTATCAGAATTAGCTAATGTTAAAAAAAATTATGTTTGGACTATACCTAATATTTTTCAACAAACAATTAATAGGTAATATGACATTTTTACATATGTATGGAAGATATAGTCGACCTATCCTACATAAACACACATATAAGTGTGAAGCCCTACACGTCTACCTACGCCGCGCTATACACAACGCTGTGAATAGAGGTACCTTGTATTTTCAAATAAAACGAAATCGCCATAAATATCATGATTTAAATTAAACTACTTAAAGTAATTCTGATTCAAATAGCGTATATGACCAATCTTTTTCCAAACAGCAGGAAAGTCATATTAAGAGATGTTACTACAGCGATTACTGATCGCAATAATGGATGCGTGAACTGATAACCGTTGATCATTGTCACGAGTCAAAAACAACAGGGTCGAAGTCTCGCAAAAAATATTAAAACGAATTTAGATTTCAACTTTGTAATCTTTTAAAGATAATATTAACTGTTTAAAGTTTACTTATTGTACTTGGGTTCAATGTTTCACATATTTATTTATACCTACGATTGTTAACCGGATAAGTGACTCTCAAGTTATAAACACAACGCACCGACAGAGAGACAGACTACACTCTCGTTAGGAAACTAAGAATTTTCAACCGGCCCCAAATAGATTTTGTCTTTATTTTCCTCTGTGTATGATACATGTTAAATTTGTTATGGTTATAACATTATAGGCAAGTAAATATTATTTATGATCAATAAATAATATTTACTTGGTTGAATACTAATAAAAATTGTTTAACGAGGTCGTGAAACCTTACTTATGCTATTCGTACATATTAGACGGAATGAATAAAGTCGGAGTCGAGCGACGTCTCCGATGTACATTCAGTACATATGTGACCGATCACACTGCACAGATTTCACCTGGCTAAAAACTATATACAATGTTTCACATATTATTTGTACTATACTCATTGCTTAATCTATACATATAAATAAAATTGGAGTGTCTGTTTGTAATATTGAAATAATCTTTTTTTACTACATGCGTATATAAATACGGTACATACACCAAAATAACATATTTTTTTTTTAATTTTGTCTGTCTGTCTGTTTGTTCCAGCTAATCTCTGAAATGGATCTGAACTCTGCACCCATTTTGACGGGATTTTTTTGGCAGCTAGCTGTAAAATAGTAATTTAAGCTCCTTTTATTCTAGAAAAATAAATTCCACGCGTGTGATTTCGCGGGTACAACTAGTCAATAATAAAAATGACTATATTAATTAGCAATTATACTAATGTATGAAAATTAGATGTCCTATATGAATAAAAAATATTAACTTTGATTTTAGTTGAAAATTAAAATTAAAATTACAATTGAAAACAAGATTCAATTGCTTACGCACTGAGAATTGACTGATCTACATAAATGGCAACTGATCCAGTTTGTAAATTGAAATAGAAACGGGATCTACCCCTAGATATAAATAAGTCGAGAAAAGTATACATACAAGTCACTCACCTTTTGCTCGAAAATCATATATCGATGATTGACGATCAACGTCAATGATTAAAGCTATACTATGCTTTCTTCCATAAGCGAACGCCATTTAATAGTTGTAAAGGTAAATATAGAAATTCTATCCCACTCCGCCCAATCGCAACCAACAACCAAACCCGCTTATAGTCAGTAGTTGACTATGCGCCGCCCGAGGCATGTTCTTATTGATCCCGACGGTTCCCGACGACCCCACAAAGGTTAGAAGGGAGAGGGACCTACCCTCTCCCTCCTAACCTCCCTAAGGGTCCACCCGTTCGTCCCTACCACGCCATCCCACAAACACACGACGCCATCCTCGCAGGCGAGAACGACGACCTCTACGACACCACCCAGCGTAATCAACAAAGCGCCTACGCGCCTGCGCGCTTTGTTGATTACGCTGCGCACCCGGACGCGCAGCACCAGAGCTCCCGGTCGCCCTCCCGATCGATCCCCCGTCTAATTCCACCCCAGGTCGAACCACAGCGGTGCCCTCAAAATGACATTCAGACATTTTGAGGGCAAAAATTTCTATTTAGACTTTTAAAATGTTAAATTGGGGTTTCAATATATAATGATGTGCGTAAGCGTTTTAAAAAAACCGATTGTTTAAGCATATTGAGGTGTAATAATGTTCACTAATATAATTTGACTTGCAGAATAGATTGGACGATAAAAAAAAATTTAAACATTGTATCTTATTCTAAACAGATGTTTTTGAAACCCTTATGCTACTTAGTGACTCATATCACACCTGTTTCAAGACTGATAAGGTCTTTAAAAAAATTTTCGTTTTAAGGTCTGTGGGGGTTACCCTTCTTAAGAATCAGACTATATTTTGTATAAAATACATATAAGTTGGTCTCTGGTTATAAAAACATAAATATATAATATGAAATCTGCGAGATTAAGTTTTAAAATATATATATAGTGTACTGTAGAGTGTATGTAAAAGCGTTATATGTAGTACCTACGAGTACATGCTCGTACCTACATGTATTATTCTTATAGTATTCATATTAATTATTATCTATGTAAATATATCGCAGTGCAAATATAAACGGCTAATAAAACAATTCACAAGTACTCTTAGGTAGTTGTAGTTTTTCATATAATAGGTTCATATAAGTACCTAAATATAATAGATACAGATATATATGTGTGTGTAGAAATACATATAACCTCTTTTTATGAAGAAACACTGCCACCCAGTTATGTAATGTATTAGATGATAGATGTAATACATGATGATGAGAAGAAGTGATGATCATGAGAAGCAGATCGGATGCCACGACAGCAGAATATCTACCACATATACAGGGTTAGTCGTTAAGGGTACAGACTCATATCAAGCCAGTCACGTTAGGCTGTCGGACCATGGAAGGCCATGCTCCTATATAAGGCCAATTATTAAATATTTTTAAACCTTCTATAAACTGCGCAAACTCTTTGTTTTTAACTTTGTTTCCTAGTGAATGTGGTTCAGTATAATGTGTACTTTATTTGGGTTTTGTCATGGAATATCCTTTACGGCTAACCCTGTAGATCCATAGTGTTCTACCAAATAAAATGTACGGATCTGGCCCAAATGTACGATAAGGCAACGCCCAACCGAAACTATTATGTCATGTAAAAAAGAGAAATGGCATTCCGTTCTCACTTAGCTGTATGACGTGTTCCGAGCTACTATGAAGACCAAAGCAATCGCAACTAACAGTAACTCTTTCGCCATAACGTTACATAACATTACGATTATATGCCAAAAAATACGATTATGTATTCTTTTGACAAATTAAACTGCCCTTAACGGCCTTAACCTTAAAAATAATGAAAATAAATTCACCACCAGTAATATTTTGGTTGATAATTTGAAACCGGTCTTTTATTTTCATTGTATCTTAAAAATATACGTTGTAGTAGCCTATATTATTATGACAACATCGTCCATTGCAGAAAATTGAAGTTTATTCTCGCGCAAATTACGCAATAACGCACGCCTGTGAGCCGCTAGCAACCATCGATTTCCTGCATAACTTCCAATCCTCCCCCTACCCGCAAAGACCACCCCACGTTGCATTTGATGTATGCCCCCCTTCTCCCGTCTGGGAGTCTATGTCTATAATACAAATCTTGTACCTGTAACATTATCGATTTCCCCCCTGTCGCAGTCGCAGTGCGCACCCTCCGCTGCACTTATGGCTTACAGACAGGGGTGAGGGGAACATCCCTCACCCCTGTCTGGGAGGCTATACATCTGTCTATAGGATCCCAGACAGAAAAGGTGGGGGATGGACGAAATCAATACTTAGAGCTCAAGTAGGTACCTATCTACCTACAGCGCGATTTCGTACCGTTTCAAGACAAAGAGTAGATTCTTTGTTCATAGTAAAATTTATGTACCTACCTAATTATATTATTATAAGTAATCAACTGAACGATCTATCGAACATTTGTGAGTAGGTAAGTATTTTAATTTCATATTTAATCAAAATATTAAGTAACTTAGTGTCATATAAAATGCATAATCCGTTTTATAGGAGATTTATTATATATCTTTTAGTTATATTCCTATTCCGTATCCGGTAATCAATACAAGGATTTAAAAAAAAATTACAATGTTTTTTTTATATTATTTGCATAATTAAAAAAATATGCCTAATCATTGAGTTTTGCCAATCATACTTATTAGATCGGCATCGCGCACGTGACGTGCCTCGACACCGTCATCGTTTACCATAAAAAAGCATGAGACGTAAAATGTAGGACTATTTCTGTTATAATGTTCTATAAGAAAGTACGCTTGCAAATTTTTACAGAAAGGAATATTTAATTATCCTGCGCTAGCTAAGTCTTGTACCTGAGAATATTACATATGTCTTTACCAAAGAGTTACAATTGTACTGTAAAAAGTCAAACATAGGTAATTTACTAAAGTTACTGGTCACAAATACCTACTTACTCCGCATTAATGTATAATGAGCGCATCAAATTATAACACTTAAATGTAATCAACATCAAGTGTGTGCTAACGAAGGTATCTCTACCTATGTAGCAGGTTGTGGGAAATTATTATTATTGAAATTATTTATTTTACAGCTACTAAGTGTAAGTAATTGTATTAATATCTTGATGAGAATTGTATTAATAATATAATACCTATTTACATTTTAAACGTAATTGAAAAGATGATTAAAGGTGCCTATCGAATAAAACTATACTCAATTTAAACGAAATCCACTCGCTCGGCTAATTAAATCCAATTATTATTATGACATGATCGATGTTGAGATGAATTAATGCATTACATAATCATATGTCGCCTGTACCTGTATTATAACTGCTATACCAATATAGGTAAAATGTTATATACTACAGGGAAAATCAATATTTCGCGCGCCGTCTCAGTGCTGCATACGCTCAGCTGGATATTGATTCATGGCAGTATATATGATGCGACTACTTACCAGTAATATGCGATCTTGTCCCCATTTCCGTTTCTTACGTTGCGATCTAGAAGGTTAAAGCTAATGTTGGTTTCAGCACCTTCCATGCATTTAACAAAAATGCTCCCTTTACTAATATCGAAATTGTATCTGAGAAAATTGCCCGTCTGTGGACGTTTTTGCCAATAAAACTCCTTCACGATGTCAGACCAAAATGTCTCTGGGTCTTCTAAAGACTTTTCGTGCATCTCTTTATATTTCTCAAAAGATGGTACACGGGAGTTTTCGACAACATGGTCAGACGGTTGATAAACGCGCGACATCGCGTATGTTTGCGTTGTGAAACAGCGCTCCTACGAATGTCTTCTAACAACGGAGCACTCGCGCAAACTGACCGAACGACTGGAATGAAGTGAGTCTCCTCTTGATTGAATGAATGGAAACTGGGTGGATTAAGTAAACAGGGTTGTCAACTACGCAGGGTTTACAAGATTTTTGTTCTTCGGTACCATATCTGTACGAAAATTTTACCTCGTCAATAACTTTTATTTTTCTATCAAATATTAGTTTTCCCGACCCACTTTAGGTAGTGTGAACTACTTAGTCTAACTGACAAAAGATAGGGAGGCAATAATGTGGATCAGTGACCATATTGTCAGCACATCAGGTAGAAATCCATTTGATCCTTTCTGGATACCTCTGGGGTTTTTCCTAGTGAATTCATCCATGAATGACTTCATGGTCGTTTGGTCCTCGTGGTATATCATCTTCTATTAGTGCCACCATGCTATCAGGTTCCTCATATCACCTTACTTAGTATATCTTATCTAAGTCTTCAATTGTAAGTGTCGATAGAAGGCAGTGAAATAACAAGGTATAGAGGCTTAACATTTTAATCCAGTTCTTCGGAACAACGATGTAAGACTGGTACCTTTACACATCATAATATCATGTTCATGGTGCAGTTCATGCAGAATGGCATATACGATAAGGTGAGCTGTCAGGTTGCTTGCTATGTCATTGATTAGAAAACCTAACTATCGCAATTTAGTTCTTGTCATAATATTATGTCGGTGTACGAGATAAAAGAGTGAAATTGTGAATGTATTCACACGAAGCAAATATTTTAAGTTTGACAACCCTGTAGGTGATGTTGGCTCGACTCACCGTTCAATAAATGTGAACATACAATGAACGATCTGACCGGTTCAGCGTCGCTTGCTATCGACCGACGCGCGCAAGTGACGCTCACATAAAATACAATACGCGTGCGTAATGACCCTTTCGCGCATGAACTTTGACAATCTATATCGATCTACATCCTCAGACGATGTCTATAAGATTGCTTTACACCTTAAAATATATGTATATGTGATGACAAAGAATTTCTTTTTTTTTTAATCAAATATAATGGAATGCTGAACACGCCTGAGTTAACGGCATGAAGTCAGGTTCTTGGTGAATTCATCACAATGTTGTGATGAATTCACTAGAAATTAATCACAATGGTTTCCAGTGTTCCACGTGGAGCTATTTTTAATGCGCAAACGGTTTAAAATGGCAGGGTACCATTGGGGGATGATAAGATGAACATGAGGTCGGTTCAGTTAGTCCTTCGTGACAAATTCACGAGAAATTTATCATGATGGTTTCCAGGGGGAACTGCGTGGTGGTCAACCTGGCATACATTGTTACCAATGGGGACATCAGTTCACATTTTATACTAGCTTCCCCTCACCACGTGGTAGTCAACTTCACATAAAAAGTTGTTTGTAATGGGATCAAAAGTCGCCTTGACTATCAATCCGTCAATGAATTAAACAATAATATATCTTTCTACCTACCAAAAAACAATAAAATAGAAATTAAAAAATAATCCAGTTGAGTTTTTTTTAACCAGACTAATCCAATAATGCATGCATGGCAATACTCCCGTGAGGCGGGGACAATTGGTCAGACCCCTAGGTACCTTCTAATCATTTATGTTAATTAATTATCTATACATCTATACATATAAATAAAATTGGAGTGTCTGTTTGTAATATTGAAATAACCGTTTTTTACTACATGCATATGAATATAAATACCGTACATACACCAAAAAACCACTTTTTACAATCTCTGAAATGGCTGGACCGATTTTAACAGGACTTTTTTTGGCAAGTAGCTGATATAATGAGTAACTTAGGCTACTTTTATTTTAGAAAAATAAAGTTAAATTTCACGCGGATGAAGTCGCGGGAATAGCTAGTATCTTAATTATATTATAAACACGAATAACACGTAGGCGATATTTTATATTGAAATTTACGCGGGTGTAACCGCGGGTACAACTACTAAGAAATGAAACAAATTTATAGACAGTAAGATAAATAGTTTATTCAGGATATTTTCCAAAATACTTACATCACTAACATCAAAATACACAATCTGTAGTTTACTTAATACACCTCATCACAAAATTCGTCCCTTAGTCAAATAGACATCCTTAATTTACCGTACAGTCAGTTTCATAAATATATTAAGTGACAGAGCAGTCTGTATCATATAGACATCCAAATGTTTTAGCACTAAAATATCATAGACATCTAAATTGCAAATATGTCCTAGCTCTAAAAACTATCAAATATCCATAAGTAGATAACACTTCCTTTAATTCCCTTATACATAAAAAGAAGCAAATATCCAACTATATCGAACAGACCTGTGGGTATAAATATATGCCTAACGTATAGACATTTCATATAGGATAGTCTCACTAATTCGGTACATCAATAAACCGGCACGTCGGCAGTCTCCACCCGCTCCTCCCTCGCCGGTCTCATATTCTAAACCAGTGATTCTCAAAGTGGTCTATTTCGACCCCCAGGGGTCTATGACAAACTGCAAGGAGTCTACGACAGCGATCATCTTGTTGTTTTTACTTTATGTTTTAACACTAAACTTTACTAGTTAGAAATTTACAAAAAATCAATACCAGGTAAGAATGAGGGGTCTACCCAAAACCGAAAAATATGGCAAGGGGTCTACGACACAAAATAGTTTGAGAACCTCTGTTCTAAACTAATCACCTTACATACAATACAATGCCACCTTACACCTTATATTCCGATATAATTCGGAAGAAAAATAATTCTAATAATTCGGCACCCCCTAGTTTTTAATAGTATCGAATTAGTGAGACTCTACTGTTCATTAATTTACACATTAAAAATGTAATTATTAGAACAAACCTACATTTCCGCTATTAAATAGATTTATAGATCTAACAGTTCATATAACACGATATCCCTAAAGGAATGATAGAGAATTATTTTAGATTAAAAATCTATCATTTTCTTTAAAAGAAACTCTTTGAAACGCAGTTCGCAAATGGTAAAGATATCCTGTTGATCCCACACCAATTCTATCAAAATTGAAGAAGTTTTATCTGATTATATAGTTAAAAGATTAGTTTCTCCTTATTCTTTACCTAGACGTTTATCTCGTAATGTATTTGCATACAACAACGAGAATCATAAATACACGTCTTATGACATACATTTACAGAATAAAAGTAGGTTCGTATGAAATTGTGATAATAGACATAGTTTTAAATTATCTAAGTGGCCAAGTAACCAGGTGAATCCTTATCTAAGCGTACGTACTATGAAGAATGTGTGAACAGTGGTTATATCAACTATAGTGAATGAATAAAAACGTGATCTCATTTCATAGGCTGCTGATAAATTCATTGATAGATTATGTATCGGTAGCGGTGATCACATTTACGTCAAACCCCATTGTAAAATATTATTACGGCATGATAATGTGTTAGGGCGACGTCCACGGGGTCCTCCCTGGAAACGATCGTAGGTAAATCCTAATAAATAAGCTGGGGTTGTTAGAAGCTTACCTAAATAATATTATGGCTAATATTTAAAATGGGCTCTTATACCCCGGAAAAGATATTATATTCTTACATTTATATAACCGATAATAATATCAAGTATATGATTAGAAAGAAGTATCCCTTATATGCAAATACATACACAACCATAGTTCAATAAGCAAAATAAGAAAGGTTTTGTCTTTGGCATTATTTATTATACTTTAAATAGTGCGAATATTATTAACTTACACTAATGAGTCATGTCATTCTAGTACATTTGCAATAGACCGCGAAATCGTACAATCTAATAGAATAAATAAATAAAAAATCGATGGTGCAGACACATTTCCATAAGAAAAGCACAACTAGCTATATATTCAAATAAAATAATATAACTGCATTATCATTTTTTAGCATAATAAATAATTTATAATTTTAATAAAATTTCAAATAAAACGTAAAATATAATATTTTGCAATTATTTCATTGGAATAATAATTCTTATGAAGACATTTATTTATCGAAATATCTTCTTAAAGTTGTTCCTATACGACGAATCTGAATCTGAATAAATTACAACATTCTATATTCAGTAACTAGTTTACAAAATAAAAACTGCTTTCCTGCAACTAAATTTTGTTTGCGATTTGCAAATGCATTGTGATATTAATATTATAATAGTCGTATAACAATCCAATGTATAATTTGTATACATAGCTGGACGGCACCATATCATGTCAGCAGATAGATGTCTGTGCTATTACCAGAGGGATGTACCATGTAAGATTGACCTCTACGCGATTCTCCCTGGAAACCATTCTGGTAAATTGCCATTTGCCAAGATGGGCTAACTCATTTGACTTCATGCTCATTTTATCATCGTCCACTGGTGCTCCGCAAGCATAAGCCGTAAGCGGAGGAGGGTGCATCATTCCATTATCATCCATAAAAATAAACGATTACACTTTATGTAACGTTTAGCACCCTACACTGCCATTGGTACAATTATTTCATATTACAATCATTAAATACTTGTAAACAGGCACGATGGTTACCTATTTTTGCTCAAACAATTCTTATCTGTAATTTAATGATAATATAATTATTTAATATTATTCAAAGAAATTATGCTCGTTAATGCCTATCATTAAAATTGCACCGCTAAGTTGTGAACTTCTAATTAATAACAAAGTCTTAGTATGTATAATACATGATATCTTATATCAAGTATATAACCACAGCTCAAATGAATTGTTTTGTTTAACAATAAGTTATATTTAAATTTACGATTTTTATGTTTATTTTTAATGAATACTCGATGACCGAAAAAATAACAAATAAATATTCTCGGTACTGTCGGCCAAACAACTTAATTAAAGCGTTTTGTTTACGGTTTAACTTTTTTAGATTAAAAAATGCAATCGATCTGCATTTTTATTAACTTGCGTGTATTAATATGTGTATAATTCTAAAGCTAAATTACAATTTGATTTATATGCACTACTATGATTACCACAATTTTACAATAATATCAATGAAAACGTGAGTCGTACCTATTCTAAAATGTTTAAATTTATATTGTCACAAATCGACATTTAAACAGACTATAGTGTATATATATATATATATCAATACAATTGCTATGCTACATAGCTTAAAAGTTTATTACAGTCATCGGGATGTACTCGGACACGTTACAACCAGCTATAAAACCCCGAAAACAGACCATAATTCTCTCAGGCACGTATCTTAGCTCACAAATTATATGCAGCGGATTAGTTAATGAGGTTTATATTGATATCCGCAATTCTAACTACTTTTTCCCCATTTCAATACTACAATTCCATATTATACATGCATCATTATCATTACTTATCGATATCCTAAAATCACATTCCATATTGATTACGAACATATACAGGTATATAGAGTATAGCTACATGATTTATAAATTTTCAAAACACGTACCTATGTTTATACCAAACATATTGTGAGAAGTGATTTCATATTTCGTAAAAAAATGCAGTTTTTAGGCCAAAAAGCCCTAATATACATAAAATAAATTACATTTAGAAATATTGCATACAGTTTTTGAGCAAATTAAAAATGTATTGACCATTTACTTACACAGCTGAATTCATAGCTTAATTATCGTTAAAAGTGTTTGCGACGTCTTTTTCGTCTATAATCGTTGTAGCCACAATTAGACATGTAAAAAAACATGTCCAACATGTAAAATCCGTAATTAGCGTTAAGTAGACATGCGGCATATATATATTACAATACGAATACAATCAATTTAAATTCATAATTTCAATAAAACTGTTTTGAAGCACCCATATTATATCGTTAATATTCCTATACAATCCAACAAATTAGTTTTCGATATCGAGACAACTACAATGATGTACAACTTACAGTAATTAAGTACAAAGTACACACCATCGTTGATATTATTTCTATTAAATCGCTACATGATGAGAATTAAATATATAAACTGTCAAACACTAGCCAAATTTATTTGGTATTTTACAATCGCTTTTATTAAATGTGTCTCGCCTAGTGTATTACACCATCAAAAACATTACAATTATTAGTAATGAAACCTAGACATTAGAATTTTTAAAGTTTTCCTATAATGTGAGGATTTTGAAAGAGGCGCAGTTATAACGTACGCACGTTGTATCTAAACGACTTATATTTGTAAATTCTAATACTAAAGTAATTAACCTAAAATAATAAATGCATATATAATTATATTTTAAGATTTTTTACATCCATTGTCATAATTTTATCGTAAATTATTTAAGATTGTAAAAAAACATCCATTCTTTTAAGAATGTTTTGATTACCCACGTTTTATATAATTATAAGGATATGCTATCATTAGAAATATATGATTTTCGAAACGAAATCCATAATTAACAATAATATATATAGGATTATTAATGTAAATAATTACATTAAACACAGACATATTAATTATATTACTATGCTCCTTTCTTATGGTTGATTGTAGTGAAAGAGAACAAGTGCGTCTTAAGTAGACAAGTGCATTAATAGACATGAATTAATATATAATATTACACCAATGGTATGAATACATTGCACATCCATGGAAGAAATTAATTTTGAGTAGTCCATGCCAATATTTGGATCACCAATATTATTTGATTAATAGTATATTACGATTCAAGTGCGTCATAAATAACTTATAGCACACGAGGAGCAATTTCAGGCCGATCCGAAGGCGGAGTTTGTTAAATACGCACGTATATCCTGCGATGTTTTGCTGACGATGTTTTTCAACACACTTCATTTGAAATAAACTCAACCATAAAACTGTAATGCACACCATTTCAAGTGCGGTTATGGTATACAACTTCACTAGTTGCGTTTATAACTCACGCGCATCTTAAACGCTGCTTTATATATCGAAAACCAGTGAAATTAGATCCACGAGCAAGTGTGTTGAAAAATAAACAAAAACATTACCAATCCTACGTAACAATCTTAGGTAACATTCCGTCGTAATCGATTAGTTAATACATTTTTGGTAGACACCAAATAGACAGAGAAGTATTTGTCCAGAACGTCTTGACAATACAAGATAAAGAGAGTCACATTAGTTAAGAAATCGATGGCTCCATCTACTGACACACACTCAGCATCATTCTGCTGACTGTGTGTAAGTTTTTGCTAGGTGGCCAGCGCCATGAGTCTGCGTCTTCGAAGTTTCCGGCCGCACCGTTTCCAGATTGTGGTGAGAAAGTAGATGATACCGAACAAGGCGACCAGACTGATGGCACGACTGGTAGTTGAGGAGGACGTGGGTTCAGATTCCGGATGAGAACGTGACGGCGCCGCGCCAGCTCCGCGCCATGCACGTGGCGCTGGTTCTGTACCATCGATATCTGGAGCACCTATTACATTATTATTACTTTATTTATTTCTTTGTTACTTTAATTTATGTACAGTTTATGCAAGTGTATCTAGCTTGTATTTTACGTTATTATTATATGTTACCTTATTTACATATATCTGTTAAATATTTTAATTTGTCTCACATATGGCGGTTTTATTGGTTTCAGCAATAAAGCCTTATATATTTATTATCTATATGATATTTGTGTTTTTTAGTTATTTGTGATATGTCTATATATCTGCTACTATTCTGCTTAATAATAGTAAAATACAAACTATAAATAGGTTATACTTTATTATTATTAAATAAAATAGTAGCACTAGTAAAAGGATTTATAAACTGTGTTTCAGTTAGAAGAGATATGATGACATTGCAAGTCAGGTGAGCGAAAGTCGTCTTTTGCTGTATTTTTTATGTAATTGTAATAATTACACAAAAAATAGCGTATTTAGAATTTAAGGAACATATTCAGAATCTACCTCCTTTTAACTGCAAAGTAGTGTTTCGAACACCAAACTCAGAATTCATAAACTATTATAATAACTAAGCTTGGTAAATGGGGGGCCAGTCATTCCTCCTCCCTCCATTTTGACTGGTGAAAACGGGTATTTTGTATGTCAATTAATAAGAATTACCAATGCTTTTGGGGTCAGTCGGCTGGCGCCTGGGTGCGAGGTTGCGGGCGGCCAGAGGTGCCTGTACAGGATGTGGTGTGAGCGCTGGCTTTTTTCCACAATCAGGCACAGGCCTGGGTCCACTGCCATCCGGCGAGAGCACCCGCGAGTACATGTGCAAACGGCCTCCTTCGGCACGTTGTGGCAAATCTATACACATATCATAACATTGAGAGGTTTAAGAACTATATGTATATGTTTTGAAAATCTGCAAATCAAAAATAATTTATTCATGTAGGACATTTTAGCTGCTTATGGACGTTAAGTTTTTAGTTAATTAGAAAAAAATTAACGAATTTCAAATCTCTATACTTTCAACTACTTGTACATTATATTGAAGATAATTATTTATTTTTAATTTCAATTACCTGAAGGTATAATGTGTACATCTCGAACCCGATGTTGCGGTGGTGTGGCAGCTTCCTTCAATGGCGAAGGGAGGTGACCCACAAGGGCATACTGCAGAGTCGCCAGTAGCAGCCAATGGCAGGGCTGGGCCGCCCCGCCTTCCAGACATGAAGAGTCGCCGTATACAACCAATCTACCAGCCTATATGTAGAAGGAAGTAATAATTATGTATTTTTTTACTTTTAGAGTTTTCATGTACAAAATACACAAAGCCATGTATTTTGTACTACGTGTTTCTAGTAGTTAAATTCTATGGTGCACCCACCTGTGGTATAACGTTGATGGGGTACCAATGAAGGACATAACTATATATCGATAGGTTGAATATGAAGTCAGATGAGTTAGTACGTCGTGATAGAATTAATATGACGGGCTATTAATAAATATATGACAATAAATATTTAATCAAATAAACATGTAATTTTATAATAGATCCTTACCCGTGGTAATTTTTCCATAGTGGTATTAGTGTAGTTACTTCTCTGGCTACCGGTCTGCAATAGCCCCAATATAGGCACATCAACGGTCGGTGCCCCGTCTGCCGCTCGATTCCCACTAGGCTTTTCTTTCGACATTATCTAATTGCAAGACATCCTTTTTAAAGTTATAATAATTTAAGACACAATTAGACTATTTTATATTAAGTACACATGAATGTCTTTACTGTAAATTCGCACTCATAATATTACGCATTTATTTTTTGATATCCTATATGATTTTTATAGAATGCTTTAAATAATTATAATTAACAATTCCAGTTTTTGTTCTAATTATTGCAGTACAAAATTAACATTACCTGTTGCCCCTGATCACTCAATGGTGCTGTAATTATGACGCCATGCTGAGGGAAGCTGTGAATATGAGTCCCGCTTGCGTAGTATATCGGGTGTCGACCCAGTTTGAACGAGCCTTCAAACACGCGATCTCCTAGTGCTACCTATATACACAAAAAAAGTTCCAATAAAAACGCTATACAATCCTTAGAAAATTAGTATAGAAAAAGCACGAAATTCCATTTCTGTTAAATTAATTTATAAACCATTTCTTATAGAGAAACACAAATAGAACAATTGTTCAATTGTTTTGTATTTGTTTGTGTCGTAGTTGAAAGGATTTCAAATATAAATATGGATATTTATTCATCTTAATTAACTATTTAATTTGTGAAATAATAAACAACGAATTCATAACACTTCACGGATAATACTAACAAATCCAATATATATTATTGATATCACCATTATTTTACCACATAGGGAATAAAAAAAAACAATGACGCTTTCGCAAAATGATTTAAAAATAACATACCTGATACATACTCAGAAGATCATTCAATGCTGGTACATTTGCGCCACCAGTTTCCGGTATCCACCTGTTAATATATTATATTTGTTATATATGTAACTGTAAGGTTGGATTTTCGATTTAAAATCAATCTCATGAGAGTGTAAACTATCCTTGGACCTCGTTGGTCTAGAGATTTAGTAATGAGCTTTGCTTCCGATGGTCATGTTCCATTCCTCGCACGATCAAATATTGTATTCATGATAATCAATATGGGTGTTTTCTACGTACGTTATGTATGAATATACAAGTATATTTAGTTGTCTAGTAACCCTAACATAAGCTCTGTTTACCTTAGGACTGGATGCGCTCTGTGAAGTGTTCAGATATTTTGAACAATATGTCTTATAATATAAGGTACTTTTGGTAGTCTATCTGTGCTGAAAAGTACATTGAAGTTCCTAATAGATATGGGACCCTTACCATTGTCGTGTGTTTTCATCATAAAACTTCACGTGCCGCAGTAACGAAGCGTTGTACCAATCAGCGAATACAACCAGCGAAAGTCCGGAATCCACAGCCTTTTTCAATGCGGCCATTTCTTCAGGAAAATATTCATCTTCGGGATCCACGAGTAGAAGAGCTCCATATAGAGATGTGTCGACGCAGGTTAAAGGTGTACCTAGTAGCGGGTACCAAATTTTATCAGTTAATCTTTATTTTTTATTAGTAATTACATGACACTAGAACTGCAATACAGACAGCCTCTTCATTATAATGCATCGAAACGTGCATAAATCGCAATTGTCAAAAGATCCCAACAAAATGGTAACAATCTTGGTCCTAACATCGGCCAAGTGACAATAATATTTTAATTGTAATTTTATAATTTTCAATTAAATGTATATTACAACTAGCGACCTGACTCGGCGTCACACGGATGCATGTCATATCACATGCATCACATACCTTTCTCCTGAATCACTCTGTCTATTGCTGAAAGCCGCATTAATATCAGTTGTGTAAATTAAAATATATAAGCTAACAGACAGTGGCGGCGATTTTGTTTTACACTATGTAAAGACTTTTTGTTTTTTTTTTGTGCCCTGGCTCGGTTGTAGATTGCATAAAATGTATCCTAACAGTGACATAATCTACAATTAGATAATTTCACATTTTTCTCAGCGTATAAGGTAATATTTGGAAATATGGTCCCGCCCTGTAAGAATCCAATCCGGATTTTTACATATGGAGTGGCAGAAAAAAACACGATCAAAAATATTAATAATCAAAAATGTTATCTTCCTATATTTATATTTTATAATATCAATCAATCACATAATTAAATTTTACCGCCTTATCTTTGATCGGCGCGTTGGCATATATGATAGAATAGCAGCATAGAATGCCATCTAGCATTAAAACCGCCACACAATTTTTGCGTGCAAAAGAATGATTTTTTTTTTATATTTTAGACACAAAGGCAATGTTCACAAGGCTCACCCATAACTTCAAGATAATATCCGTGCTCACGGAGGCGGTGATACATGTCTCTAAAGTTGGTGTGTACGTGATCGGCGTGCCAATCCAGAGGGTCGTGTTTAGCTCTTAAGTCGTCCCGGGGGAAGTAGCCCCCAGGATAGCGCAGGCTATGGAACTGATCCCATAACAGTCGCCGTGAACGCACTGGCACCGGAATCACTCGTGCTCTGTAATTATATTAAAAATTGGTACTGTTCATCTGAACATTCAGCTGAATCTATGACATAGATATAGATGGAACTGGCTCACTGATGCCAGCCTATGACTACTTCTTTCGTAAAATCTTAAAATAAGTTAGTATTTATATGAAGGCGTAATTTAGAATGTGTTCTTTTTAAGATGGAGTTGATTCAAATGAGCAAATATAGATTTTAATATTTTACGCATGTGGCATGCTTATGTGCACCTTAGCCTTCCAAAAATTCTTTTGCCTCAGACTTCTTAAAATTATTATATATTTACAAAATACGATGAAGTATTTTTATAGGTGGATCTTTAATTATATGAAGTGTTTACACACCGTATCGGTAGCATCAGTGTCGCATTACGCATGGTCTTGTCCCCGTATTCGCCGTGACTTTCAATCGTCACATTTATATGGCCCTGCAAAACATTCATATACTTAATATTTTAATCTAACAAAACGTAACCTTTATATTATAATAATTAATTAATAATGATATAAAAGTACAAATTCTTAGTTTATTTATATATTATTTCAAATATAAAATACAAACTCAATTATAGTAGAATGGTTAAAAAATCTTATTATTGTTACCGCACAAATTGTCAATGATATCTTAGCAGATAACTTTCAAACGTACTGGAATGTATGTAAATGTAAACTGTGGATTTTGAGACGGCGATGTTATTATTTACAATTACTTGGATACCTATAAAAACTACGATATATTTGAATATCTGTTGACAATACAACTACTCACTCTTTCATATACGCATATTCCGCTGTAATCATTTTGGTGGACTGTGGTGCTTATATGACATACGAAGCATAGACCATATTTTAAATAAGTTGTAACCATATTTTAGTTAAGTTGAAAATGTAAGAAATATAAATGAAAATTAATATAAAAGATTGAATTGCGTTGGAAAATATATGCAAAAAGTTACAAATTAAACGGCTGATCGAGATCCAAATACTTCCCGCTTATGGAAAGGCCATTATTAATGTATATTACTTCATTTACATAGTTTTTTTATTACTCTATTTTTTATACTCTTATTGTCCATAGACTGAAGGTCCATGCCCTTTTTAGCGAATTATTTATTTTGTCCATTCGTTTTTTTACATGGCTTTTCTAGTTCCGCGAAGATATGTGTTGTGGCTTCCCACAGTTAATGAATTAATTAATCTATACTTTTGTTCTGGCCTACATTATTAGTATATTGTGAATTACCTCAATAACTCCATCAAAAGTGGCTCCTTCTTCCAGTACCATGAAACTGAGCGCCAACCAACCGGACCACGGCCACAATATCTGACTGTGTTCAACAGACACAGAGAGCAACCCGCCGTGCGGTAGGTGAGGATGCCAGGTTACTTCTTTCTATTGTTTTGAAAATTTTATTTAATGTAATGAAAGTATCGTGATGGTTTACTGTTCTCACATACACACCCATAAGGTCGTGAGTTAAAATCTGGGATACAAAGTTTAAAAAAATCTATCTATTTATAACAAAACTATGTTGGATTCAAATATATCCAATAAAATGTGGGTATTTCAAGAGTTGCGGTCACGTCTAGAAACTATCCCCTTCAGGATAATAGTCATGATAGTATTTTATATTGCAAATACGCTTTTGGGTGACAATAGTAATGAAATAGAGACTGGTATATTCTGCTCATCATGTTGTACAGCAGTTATTTCCTACAGCACTGTATAAGTTTATTATTTCACCATAAGAGAACTCACATAAAAAAAAACAAATTCTATATATGCGAAAATTAGTACCGTTATATTATCTTTTCAAAAAATCAGGCAAATTGTGGATAAGTTAGGCATGATATATAATTATACGTTTTTATGATTCCTTATTCAAATAAATTTTATTTAATAACTTTTGAATACTCATAGATTTTTTTCATCAAATGCTCATTTAGAAAGCTGAGACAGCTTCACATCACAAGAAGGAATAAGAAACTTGCGTGTTGCTCTTAATAAAATAATAATCCAACTCACCACATGTCCAGAGACACCGAGACCATTAATAACTGTAACATTGGCTATGGTGGGCTGAGCGCTGTAGTACAACTGCTGGGTGCAGTATGGCCACATATACTGACACTCTGTCAAATCAATATATGGAGGGCTCAAACTTGCCTTTGGTTCGTATTCTCTGAGGAACTGTTGAAATGAAATGGAATAAAATTGTAGCGCGATGGGCATATGATATACACCTCACCAGTGTAGCGTCAAGTATGACATGACCAGGTAGTATCTAGGCAGTGAGTATACAGATGTAATAGTTATACTACAATAGTAGTTTATTTGATAGTGTGCTACATGGCTTATTAGTAACAGGTATACTCAACGCGGAGGGTGGACTGGTTTTACACTGAAGTTAAATATAAATAATGTGGAGTAGTAAACAACTGGGAAGGTGCCGAGTGTGAATAGAAATTTGTCCAATATATTATAATATATTTACAACGTCATAAAATAGGTTCGGTACTACATATGTATACGATAATACTGATTTATATAGAATGTTAGAATTTTAATTCATTTATGTAATTATGTATTGATTTATTAAGATGCAATGGTATCATAATTTATTCTAATAGAATCCGTAACGATATTATAAATGCAAGTGTTCATGCGCTTGTTACCTTTCACGTCTTAACGGCTGGACAGATCTTATTAATATTCATTCATACGCTTAGTCGTGAAAAGACAATATATGTATAGACAGAATTTCCAGTCCAAAATATTACTATAAATAAATCAAAATTGATTGTCAAATATGTTGGAGGTCACTCGTGTTAATGCAAGATAGTAGACAGTAACATAACAAGGTTAATTAATAAAATATAAATTAAATACAGAGTTAAAATAGCAACCTGATAAGCACTAATAAGGTCCAATTTTCCGTGTCCCTGTTCGAACATGTTATAGTTGGTTAGTCGACGAGCCGTGATGCACAGGGCCTGCTTGACAGACGCTGGAGTTAAGTGATGTCGTGGAACACCACTAGCTAGCAATGCTATGGCACCAGCCACTACAGGGGATGCCACCGATGTACCTATATTGATAATAATAACAATAAATTTCATTTCAAATTATTTTAAATACATTCTTAAGATTAGTTAGATAAACTACGCCATTATTTAAGAGTAGGATGAATCACGCAAACAGTATAGTTCGAATAATTTACTCACATTGGCAATTTCTTATTACATATGCACGTCAAATTGTCTAAATTTATCATTAACCCTATAATCTAGTTTGGCGCTAGTTACTTCAGTTGAGAGGAACTAGCAAGAAACTCAATTGATACATTTTTTATAACTTTATATACAAAATTGTGTAAATTTGTGGATAACTTGTAGATCCCTCCTCAAGACCTAATCAATTCATGTGGACAAGTAGTGACAACTTTCGCTATTATAGTTATAGCACTGTATATTATAACATTAAATTACGATTTCCCTACAATTAGTTAATTAGTATCATCATCATCTACTTCTTCTTTAACCAATTTATTTGGGGCGATGTAACTTTCTCCTACACTCGTCTCTGTTCGCTGTGATCTTATTTATTCCCTTTCTTACAACATTATCTTTCACGCAGTCCATCCATCCCTTTTTCGGCCTTCATATGGCCTTATAACCATGCACACTCATATATAAAATATACATGATTCCTACAATTAATTATTCAGCACATATTAAAAAATATATATATATATATATATTAAATAAAATTAAAAATATATAGTTTATTTATCCACATAGTCGAAATGTTTACATTTTATATTTTCATACGATGGAAGTAGTGTTGTCTTGGTAGTTCTAATGAATATATTTCACATTATAGGTATGTATGAACGTAAAGTTATGTTTAACGTACATACCGCTTAAAGATCGACAACCTCCAGTAACACTTGATCCCTGGACACCGCTGCCGTATGTCACTATATCAGGTTTCATGCGGCCATAGCCCTGAAAGAAAATTCTCACTTGTATGTTTGTGTAAAAGACGAGCCTTTGGGTACTCTTGTTTCAACTCATCTCACTGAAGATAAACAAGAAAAAATTATGTACACACAGTGTTATAATAAAATACGTACATGCGGCAATTCCCACGTAGTCATCCCACGGGATGAGAATTTCGCAATGCGATCGTCGAACCCAATCCCACCAACACCGATTACGTCCATCTGGTCCGCTGGATTGTTAAGAGTCCCGTACAAGGGTCCATCGTTGCCTATCGCTGATACCATTATGACCTAAGCAAATAATAACAGTTGTCATTTTGTTGTTAAGCCACACACTAAAAATTTATATATTCATTTATATTTTGTGGTAAAATACGAGTATTAAAAATAGCAATAACATATAAAATATTTACCTTATTAGCACTTAATTCCCAGACCTTATCGACAAATGGGTGGTCCATGAAATCAGGACCCCCAATACTGAGATTCAACACGTCGATCTTACGCATTATTGCATAATTAAAGGCATCCAGGAACCACGATGTGTATGATACCTAATAACATATTTAAATAATTAAAAAACTGTGTTAGTGCTGTCTCTCCTGTATAACAAACAATTAAAAAAGGGCTCTAAATTTATTTCATATATAATTAAATTCTCCACATCACTAATTTATACTATGAATATACATATAAAGTTAAATTATTAAACACATTAGCATAAGTAATTAATTATTACCTGGTTATCAGTAAACACACGAAATATATGCAAATCGGCATCGGGAGCGAAACCTAGACAATCAGTCCGCGAAGCTATGACGCCAGCTACGAAGGTGCCATGACCAAGAGCATCGTCCAGAGTATTTTCTCCAGTCCAGTCTGTGCGTTCACGCACCCGGCCAAAATGCGGATGATGTCGGGCCAGTCCTGTGTCAAACACTGCTACCCTAACCCCCTCTCCTGTATTAAAATTATTTCATTTCTTTATTAAAAGTTGCTTCCACAACAAAATAATATTAACAAGTAGGAATTAAAGAAAAAGGTTCTTCATGTTTATACATATCTTATAATATATTATACATATTTTATTGGCAAATTGATAAGTACATATCCATATATATTACTGAATGATCTATCAATACGTACTAAATTTCTAGTAAGAAATTTTGAAATAGCTTCCATGGTGTTCAATAAGTAATAAGAAACGGTTTCCGTTCATTCCCTGGCCAACAGGAGATAAAGATATCCGTGTACACTTAGCACAATAATAAAAAAGATAACGTCACCTGTAACACCGAGCGACCAAAGTACATCTGCTTTTAATACTGCCGTTATCTGGCGTGGAACTGTTCTTAGTAACCTGCGAGAATTGTAGCCACCATTCTGTAGGTAGTGAAAATATATAATATTATATATTTTTACTTTCAATTCATTGTAACGATTGAGAGTTAACAGCGGATTAACTAATGTTTAAACGATACTGATTGCAATGTAATGTTAAAAGTTAAATCGTTTGAGGGTTTGGATCTTAAACAGAGAAATAATAGTAAATAAATCCACAATAAAGGAACAGACGATGTCTCCATAAAAATTAGATGTATTAGTGACTATCAGGAGAATTGAAATTGTAAGGGATTACAAAGTGTACTTCATTAATATAAAACTTTAAATTGTCTCGCCAATACAATAATGAGGATAAGTAAATCCTATATTAAACAATACATTTCGTACCTCACGTGGTTTTCTAAGTGAACGTAAGGCGCGAATTCGATGATTACGCCAACCTGCGTATAAACAACCAGCAGGTCCACACTCGTCCTAAAACAAATGAAAACATATAATTATAGGAACGCAATTCTACTACATTTATTTCTTGAAAAGCGTATAAGTAGTGAATAGTTTTATGATACACTGTTTAATTAATAAAAGAATATATATTGTAAGTCAACCTAAACGAAAATTTTACCCGAAATAGACTTTGTACAAAGTGTGACTTCTCTGTATGGGTAAGTACTGTCTGTCTCTTCTCTATTTCCAACTCTAAGCTGCTTACTTTGTATGTTTTGTTTAGAGACTAAGCTCACCGTGGAATTATATGCTTTGTACAGACTTAAAATCATAGACTTCTTTATATAGACAACGGTTGCCAACGGTTGACAACTTTAACATTAGGTTGAACGTAAAATTGAAAGGCATTCCAAATACGTAAAAAAAATCAAGTACAGCTCACCTCTTTGATATATTTTATGGTCCGTTGAACCTGCCTTTGAACAGTGACACGACGAATTGCTGGGTGATCTCGTAGAGCATCCAACGCACGATATCCATTCTCCTCTAACACGATCACATCAAAGTCACTTGGATAGTCGTTAGCTGGATTATTTCGTTGTAATAATGTCCAATTTGATACCTACCAAAAAGTTCATAATTATATTTTTTTATACCCTGGATTATACGTAGGTCACACAATACATAGTCCGTAACTAAGCAGAACATTATTATAATAATAAAAATAATATTTTAGGACATTTCACACGGCTCCATCCATTTCTTGGGTATTAAATCTTATGTTATGAGTGCTAGACATCACAGATACCTATACATATGTTTATATATATTTTTGGAAATACATATGTAATATACATAGAAGACACCTTAACCAATACACATAATCATACTCGTTAGTACAAATTTATGTACATTGATATTTTTTTAATATGCTAGAAAAAGTAAAGACAGTGTCAATGTTCTTGCTAAAGATTTATCTGCGGTATGCAACGCAAATAATATACCTAATGAGAACAATATGAATATACTTCTGTAAGAGTATGCCTGGCCAAACTACACCCCAAGGGTATATTATAATTTCTTAAGGGTGAACAACATGCATCTGACAATCCTGGTGTCTCAGATGTCCAATAAAAAAAACAAAATTCTGTTTGACAGCCTTTTTGCGAATACATAAGAATTCATCAGATATGGAATGAAGGACTACTGTATAAATAGGAAAAAGAAAAGTTTTTATTCACATGAGCTTACTGAAGCACTTTTAAATTATAATATTTTTTATTCTACAACTCACACAGAATTAAGATTAACTGGAAAGATTAAGAAAAACCTGTTACAGTTATTACCTTCTACTACAATATTATCTGCTACATAGTCTATTCAAAGTTTGAGAATTAAAAGAATAATCTTCATTCTATGAGATCAAAGCAGGAGTGGCATAGGAATTCTCAGACCTGTATTGTACCTTAAGTATACATAGGAATAAGTCTCATAAGTTAATGGGATTACTATAACCACCTTTGCAGAGTAACAACATGCCTAATATGATTTCTGCTGTTGTCCAGAATGGCCTGGTAAAAATTAATAATGAATAGTCAAAACAACATTACAAAATCTGTAGAGTCACCTTTACTCTAAAACGGAGGACTCACCCTACAGTGTGGCTGGGAGATAATGCTTTACCACATAAAGACACTGTTAAATATGTGGACTACAACACTTACACACAATCTGATTACAGCCAGAAGGGCTGATTGCAGATAGAAAAGAAAAGAATATGGAAAAAAAATTGTAGATTACCTTTTATAGCTTCCTAAATTGATATATACTCAATTATTAAAACAGCATTACTGTACCCGACTAAAACAAAGCAGTAATCTTAAGGAATAAATTGTGTCATACCCAATGCACAGAATAAGTGAGACACTGTGATAAAAGAAACTACTTGCCGATTGGGACGCCCCATGGAGCTTGTAGCTCCAACTGCCGTCGTTACACTATATAGGTTCCAATACACAATCAACTTATACTATCTTTACTTATTTATAGAATATTATTTAACTCTTTTATATGTATAATGTAGCATGTACTGTGTATTCTATACTTAAAGTGACCATGCTACACCACAACTACCTATATGAAATGTTTTACATAAGTTGAGTTTTAAGTTAGATTCTACATCAACTAGTCTAGAAATTAATGTTTGTAATTTGATAAGTTCACACATGTACTTATCATCAATGTGTAAATAAATGGGGATTCTTGAAATACGTTTGACTTTTAGCTTTACTAAACTTTGCACAGAATATTCTATAAAAAAATATACTTACAATTATAATTTAGAAAACACAAACATCATAAATTAATCAGGTTCATAACTTACCCCAGCATTTTTCAAGGCCGCGGTTACATAGTTTTCTCTGGTAGATCTTGAGAAATATCCCTTAAACGTAATAATATGTTCACTGCCAACCACATCTGTATTGTACTTGTATTCAACATAAGTAGAATTGGAAAGATTACATGATGCAGCAACAAGTAAATGCTCATTGGCAAAAATCAATATAATTGGAAATGCGATTAATACTACATTTTTATGCATCATCCTCACGTAAAACTTCACCAAATAATGCCATTAAACATGATCGATAAATCAGTAAGTCAATGTTTTTGGTGATAAAAGATAAAATTTATTTGCGGACTACTACAGTATATCACAAGCATAATTGTTATAAACAATATGAATGTTGATAGAATAAAAATTATTTCTAGAATAAATTATTTTAAAAAGATCATTTAAATATTAATAATCAATGGTAAACGTTGTGCGACAATAGAGATGCTGGTAGTGCTACTACTTTATTCAACTTTATTGATTAAATGATTATTAAAATAAAATAACTGCGAAACTAAGTCAGACAACTGACAGTAGTGACAGCTTCATAGTTATTTGTTGTTCTGAGTTCTAGCCAGTGCAGCCTGTGACTCCAACACTGGAACTCTCCCTTACATTTTAAGTATTAAGAAGAAATTACATTAACGTGTTTTTCTGGAGGAATCACCACAACCTTCGTACTGAATGGGCCTTGATTTGAAAATTCTTATTATTTTTTCTTGTGATGAAAGTGATTTAACCAGTAAATTGTATTTAAAGACAACAACATGCTTGATTATTTGGAAGAATTTTTGAAATATATTTATTTGGCAGATTGGATTAGCTTTTGTTATAAAAAGTAACTAATTCTAAGTTACTATTATCACAGATATCATAATATTCTTTATTAAAAGTAGGAAGGTAATTTGCCACTTCACACAAAATCCACATTCGCTTTACAGGCAATACCAAAATTACTATTAGTAGAAATATTGTGTGTATAGGCGTAGCATTTATAAAGTAGATTTGTACACTTCGCATCTATGATATTAGTTTTCCGTAACCGCACTGTTCACAACCTGGAGGGTGTAGCTTCTTACTATATTTTCTTAGACAATTCATATCGTTTACTGTTGGTAATAGTTCGACTACTCAAAATATTTCTACTGAATTTTGTGTGTATTTGTGGCCCATTTCTTTATAAACTCCTTAAAACAAAAATTCATTGGTATTAATCAATACGAATGGTTTAAGATTTGGTTTACGGTGCATATAGAGCGATCGACTTCAGTCCTTTTTAGTTTACTAATTTGATTAACAAGTAAACAATTTGTCATGTTGTCTTTGGTTATTTAGGTAAACAATTTTTTAATTATTTTATTTTACTCTTCTTATTATTAAAATTTATAAAATATTTCAATACTGCTATATATTTTGTGCTAATCTACATACTTTTAATTTATATACCGATTTTCGAATGTATTAAATATTATAATAGTAGTTAACTGTTATCCTCTTGTAATGGCATTTAATGACGGACTAAGATTTCCACCCACACCGAAATACTTTAAATTATTGGATCCTGGTGCATACCAAAAAGGCGATAAGCGTAATATAAAGTTGAACACGGTTCCATTCCTATCTAAAACACCTCGTAATACTCAAGACGACGTAAAGATATGGACACATGCTATTTATGATGTAGGTCGCAATTCAAAAATTCCCAATTGTACTTCTATAAAATCTATAATCCCTCGTTTTCCCTATGAAGCTTTTAACAAAGATGATTTGGAAAAGATTATTTGTCTATGTAGTGTAACAAATGTATGTGACCATGGACCTAAAGATGAAGAAACAGAGAAAAAATTATGTCAAGTAAAAGTTCATAAATGTTTATATAAGGGACCACCACCCAGATCTATATTGGGCGATGGTGGGTTGTCAGCTCCTTCTAAATGGGACAACGGATTTTATATATCATTAAATGGTTCCCAAAAGCGTATAAGAAATGAAGTTACTAATAACAGTCCGCCTTTTTATGATGTCAAGGTCAATGAACACACTGGTTTCTATCGTGGCTGGAAATGGAGCAAATGGACTACTCAACGGGAAGAGAAATCATTTATAAATGACAAACCATGTCCTTCTGATTACTTTTTGAAACGGGAACTACTACAGAATGAATTATGTGCTGAAACTGTACGAGCTTTCAAACGAAAAACATCGAAACAGTTGCGTTTTATAGAAATTGTTCAACAAAGAAATATATCAGAAGGACGTCCTGGTCCAGCTAGTTACAGTCCAAATTTGCCCAAAGGTTTCAAAGTCAAATTTGTTGGTCCTAAAGCTAAAAGATTTGTGATACCCAAGTACGTGGAACGGCCTGGACCGGCTGATTATTTTATAAAGAGAACATTTGAGACTCGGAATTTTCCACAAACATCATGCCACGCAAAGTTATATAAGCCTGCTGCCTTTGGTATTAAAAGTCAAAGATTTAAATCTCGACGAGAAGAGGGACCAAGCCCGGCTAGTTATAATATCAGGTTAAATCCTTGTCAATTTATGCACTGCCCCGTAGCGCCGTTCGGATCTTCTTCAGTCCGATTTTTAGATCATGTACTGGAAGAAGATAATGATGGTAAAATAGAATCACAAACAAAGTACTGTAAAGTCAATAGCCTCTGCTGTAATCCAACTTGGGGATTTAAATCAAAAACAATAAGAATGAAACCACTAATAAAAAATAATAATGAACCGAGTCCAGCTGATCTTCCTCAATCAAGAATCAAATTAGGGCGACATCCACAAGTGCAATCTAAAGTACCATTCTTATCTTTACAAGGGAGATTTCAACCTTGGTATGATTGGATGCCGGTTTTTGGTTGTGTTAAAACACCTGGACCTTGTTACTATAGTTTAGAGCATCCAAAATGTCTACCAGCTGTGCATCATAATTCTCTATTTCGAGCACCACGATTTCCCATTCAACAAACTCAAACGCCTGCTCCTAACGAATATGAGGTAGGAGGTGGCTTAGAAACAATACTTAATACTCATAACCAAAAACTAAAAAGCAATATAGTAAATCAACGTAAATTTCATTGGATTGCCCCAATGAAATCAAAAAATGTAAGTTATGAAGAACATGAAATGATGTTAATATATAAAGCAATAGCATTGTTAGAGGTATCTGATATGTAGAAAAAGAAATTATTTATTCACCATGTTACCTTGTAAAAATACAAGTAACCTATTAATTTCATTTTATTTTATTGTGTAGCTAGGTATTATTTTTAATTTTTGTTACGCAAAATTTATTCATATTCATATCACATTTTTTTTATTGCAATAAGTAACCCCAATTATAGTAATATTTAAAAAAAAATATGTATACAAATTTTTTAGACTAAATATGAAATATTGAAAAATAGGTAAATTACAATACGTAAATCTATACTTAAATATTTTTGCTACTACTACTAGACATAGGCAGTATGGGTCATTCTCTTTGCCTGTCCGACTTTGACGAATATTAAAACTTAATTAAATTGTCATTTAAACCTTGATAGTTTCATTAAATTTTAAATTTATTTATTTTATATACTTTGTAAACCTAACATGTCAAAACTCGGTGTGTTGCATTTAACAAAACACACTGGTACTGCACATACTGCTACTGTTATCTTTTTTCATGGATCTGGTATGTTGTTGAATAAACAAACACTACATAACCTTACTTATTAATACAAACAGCGGCATATTCAATATTTACCATAGAACTAAAACTACTGGATACTTTTCAGTATTTTATGATAATAATGACCATGTCAAGTTAAAAACTTATATGTATTAATACACTAATATTTTAATTATGTGAAGGCGTGTCTGTCTCGCTGTTACTGTTTTACAATTAAATTGTTGAAGATAATTTAATAGAATTTTATGTGACATTCACCTAAAATTCTATTTAATTCTAATTCTATTAAATTAGGTGAATGTTGTTTAAATCATTAAGACAGATAGACTATTTTGTTGATCGATGTTGTAATACCTTGTAATTCTATATTATTGAAATTACAGGATCATCTGGTGCTGATATGAAGGAATGGGTCCGACTCATGGTGAAAAACTTTTCATTTCCTCACATCAAGGTTATGTACCCAACTGCTCCATTGCAACCTTATTCCCCATCTGGGGGTCTGATGAGTAATGTTTGGTTTGACCGGTCTGATATATCCCCTAAAGCACCAGAAAAACTGGATTCATTAGCAAAAATTGAGACTGAAGTAATGCATTTAATAAAGGAAGAAAACAATGCAGGAATACCAAGTAACAGAATAGTCGTTGGTAAGATATTTGTATATACTCATTATATAAAGCAAAGTAAATATTTAACTCTAAAGATGTGCCTGCTATTTCACTTGCGTTAAATTTTTTTAGAATTTAATATGAAATGTACCTTATGTGTTATTATGATGCATAAGTTATATTACTGTAAAGTATAATCAAAATCATTCAGTAGTATTTACCTGAAACAGTAACAAACATCCATACTTACAGACTTTCACATATATAATATTAAGATTGAGAGTAGAAATATGTTTGTGTGTAGGTAATATCCTGCTGATTCGTAACATTTCATAAATTATTGATTTATAATTTCAACTTTGTATGAGACAACTTTGATCAACCAGTAGCAAAGGGAGGTGCTGGTGCAGGTAGAGAGAAACAGCAGGTGAAAAGAAACATTTATAAATCTATATGTTTTCTGGACACATAAGTAAGACAGGATTACTAAATATTGAATTATTTGTATATGGAGGGTCTATAAGTAAAGTTAGTCAATAGTCTATTTCCTAAGTATAAATTATGTTTAGTTAAACTTTTCATTTTCAGTTTAAATGATGACTTTTAATTCTGGTATTTCTAAATGAAATACTTAAAATACCAGAATTGTGACTAGAACAAGTCCTTTAGGTAAAGAGAATTCACTGCTATAGACATTTTATACATATCACTAATTTCTTCAACTTAATATATCTCATGCATATTTACTTCATTGTAACTATATAAGTGTGTACTAATACATTTTCTTCAGCTCTTTAGGAGAAAATATACCTTAATTTTTTTATTGATCTATATTCTAAGTTAATGATGACATTATAAGTTGTTATCATCATTACAATGGCTATTACCGTCACATTGCTAGGAAGGAATCTCTAGAGATCTTCAGAAGGGGAAAATTTACCTGACTGCACTTTGTTTCATATATAATTCTGATTCTGAATTGTAAATATATTTAATAATCTGAAATAAATATATTTCTTTCATTCCTATAACCACAGTCAGGTTTAGGCAGGCAGATATTTATATTATTATTTCTTGTAGCCACAGAACATAGTAACATAGCAATCTTAATATTGTTCCTGGCCTCTGCGGTCTAGCAATTTAGCACACCACCTTCTGTTGTTTTATTTGATTTTATTCCTCATGTGGTACAAACATTTGAGATCATGAATATGGTTACGTGTATTAGTATAGGTGTTTTCTATATATATTATGTATTCGACGACCTCTGTGGTTTAGCGGTCTAGCACACCACTTTACGTCCGATGGTCGCGGGTTCGATTCCTCGCACGACACAAACATTTGTATTCATGAGTATGATTGTTTGTATCGGTCTGGGTATTTTCTATGTATAATATGTATGTATTTACGGAAAAAAAACAATTATCTATGTATTTGTATCAGTTGTCTAGTACCCATCACACAAGCTTTAGCTAGCTTAAATTGGGTCTAGATGGCGCTGTGTAAATTGTCCTGAGATTATTATTATTATTATTATTATGTATACTTAAAATAATATATGTTTGTATTTATATCAATAGTTTATTACCCATAAAACAAGCTCTGCTTAGCATGAGACTAGATAAGGCAATGTGAATTGTCCGAGATATTGTGATTATATTCCTCAGATGCTCTAATATATAAATAATAACAAGACATTATTCCTCACATGGTATTGCAGCAAATTAGGTTGGATTTGTTATTTTTTATTTATATGTATTGCTCTTTATATGTTTTTCTTGAATCTTTGTATATAAATTTATTGTTTTCAGGTGGTTTCTCAATGGGTGGATCACTAACATATCACACTGCATACAGATGGGATCGCAACTTAGCTGCTGCCTTTGTATTCAGTTCATTTCTAAATGATAATTCTATTGTGTACCAAGAGCTCAAGAAATGTGGTGATGTTTCATGTATGTATTCGATTCTAGATATTTTTATTATAAACCTGCGTATTTATGGTTAACAAACCTTAACGCCAAAGTTAATTAATTAATTAATAATTAATTTACAACTTGTATGACTAAAATTATTATTTAGGTAATAAATTGGGAGGTCTTTGTTCAGCAGTGGATGTCTTCGGGCTGAAATGATGATGATGACATTGTTTTAGGAAGAATTTAGAAAAAGACTTTAATATGCATTAAAATCATGTAGATCATCTAGAACAGGCTTTTTTATTGTCTTGTCTTACTTTCATTACTTATAAAAAACATTTTTCAGTACCGCCTCTGCTTCAATTACATGGCGACAGTGATGACTTGGTTCATTTTCCTTGGGGCCAAAGTACCTACAATCAAGTAAAAGAACTGGGGGTTCAAGGGGAGTTCCATGTCTTGGAGAGACTGGGACACTCCATCAATAAGCGAGGAATGAATATTATTAAAGAGTGGGTAGAAAAACACTTACCTGAAATAGTTTGAATGTTAGATGTTAGATATTTTGCAATAAACAAACAATCTCATTGTTTACTTGAGTAAGAGTAAAGATTAGATTTAGTACAATATTAAACAATTTAATTATATATACATGGGAGACAGTGTTGTACAGTTTGTGTACTGTAGTTTATAAATGTGAAGTGGTAATGTATTAGTTGGTATGTTGGTAATTAAATGCATTGACATTGGTTTTTGTTTGTATACATATTATAATATATGAGAAATAAAGCGCCTATACCGCATTGTTGAATTTTACATCTTATTTATGACTAGAAGAAACTACTGATCTTGGTTCTTGCAAAATGCTGGGTAACGTTGTTCAAACCAAGTCAATCCAAGTGAGTTTTAACTTTGAAACTCATATAGTATGTTTAATACCTATTTTCAGCAAATACTTAAAATAATGTTCCACATTTTTATGGCACAAAAATTGTTATGACTTTGTATTTTGCAGTTTACTCTGCATATCTCATTGAATACACTGGAATACTGCTAATAATAAATAATATAAACATTTAAATAAGCATTTGTAATAATTAAACCCTTGTATCTTCATATATAAACATTCGAGGTTAATATTAAGTAATGTAAATCTATTTTGTTACTGTATGAAGTAGATTCTGAGTAATTATCAAATATTGTTCCATAATGAACTTATAATAATGTTTTCGAATAAAATTCACAAGGAGTTTGTTATTTAGTGAGTAAGAGTTAAATACAAATAATTATACACACGTGAATAGGATCTAGGATCGTGATAATAACCACGGGTAATTTGAACACTGTAATTATTTAAGTTTATATATATATATATTTCTAATAATACATAGTTCCTTAAATAAAAGTCTTTTATTTCTTATATATTAATTAACAAATAACACACATACAATTTTTATTTATTTATATTTATTATTTAATGGCATTGAAAATGCTACAAATATTATCAATATAAAAGTAGTATGAAAATAGTAAGCCCTGTTAAAATTTCATATGGACAAATACAGTCTTATCTGACTATATTTTAATTTGAAACTGCACATTTATAATAAATGATATACATTATATAGAACATAAATGATAAAAAAATAAATTTAATAATATATTACAATATGACTGCATTTAATATCCTTCATCACTAATTATGATTTATAGTTGGGGAATGCAGCTTTGGCTGTTTTTACATAGCCTTGTGAATAATCATAGATGTGAATCTTCTTAATAGTTGGTTCATGTGATATTCTACCTTCGCCCACTGTTTCACAATCTAATCGATGCAGTTTTTCTTGTACCTCCTCATATACGTCTGAATGGTAATTGCATTTGCAGTAACCGCGTACAATGTATATAAAGTTTTCTTCGCTTTGTTATCTATCATATAATTTAATAGGGATATATTTAAATACCCCAGATGGATCTATACCTATCTACTGGAGGCACATTCGCCAATGAAGATGATGCCATTGTTTTGATGGTTTATAGCGAAATTAGACTTGCATCACACCACCATATTAAAATTATATTTTTTAAAAGTGATTGACTTGAAACTACCATTGAAATTTGAAAAATATGATGACGTTACACTATGTCAATTTTTCAATCTGATTAATTTATTTGTGTAATTGTAACATCGACGAAACACTTTTCCACAGCAGCGCAGCATACTGATATGCTTTTCAATGGATGAACCTTATACGCAGGAGTGCTGGGGGCAGTGCAGTATAATCTTATCCCATCAAAAACATAAGCCTAAGGTCTAACTTGGCTAGTTTTCATATACGAAATATACTGTAGCCTTCGCAAGTTCTAAACATGTTACTTGTCGGTTCCTATTTTAATATTAATAGTAACTAGCAATCGAAAGTAATAATTGGTATATGAGAACTGGCCAAGTTAGACCTTAGGCTACAGTATATTATCCTAAGTTATAAGAAGAAATGATATTTTATATTGTTATAAATACATTTCAGGACAGACCATTGAACTTGGCACCCATTTAGATCTCATCTCTTTTGTCGTAGAAGTCTACAATCAAGCCATATATCATAATATTAAACTCGGCTATCATTTCACATTTATGTTTTTGATGGGATATCATTACTTTTTGTACATAAATTATACGAGGTACTTATTTATAACTAAATTAATACCAAATTATTTTTAATAAATTACTGTATTTTCGTATATTTACGGGGTATAATTGTCTTTTTTTTGTGTTATTTTCTATATTTTCTTGTAACTTTTAAATGTTCAAGTGCATTGCCAATTCAGTATCAGGAATTTTTGGGCAAATCGGGGCGGTATAACGTCCACAGATGGTTGTACTCTACAATAGAGCTCTCGTGACTTGGATCTAAATTGTTAAGACGTACTCCATCTAAGGTTTTAACTCTGGAGAGCACAACGTAAACCTGCCCTTTATTAAATATAGAGGAACCTATGTTGAGAAGAGGACTGCCAAAACTAAGGCCTTGTGATTTGTGGATAGTAATAGCATATGTTAAGCAAATACGGAATTGTTCTCTATCAACATATACATTATTTAATATCTGAAACTTCGTATTGACACGTTATAGTTCCTAAAGACGATTATGTAACAAATTGACTGTTATCTATTGAATTCTCAAGAAAACAATTTGTTACCAATAAGTTCTTATTCTCGAGTTAACTATACATTCCTACTTATAACTATACTAAAATTGTTATTAATTTTTGGTTTAAACTATTGTCTATACCATACGTATTTACTAAAATAATGTAATAATAATATAATCACAAATATATAAGTATAATTTAAGAAAGCTATAAATTTCGTAGCATAAATCGCAACCTTATAGGATAGATATCCAGAAACAAAACATTGAGTTTTATCGCACCGCTCCCACACGGCGCCACCGCGGCGCCCTATACCGAAATGCCTATTATTTAATAATTATTTATAAAAATAATGATTTTACACTATCGATGTGCGCTAAATATTGAAACAATAATTAATACCAAATCTCAGTTAATAACATAATAAATACGAAATTCGACTATACTCCTAGTTATAAGTACGAGTATATTTTAGACAGAATCTAAATTATAGCAACTAGTGTTTACCGCTCAATGCAATATTTGAAGTTTGCTAGTTATCGACACTGATGTGAAGGGGTCAACGTAAATTGGTAATGATCGACGTTTTCATACAATATTACTTTCCGTCCAGTACAAGATGAGATTTTTCGCCAGGGATCAATGTCAATTGGTGGCTATCGACGTTTTCATAGAATTTTAGTATTCGTCCAGTATAAGTTGAAATAGAATCAATTAAAGTGAAAAATTGTAGTAAAATGATAATTACCTATCTGCATACCAAATTTGAACTTCCTAGGTCATCTGGAAGTGGGTTATAATTTTGATCTATAGTTGATCAGTGATAAAAATGACGATTTTTGGACATTAATATCTAAATAACCGTTTGAGATATGTTTATGAAATTTGGAACACATATTTATCTCGCAAGTCTCAATATATGAACCAAATTTGACAGGTTTGTGTGAAAGAGTTTTTGAGTTATGAGGGGGTCAAAAGTGGCTCCAAATGGTTCGTGTAAATATACACACGGTGCTGCAAGCCAGTTTACTTGAAACTCGGCTTGACACGCTGCCGCGTGTCTAGATATATAAAATTCTCGTGTCACAGTTTTCGTTCCCATACTCCTCCGAAACGGCTTGACCGATTCTCATGAAATTTTGTGAGCGTATTGAGTAGATCTGAGAATCGGCCAACATCTATTTTTCATCCCCCTAAATGTTAGGGGTAGTCCACCCCTAAATTTTTATTTTTATTTTAAGGCAAAACAACATTTGCCGGGACAGCTAGTATAATAAATAAGTCAGATCCGTTAGCCCTTCACAGTGAATGCACCAAGTAATAACTACAATGGTTTTCAGGCGGGACCGCGTGGAGGTCGATATGATAAGGTTTAATAATTAACAGCAACTGGGGGGAAGGGGATTGTTAGTAATGTGGATTGATAACCCCATTGCTAGCAATATACCTTGTCAGGTCGACCTCCACGCGGTTCCCCCTGGAAACCATCGTGTTTAATTCCTGGTGAATTAGTCACGATGGGCTAACTGACCTGACCTCATGCTCATCTTATCATCCTCCACTGGTGCCCCGCCAGCGTAAACCGTTAGCGCAGGCGGGTGCACCATTCCATTATCATCCACAAAAAAAAAAATTAACAGCAACTGCTTTTTATATCCTCCATCGTTGCATATACCATTTTTAATGGTACTGTGCTAGCGATGTACGCTGGCTGGACATCTGTGGAAGATGACAGATCGGGCATGAAAGTCGTGTTTGACTTGGACCTTCAAATAATATATATACAAACAAAACCAATCAAACTATTTTTATGATATGTCTGCAACGCACACGTGACGACACCAGGGGTGGTGTCATAAGTTTCCGTAGGCTATGACATCAGATGGGCCTTATGCTTGTATGCCAACATAGTCAAATTTACTTTTGTCGGTCTGGTATATTCGATACCAGATGGCGTTAATTACTTTATTCTTAATTGCTCTTTGTCCACACTCGGTACAGCTTAAAAAAATATTTTAGGCGATGTTCTTGTTTTGTTACTTATTACTATACATATATATATATTTAAACGTTCATAAAATAATAAGTGTCATATGTCACAACAAATTGATTTATGTGTACGTAGGTACATGTCATTGAGAAGATTATTAATAATCAATTTAATATTATTATTACTTATCCTTATAAGTGTTTGGAGTTTTTTCCAAATAAGATGGGACCTAAAAAAGTCAAAGAAATGTTCAATGAAAATTCCTGGCGTACGTCAATAGAAGAAGCTCCCCTAGACAGTGATACTTGGAAAGTTAAAGTAATTGTTATAGAAGCTGCTGGTAGTGACCAGGATAGAATTTATTTGAATAAATTTGAAATATTTGCAGCTGAAGAAAAAAGATTTGTTATTAAAAATATTTGTAAAACTGAAACTACTTTCATGGTTAATCAGTTAGGAGGAGAAAAGAAAGTGAAAGATGATAATTTAAGAGTTTTTGAGGAGGGACAGTCATTCCTTAAGGATAAAAAGGATATACCTCCGGATATTCAAGCACTGATTATTAAACATCTTATATTAAAGATGAAAGACGAATATTTATTCATTAAACGCCAGAGGTTAGAAGTTAAAGAAGGAATGAAAAGAGAATCGTCAACTATGATTGATAAAACCGAAGTAAGAGGCACTATTAGTGAAAAACCCTCGCAACCTATAGATCTTCCACCCCCTCCAAAGGGAAAAGAAAAGAAAGGAGAACGTGAACCCAGTGACCAAACACCGGAACCAACTGAGGGGAAAAAATATAATACTTTGCTAAGGGTAAGAGGTGAAGAATGGCGGGATAAAGTTTATGTTGATGACTATCCCACTGATGGCCCAAACCTTTATGTTGCTGTTACGGGGTTTGTTGACCCGTATTTACCAAGTTGTCTCATAAAAATTGGAATACCCTTGACGGCCATAGTCCAGATTAGAATTGACCCTACTGTAGCCAAAGTTCCTTCAAGCTTGTTTCGTTCTACGAAAAGAGGTCAAAGTCAAACTGAAATATTGACAGAGAAGTCATTAAATTTTTGGGAGGATTTGCAGCAACTGCGCATTAATATAAGTTCTGCAAATGACTTTAAAAATACCGCTTTTATTGTATTCACTCCTCCATATTGGAATACTGAAAATCTCTCTGGCAACCCTGATAAAATATATGATGAATTATGTTATCTAATGTACGACATTCAGGATTTGTCAAGACAACATATTAATTATTTACAAAATATGGATGTTATAAATATACCCAAAGACAAAGAGGACGAGCGTTATAAAAAATGTTATCAGCACCTTATTAATGACTTGCCTTTAGAATCTATTACTATATATTCTGTATTAGACAGTATACTTCAATCAGTATCTAAATACCAAGAACTTATTGAGAAAAGCAGCAAAAGTTCTTTATCTACTGCTTTGACATTAAATGATGTGAATACTAGTAATAAAAGAGCAGAAAAAGCAGAAATACTAGTGAAAGATGTTTTTAATAATCTTTGTAAAACTGAATCTGATAAAAAATCTTATCGCATTACCTACGGAGAAGAATATGAGAATCATAGAGATCCTATAATTATTAATTATGGCGATTTCGCCAAGGAAACTACTTTTCACTTGGGAAACATTAACTTGGACAATATAATATGGTCATCTTTATTTGGTATGCCCATCAACAATTTATGGAAAAATCAATATGCACCGCAAGGTGAGATAGAAGCTAAAATAAGTTTTCATATAAATGTGTTATTATCTTGCTTTGATAGGGTGGATCTGGAAACCGCCGAATTAAACAGACTAATTCATATATTGTCTTGTAGAAAATTGTATAATAATAGAAGTTCATTAAAAAAGCGCCACTTGCCTTCTTCGACTATTTCTGATTTTAAAAAAGTTTATTTAAAACGCAGTGTTTTTGCTACACCTTTGTCAAAAAGGCATTCAACTCTTCAGAACTCCAGCACTACTACAGCACCATCTTTTCCTTCTATAACTAAAAATGAAAATATTTTAAGTGTACCTTACCCTTACGAATCAGAAATACGACGTATTAAACGTCTGTTTGACTGCCCTGATCTTAGTGAATTAGTTTCTGCTGCAGAAATTGCTAATAATAAACCATTTAATCATATTATTGATGATTATGAATTTTTTGAAGACTTCTCTGGAATAAATGCTTTTCAAATAATGCTAGATGCTTTTAATAAATACAATTGTGTTGATTATAAATATTGTGAATTAACAGACTCTATTGTATTAATGTTCTATAACAGTCACGATAAAGATAGTATTGCGCGTGAGGAATGGCGTAGTCATTTGCCAACGCCGCTGTGCTTACAGGATTTCTTCGATTTTGTGCTTGAAGAACACTATGATTGGATACAAAAAGAAGAACAACTTTATGATGAACATATGGTATTGAAAACTCAATCTATTTATAAAGATTTAATTAATCCATTTTCTTTTAAATCGTGCGTAGCTGATAACGAAGTAGAAATGGAACTTTTAATAGAAGGGTCTTTGAAATATCAGGATGTTTCCCAAATTGAACTTACTCCGGAGTCCACCGAAACCAAGTTTACTAGTTCCAAAAAGACTACTACTATATCTCCATCATCTACACAACCGGATTCCAAAAGTAGTAGAAAAACAAAGTCATCCAGTCCATCTACAGCGAAGCATTTACGGCAGTCATTTTTAACATGTCTAACCGATTCTGCAGATTCTACTGAAATACCTAAAAAATCATTTACTGGATACAATTTAGGCGAAAGGAGAGTAGAGGTTGTAGGTAGAGATTCGACTTTCTTTTCAAAAGATGGTACTCGTGTTTCTAGTTATTATACTCTAATAATACCGAGTAATTCAGAATACATAATTTTAAAATTAATTCCTGGCAATGGTAAAAATGAATTTTGGTTTCATAGGGCAATAGGAGAGTATGTTACTCCAGAAATTCGTGATATTTGTGAATCATTTAGAATAACAAGTAAGGATAAAGTTATGATAAATATAACAAAACAGTCATATCAAGTACCATTACCTACACTTTCTATATCCACCACAGAAACTCCTAAATATAAGGAACGGACATTAAAGGTTACATCAGATAAATTAAATACTTTAAGGCCAATATACGAAACAAGATGTTTTCATTCCTTTTACTTTACTTTGCCAAATGGGCTTATTACAGAAAGTATATATGAAAAAAATTCTCTTCTTCTTTCTCACATTAAGCAATATTACGTAATCTCTTTGCCCCATATCGATGAAAACATGCGATGTATAAGTTTAAACGGCGAAGTAATAATTTTTAGGAAATCAGGGGAAATTGAAGTGCTTCGTCCTGATAGTTCTTATATTAAAATCACGAAATACGAATCCAAGATTGTTACAACTGATGTTATTAACGATATTCATAGTGAAACTAGTTCCGATAAAAGTAAAAAAGGAAAAAGTAAAGATAAAACTAAAGAAAAACCTAGTAAAACTTCCTCAAAAGCTTCAAGAAATGATTTATCTGATGACGATAAAATTTCGGAAATAAGGTCACCTGAAATTGAGTTAAATATTGAGGAATTTGAATATATTTCTGCAAATGGACTAAGGCAAAAATGGATTAATGGTGTTGCATTTGATACTGAATGGTTACTAATCCGCACTGCTACAGATTATTGCTTAAGGGAGATATTCTCCAGACGAATGGATGGTACCAATATTTTACTTAACAAGGACGGGGTGCAGGTTGTAACTTTTCCTAATAATACAAGAATTATAACAACATATATTGTCGAAGATGAAGAGATTTATCCTGAATGGACAAAAGAAGAAATGGAATATTTTGATTTATTTGATATTGATACAATTGAAACCGATACAATAAAGTCGAAAATGTCAATATCACAGAAAAGCTATTTAGGTAACTACAATTATAATTCAAGCGTTGCTAGTTCTATGTCAAGAAAAGTGGAAGAAGAGGATATAAATGAGAATGGACGATCAGATGGATATATATCTGTCCATATTATTATTACAATCGAGCACACTAATTTTACTACTGTGACTATAAATAAAGAAAATAATAAAGTTTCTGTTTATTCCCCTGATGGTACAAAAGTAGCTGTAGATACTCTTAATCATTATGACATGTCATTAGACAAAGCAACTTCTGCTAAATTTGATGGACATAATTTAAGTGTAAATTATGAAGCATGTAACGAATGTCAATCAAATACAACCTGCACAATTAAAGTGAATTCTTATGATAAGAGTAGTGTTACAAAAATTCATCAAAATTGGCTAAAAATGACAGACTCTTTTTTAAAAAAAATTGTAGTTAATGAAGAAGGAAATATAAATATTATTGACGAATCATGTTCTAAAGAACTGTTGAAAACGGAGGAAGTAGCAATTGATGATGACATAGTGGGCCAAACTGAATATGTTTGTGACAAATCTACCGATTTAAAGTCTGAAACTTCTGTTGCATCGCATGCAAAATGTCGAGAAATGTACATAGCCAAAACAATGAAATTTTTTATTCTTCAGCGGTACGTCGATTGATTTAGTTGACCATTAGATATCAGTTTTTTATAAATTTTAGTATATATAATAATTTTTGTATAGGGATCTATCGTGTTCTGAATTAGTACATAGAGCTTTATTGGACGAGTACAAGCAATCTTGTCGATGGCAGCCGTGGTGTTCCATTAATCAATATGATACGTTTGGTGACCATCGAAGGCTGCTTACTATTTTGACACCGGTTCATGTAACGGAAACTGAGGTTTGAGCTTTATTAATTGTAATATTACACTGTACTTGCACATCTTGATTTTTTTACGCTAAGTCTATTATTAGTCACTTTTGTGCTTTCTATAGCGCGTAAAACCACAGTATTTTATAAAACAGCGAGGAGAAACAAGCGTTCGACCATAATGTTGTTTATAAGACTATAGCTTATAAACAACATTAAAATATATAAAAACTCACTTAGTTTTCATAAATTTTATCTGATTGTGCGCGGGTAGGTACACTTTTCTCAGAGATGTGTGTACCGATATAAATGCGATTTTCACTAGTGTTAAGGAGTAGCTAATATTTGTTTGGCCACAATCAGTTATAAACGTAAAATAGTTATAATCCATTGTTATTCAGACTACTAGGAACGCATTACATATGATATATGGCTTGTAGCTAGGTTAGAAAATAAATAAATATTAGTTATTGAACAATAGTGGGTACCTAAATCATATTAGCTCGCATTTTTATGAAGAATAAGAATTTCTCTAAGAATAATGTACAGAGTATAGTAGACGATTATCAGGTATATTATCTCAAAAGATTTCACACAGGCCCATCTAATCCGAAGACAAGCACGAGTGTCTTATGTACTAGACAACTGATATAAATACATAGATATATTTTTTCTGTAAATACATAATATACATAGAAAACAACCAGACTCATAGTAAAAATGACATTCATGAATACAAATGTCTGTAGGTACTGTGCGAGGAATCAAACCCGCAACAATCGGAAGTAAGGCGGTGTGCTAAACCGCGAGAGTACTGCCACTCGTTGAATATGTTTCACACAATCCCGTCCATCTTTTCCTCCTCTGAACATATTTTACTGTCCTAGGAGAGTAAAATATGTTGGTCGATGAAGACCAGTGGTAGACAGACAGAGAGAACATACCTCGTAGACCCTTATTAATGAGACAAAGGCAAGCCAGTAATTCGGACTTGACTTAGATATCTACACGTTTGTGATACACTGAAATTCGTACAATTTAAATCAGAAATTACTTTTGCTTTATTCGAAACATATTTTTAACCTAGAATCAGCTTGGATAGGTATATCTAATACCTACCTAACTAGTAACTGTAACTGTACATAATACCTACAAATTTTCACTTTTACATTATTATTTTTAACTATTTTAATATTGAATTTAGTATGCCTATTTGTTGAGTTTATTACTTACTAGCTGACCCACGTTACTACATTTGCGTTATATTTTTCCGTTTCTCAACATTTTTCATTGTAGCTCCGCTCCAAATGGTTGTAGCGTGATGTTATCTTACACGTGTCGTATCTTAAACCTATGGGTGTAGACTTAATAACGATCGGAATTTGATCGCCATTAGAGAAGGTCGTAACGATAGTCAAGTTTCCACGCTGAATGATTGTGGTCTCACACATAGATACTAATAATAATATAAATCCATTAAGTACGTAGTGAATGAACTTCCGGAATTGCGATTATAATATTATTACATTAATAAGATAAAATTAATAATAGAAATGGTTAATGGACTCGAAATTTGCCGATAAGCCGAAATACCTAATATACAAGGACTTAAGAAAAGACACCGGAAAGGATTTCTACCATTGGATGCGCCCATATGAAAGATGCCAACCAAAACCTAAGAAACCGGATAACGTGATACCATCGAGGTTACCTAAAGCGTTTGTGTTAAGGTATGTGGTTGTATTTTATTTATTCAGTACCTATGTATCCCTGTTTTTACAGTTTTTTTATAGAATAGTGAGCCAGGAGGTAAATTGTCGGTCTATTAAGAATGGATGGGTGGAAGGAAGTTAGGAAAGGTATAGAAGGGAGTAGGGATGAGGTTGGGCGTTCGGTACCTCGACTCACCATGCAAAACAGGATTATGATTAACGTCGGTATTCTGAAGAAGGTGGGGGTGGGATATATCCCGGTTCGGCTGGCTTATTCGTGTTTCACAACCAGGCGTGGTCAAACAGCGTGCTCTAGAAGATGATGAGGTAATGGTGACTTTGCATACACTAATTATATATGCTTCGGGGCATACGAGGGATAAACATACACCGGTCAGTTAGCTTAGATATGCTAAAAATGAACCAAGTAGGTATAGGGTGTTAACTAACTAAACATTTTTTTTCTGAACTCCAAATTCATATACAATGTACATATTTAAATACGATAGAATATATACAGTTTAGAAATCCTGTGTTATTGCTTATGCTATTTAATAAATAAAAGTGTAGATATGTAGTGTAGGTATACTACTTTTATCGTATCTATATATCCTTTACGATTAATCCTGTGTACACAGCTAGTAGACGGTGTACACCATTCACTAGTCATATCATATATTCTTTCTTTATTTTCTTACTTAACATCTAGATATAACTTATGAAGTAGTTATCTAACTATATTACAGTATCCTAAGTACCTTTATAGGACTCTCGAACAGCAATGGAGAGAAGAGGAGAGAGAAAATTTAAAGGGTGCAAAGGAATTACTGCACGCGATACTGCGATATCGTCATCTCATAGAGTCTGATAGCGAGACTATACTTAATATCCCTATACTAGACCCACGACCTGAGGACGAACGTCGTACGGACTATATCGTACAAGCTCTGGCGCACAGGTAAAGCAACCATATCAATTCTTTGTCTGCAAATATTTATCTATTTTTTTTTTATATATAAATATGAAATGGTATCGTACCCGCCGCACCGCTTGTCATAATAATATGTTTAGGTACTCCAACGGGGCACTAGAGAATGATGATATAACAAAGATAATGTCAGATCAATTTGCCCACGGTGCCCATTTTACTAAGAATTCATTAAGATGTTTTCCAATGATTCCCTTGATAATCGACCGATGGCCTATCGACCTGACCCGGAGTTCACATTACTAATAATACTTACAAAATTACATAACTCTTCTAATACGATATACTTTCTGAATAATGCATCAATTTATTATATTATATTAGCAAATATGAATATGGCATAATAATAATTTTATTAACATTAAAACTAAAAAAAAGGGCCTGGGGATGTTCTCAGTACATATGTTAGTGCTTCTGGTTAAATTTCTAGCAACAGTCATCGATGTACCGATAGCCAGGTGTACCTAGAAGCAGTCCCCTGTGGATCCCATCATGGTTAATTTATATCATGATCGCCGTGATGAGCTAACAGAGTTAAAGCGTATTATAGAGACTTTAAGCATATCCTCAAGTAGTGCCTCCGGTAGCACAAACAATTAGTGCAGGGGGTGCGCTCTTTCATTATACATTATAAATCTAGAATGAAAAATAAGTAATCCATTCATGCCATTAAATTATAGAATATATGAAGATTTAAAAACACGTTTGGCAAAAGATGTTCAGAGCCGAGCTAAAGCTGATATTACGACGAATCCGTCCGCGGCGATTAATCAAATTTCAATCCAAGGAGATTTGGAAGAAGGTACATATTCCTTTAATATTATCATTAGACCTTAAGAAAAGCCTAATGAAGAAGAATTTAGCCTACTACTACCAAGTTGGCCAGTATATATCTTGGTGTAGAGATACGGCCTCGGTGGTCTAGCGGTTTAGCACACCACGTTACTACCGATGGTCGTGGATTCGATTCCTCGCACTGTGCAAATATTTATATTCATGGGTATGATTGTTTGCATCGGTCTGGGTTTCTATGTATTGTAGATATAATATACATGTATTTTTTGTGGTCTAGAACCCATAACACACGCTCCAGCTAGCTTAACTTGCGAGTACTTGCGACTATATGGAGCTGTATGAATTTTCCTGAGATATTATTATTGTACTTAGATATCTGGAACGTACGGCTTCAAAGGTACCTAAACAGTATAGTGTTCGCCTAAATAAGCGAATATTTTGGATTGCTGGCTGTTTGTTTGTTACTCCGGCTGTACCTTTAACAATGCCAGTTAAACAGATATTACAATTCATACGTAGTTTTATTCGGGTAGGTACCTATATATTAACGTGGTATTAGCGCAAAAAGGTTTTTATGTAGGTGTAGCAGGTAGATAGGTACGCACATGCGTAGGTAGGTATTTTTTTAGTTCTAAACCCGGAACCCTTATAGGATCATTTTGTTGTCCGTCTCTAGACCCCTTTTTCGGAGACGCTTAGAGCTATCCAGTAAATATAAATTAATTAGGATATAGATCACCATATATTCAAGTCTGTCTTGAAGAATGCGAGAAAATGGAATTTCGTGTATAAAACGGATACGAGCTTTTATACCGCCAAAAACTTATATTTCCACACTCTCGATGGCATAATTATGTAGCTATAAGTATCTTGCTCTGACAAAGAACGTACAAAAGTTGTTTTAATGAAAAAAAAAAATAATATAAAAGCAGCATATTTTTTTTAATAAATCACTAATAACAGGTTCTCCAGGCAAGGAACGTCGGGCAAAATTTTTAATAGAGTTACATAACAGTGTATTATGATACGGTTAACTCTATGTGGAATTGTGTGATAGAGCTCCATTTGCAGTTTATACATATTTTAAATTATTTTATTGAAGTATAGTTTTCGATTCATGATAAAGAATGAAAAAAACATTTTCTCTCTTTTATAGGTAGGTAAGTATATCTAAAAAGTTTGGTCTATGTAGTCTGTCCCTAAATCTTTAAAACTGCGTAACGAATTTTTAAACGGTTTTTTAAATAGATGAAGTGATTCAAGAGCAAGGTTTATATATATAATAATACATATAAACCTTACTCTTGTACAGCTGTGCGAAGCCGGGGCGAGTAGCTAATATTAATATAAAACAAAACGGCCGCTGTTGTCTATACGTTTAGATTTTTTAAACTACGCAACGACTTTTTAATCAGTTTACAGCAAGAGATAAAATATTTGCATGAGGAAGGTTTATGTATAATGCCTATTATAGTACAGAAAAGCCGATAAATTCAAAGATTTGTAATGTAAATTATTTATAGATTTGTTTGTGGACTCATTATACAATAGCAGCTTAAATATTTCAAATTTGTTGAGTACCTATCTTTTAGAGTTGATCCAAAAAAATATAATCATTCTTTTTTTAAATATATCTATAGATAATAGTATTATAAAGTACCTATTATATTATTGATATGATCTATAAGTTTTGGAAATACAATTTTTCCGAGTACCTCGGAAGAAAGTACGAGACTTAATTTCTGAAATAATTAGGTATACATCCTACTTATTTCCAAATGTGTACGGTAGGAGAGTCCGAATCGTAATTATTCTGTTTTATTTCTTATTTATGTTGACTTTTGTTCAGAAAGCACGGAAGAACTGAAGAGTTCAGAGGAAGAACGTGAAAATATGATGCGAGAGATAGAAAAAGCAGAAGAAATGAGTCCCAAACTGAAGAGATATTGGCGTCGCCGTGCCGAAGAGTACAGAGACGAACAGTTCTACCAGTATGTACTCAATCATTTATTCTATAATGACCGACTAATTTATGAATGCATTTCTTAAACCACTGCAATTAAAAACATGAAATTTCATACACACAAGTAACAAAATGCTGTCGTTCCTACGGAAATAGCAGATGAATCAAATCAACCAAAGATGTGGTAGAGAGTTATCTGAGTCATATGAATGTATGCTTCTGAGCAGGTTCATGACAAATATTTATATAAGGTTATCATATGGCATTATTAGATACTAATATATTGTTAAATAATTTTGGCCGAACTACCTATCTACTTATCAGTTATTTACTAGCAGTTACTCTCAGTGTAGCTCGTAACCTCTTAAAGCACTCTTACTTTACGTTAACTTTAATTAAGATATGAGCAGCTGTTTAGCTGTCAAATGCCACAAACAGATGGTCACGCATTCAGATTTATAATACATATTAAGTTCTGCATCTGCCTTAGATATATTTACTTTTTCTTTAATTTTGTTATTGTCAAATTATTATGTTTAGGTAATTACTTTGGCAGTAGAGGACAGATTTAAACTTAAATGAAATAATTTACCGATAAAGGCTATAACAGAAGAGCCGTACCTATGGGTGGACTGACTGCCGTTGAGTTGTACACCATTTTATCTCGATTAATAGCTCTTAATTTTATTATAAGCAGTGTAATAGTTCATTATTTTAGACAAATAAAGATGATTATAATTATCAGCTCATGTTTAACTTGATATGATCCAAGTAAGCGGTGCTGTTCATGTATCCTTCGTCTGGGTACATGAACAGCACCACGGAAATCACATGATCATATGTTTCCTGTGATACCAGTCATGCGTTGCCATTCCAGAAAACTAATAGACATAGGAAACACATCTTAGAAAGTAAGTTACTTGACGGCTGAATTAGGAGAGACACATACCTACCTATAGATCCCCAATTATAGAGATGCATGAAGAGATCGTGGTAAAAGTAATCAAGGATGTCATTCCTGCCCAATACCTCGATGACAGAACTATAGTGCATATCAACCTATGTGGCATCTTCATCATTGGTGGTCCAGAGTCTGACGCAGGGCTATGGGATCATAAAATCGTATCTACTACAATTTTCCGACCCAGTAAAATCGACCGTATGGTGGTTGGCCCACGGTGGGAACCCTTTTCTGGCAAAGATTTCACTAAAATTGATATATCCGCTGCCTACCCCGCTCACTGGGTCCCCAAGTCAGTCGTTAGCAGCCTAAGCTAGTCTCTGCGAGTCTTGCATGGTGCAGGTCGCATATTCAATTGAAGTGGTAGAGCCATCCGTCAATGTCTTCGTTAACTGCTACTAGGTACCTAGGTAATACCAGAGTTCAGCAGTTTAGTCATGTATTATAACGAAAACATACACCACAAACAGTGTCTCTGTTTGGTAACTTTACACGACGACATATAGACAGACTGACTTTCCATTTTATAATATTAGTATGGAAATTTGGATCTAACTTTACCTAATATTATAGGAACACTAACCACAAATCTGATGAATCTTCTCAAAACTTCCCTTGTTTTCAAACTTCTAACCTACCTGCCAGATCCACAACCGAGACTTCTGAAACAGCTAGAAACACTAAACGGTTTTGTTAGAACTAGAACAAATTCCAAAACACTCTTTAAATGTTTATGTAGGAAAGTAATATAAAGAATATAAAGTTTACTTTCTTAATGGAACACCTGTTTTCTATACCTAATTTAAAAGGCTAAACACTTACGTAGGTATTTCACTATTTATTCTTGAATTAGGGCAACTAAGTAGTTGTCTAAGCCCTTAGGTGTATCTAAGTCTTCCAGCTTTTAGCTACTACCGACCTACATATATCTAAGTATTTAGGTACTGTCATGTCTAGTATTTATTCCAGGGCTTTGTGGTATAGTGAGACAGTTTATAAGAGTGACAGTGATAAATTCTATAAAACTATTTCTCGGAATTGTTACTTTTCTTAGTTTTTTTTTATAGGTTAACTGTCGGCAATGTACTCGAACTGCAATACAGATTAAATTATCGTGTGACTCTCGTGATACCACTGATGCGTTGCTATTCCGGGCGTTTGCACTGTCATGCCCCGTTAGTTTAATTTCACTATCTTATATCAACTAGGTATACAATTAAATCAAAGTCTCCCAAAGTAAGCTTGGCGCTTGAAATACGAAATTGAGTAAGGCACTGACGCCGACGACTTCTGAAAAAGATTGATGAACAAGTTTTACAGTCGGGTTTTGCAAAAGTTATTCCTATACCGTTGTGTACTCTTTTATATTATTTTCGTCTCTTGCAGGTACCTCCTACGTGAAGGTAATGTGCCTCCGTACTTTCGAAATATCCTGGGAGGTGCGATTTGGTGGGAGATGAACAATGCCGCAAACGATGCAATGGCCCACGCCGAGCGACAAAAGTTGAAATGTATTTGTGCATCAAACGAAGGCACCTCAAAAGCTGATGAGTCAACTTCATAGTAATTTCTATAGAGCTATATTCTGTTTATTTTCAACGCGTGCAGTATCTATACAAAACGTGTAGGTAGGTGTTTCTTGTTTATTTTCAAGGACAGTTATTATAATTGTTTTTAACAGTAAAGAAATATAAAAGTCTACATAAATATCTTGAAAATTATACCTGTTTAGTGAATTTACTTTACGATAGATATACGCAGTTTAAGCACCAACAAGAGATGGTAATATGAGGATGAAATCATACTTATAACCAGTGACGTGCAGTAAAAGCATCGTGACGAATTATGGCAAATTAATTGCAATGTTTTCTAAAAGAGATCGCGTAAAAATAGACCTGGTAATACAGATATATAGGTAGTACCTACTAGAGGGGAATGGTAGATATTGTTAGTAATGTGGACTGATGAGTCCATAGATAGCAATGTACCGTGTAATCGTCGTATCGTCTCCCTATTTGGTTAGTATTAACTTTACATACTACTAACTTTAACTAGTCCTACGCACTTATAAGTAAGGTAGATATGTTGTTGTTATAATCAAAGTGTCACACATAGTTTGGTAATCACGCCTTTGTCTGGCTATCAATAACATGTGTGAGCCTATACTGGATGGTTCAACTCGAGATATTGCGTGATTTTCAGAATACTGTAAATAATTTCAGCCATTCGTGTTAGTGTCATGAGTAGGGAAGTATGATGTGGGTAATCACATGAATCTAGCGGCTAAGATCTTGTCGTTTGCAGAATAATCGGTTGCAGCCCATTGGTGTCTGCACATAGAGCGGTGTGGCCTCGCTCAACAGTTTGTGTATGAAACGAATGGCGGGAGAAGTGTTAACCAGCGAAGGCGAATTCGTCACTTGTTTTCCCCACCGCTTTTTCCGCTATGACGCTGTTAGCCAGTGATGAAGAAGCGCGGCGTGCGTCGCGATTGGTTCGAGCTACAGCCAATGTTAGTGTCGAATGAACGTCTGCCCTAAGCAGGAAAGGGACCGCATAGACGCCCGGACAGTCCGTCCCGGGCCCTTGCTAAGGACCGTGTTGTTGACGCGATTTGCATCTGTCGCAGATTGTTTGTCAACAAATGTGTTTATTTGTGCGTGCATGTGCAATTTGAACGGATATAGGCGACATATCACGTAATACAAAAGCCAGACTTTTCACGTAAGTAGTTTCTTGCAATGCAAACATAAGTATTGTTTCATGAATCCAATAAGAGATGGCGCTAGCTGTCTTATTGATGGTTGTGTCATTGAACTGTGGTGTAATATAATGATAATAAGAGGGAGTGTGCGTCGACCTTTATCAAAGTGTATGTATTTTTATTCATTATTCTGTTGCTAGAGACTATCGTATCAATATAAGTTACGTACTCTGGGTCATACAAGTCGAAACTAATTGAAAAGCAGATAATGTAGCGAAGTTATGCACGATTCTGTCACTTTTATCTCATCAGAACGGTAACATGTTCTCCGTCGAGCCACTTGACCGTCGCAACGTCGCCCGATTTATTATTATACTGTGTGAGCCAAACTTGTTATTTATCTATCTGTTTTATTGTTTTTAAGTTAATTATAAGAGTCATACCAAATCAGTCACAGTAGATGTCTAAAATAATAATAAATGTGATCCAATAATTATCCAATTTCTAGTTAGCCTTTTCGGGTAAGCTGCTTACTTACCTGCAAGTTTAATGTAAAGCAGGTTCTTACTTAGTAATAGAACCAGTTTCATTTGAAACTGGCTATGAACACTAAGACCACAATATGAATAGTTTTGCAAGTTACCTAGTAGATACCCATACCTGACTACTTTCATCTTATTAGAATAAGTATCTGATGCCAAAGTGGCTCAATTCTTGGTGAGGTCGCTTAGGAACGATATTAGAGTCAAAGCAATATCTATCTATATAAGATTTACAAAAACTTTCAAGACAATGAAATAGTACGAGTACCTATCTACCATCTGTAAACTGGCCAGGATATGTAGGAACATATAATTTGATTTCACTTCGATAGAATAATATTCATTGAAGCACTGCAACAATATTTTAAAATGGTTACCATTTTTGTAGTTTGAATTGATATAATGCACAGAAATGAACGTAATCAAAAATACTAGACGTGTCTTAAACTAATTTGATTTTGAAAAGACAATATCTAGTTATGTTTTGTCACATCTAAATTCGTACTGTACTTAGCGTTTATATGAGTAGGGTTTTTAAGGCATTGTCCAATACTAAACCACAAGAAGAATGTGGTGTTGTTATATTAGTAGACGGACAGATAAAAATGTTCTTATTTCGTCTAATGAGCTACGGAATTCCAAGAAGCTTCCTCCATTGCCTGATTATCTAATCACCCCTCGTTTCCTAACTAAAGTCTCTACATACATACGTAGCAAAAACTTACAATGACATTAATTATTAAAGTTTTAGTAACTGCGACTACACTAAGAAAAGAAGCAACCCATTGTTAGTGACCTATAACGAGATACAGTCGGCGGAAAAAGTGAATGTAATATTTATTTTTATAAAGCACAAGCTAACCCGCGCAACGACGCGACGTCTGCTTCACTCACTTGACATTAATCATTATATTTCGCCCAATTTATATAATATGTTTTTAAATCATAGATGATCAACAAACATCCATCCATCCATACTCACATACTTTCAAGTTTATAATACTAGTATCCGAGATAAAGCCTAAAATGTTTATTGTGTGATGTTAGATTTTTCTAGTTGACTGTACAGGACATATCAAATAGACCACTTTATTCAGTGTAGACCTACCTGTATACTTTCTATAGTCCTATAAAAACTGAAGAATTGTTATTAAGTACCTATACATAGCATATCTAGTACTTATATCTAGCTAATAATTGTTACAACCGCGTGTGAACCTGTTGCATTGTTGTTACAATGTTGACTACTTCCATTACTTATCAATTACCTTCCAACTAATTGTACTCCTACTATCAAGCTTGATCAATTCTCAATGGTGATTTGTATGCAGGTAGGTATCCAATTTTTTATAGATAAATATTTTTATAACCTCAATAATGTTTGTAATTTAGATATGAGTGGAATACAAGATATAAAATGTATTAATAGATAATTTAGACTTGGGTTCGTTGAGAGGTCAAGAAGATCCTGACCGTGTCTCGGAGTGCCTTACAAACATAATTAATGAAACAAATATAATTAAGTACCGTAGTATATTGCTTCAAACAGAAATATTTTGATGGTCTATTCGCATTTATCCAAATCACTTCAGTTCCCTTGTTACCGGTGATAGAAGAGAGGATGCGGAAAAGTTCTGTGACAACAATATTAACCCTACAGCTACTAACTAACCTGAATAAGTGCTAAGACTATTGTTAGGACACAAAGCTTTATATAATACTATTATAGCTACCTGTCCCGGCGGATGTTCATGTATTATACATTTAAACTTTTCTCTTTAATCATTCTATATATTAAACAAAACTGTATTAAAAATTCATTGCGTAGTTTAAAAGATCAAAGCAAATAGACATAGGTATTTGGTTATTATTTGGGTTATTTGGCCGACCTGAATTGAATCCTTCAAGTAACTATTATGATTAAACTCTGTTTAATTGATTAGACTAATTTAACAACAGTAATACTCATAATATATATAATAGTAAAGATAACTGTAGTAATTACCAATTCCAAAAGGGGTACTCAATTCCTAACAATGTACTGAGAATGTGGAAGTTAATCTGACATGGTAACATGTCAGATTGACCTCCACATTCTCAGTACCCGCGGATCCCACTGGAAATCATTGTGATAGATTCCTAGTAAATGTGTCACGATGGGCTAACGGAGCTGACCTCATATTTATCTTATTATCCTCCACTGATACCCCCCAGCGAAAACCTTTAGCGCATGAGCGTGCATCATTCTATTAACATACATTAAAAAAATCCTAAATCACTATGAATGACTTGGAACTCAATAGAATCTTCAGTGGAATGATGAAGCCGAGTCTCCTTCACATTTGCAACAAAGTATATTATATGTAGATTATAAGGACTGCAAAAATGACTCTGCCACAATATTTATTGAGACGACGCAATTAAGTTAATGGCAAAGAATAGTAAAGAAAAAATGTAGGTTGCCTACAAAATGTTGATAATATTAAATGTTAATAAATTTAATAATTTTAGCTTACTTACCTATATAGATGAAGTACAAAATTCTCCTTTCTTTAGCAGAGAAGTTTCAGCAAAGGAGATATCTTTGAAATTCTACCTATCATTCCTATAATTCGAAGAAATTAGCTCATTAGTGTCCCACAAGCCATAACCTGGTAGATTTTTTAACCCCCTATCAATGTAGTCTCTTGTTAGATGAATTAGAACTCTCAAGTTCCATCTGAATGCTGCTTGAATTTCATTGCTGCCTTTTCGTATTTCCCATATCGAATGTGCGAACAAGAGGGAGGTTTCAACAGCTCTTTAGATCAAAGACCTGTTTACGTCGTGTTTCGAAATGACGCACGTTAGGTTCAAGCAACAACTTCACATAGTCAGGTGCTACCTGCATACACAAATGCATGCGAAGTCTTACTTTTAACGTGTCATTAAAATGCATAACCTACCTAAAATGCAGACATATGTCTGCAGAGTATCAAACAAGTCGTCAGGATAGTACTGTTACAGTTTAGTAGCATTTCTCATATTGGGACCACAATATCTCCTCATCTAGTGAATGTGTAATGTAACTTTTGTTGGACTCTACTTTCTGTATTTATCCATTCATATTCATTTAGCCGTATCTAGTTAATTAAGTTAAGTCAAAATTACTAATTAGTTTAAAAATACACGAATGTGTTTTTTTAAACTAATTATGTAATTCCTATTAGTAAAGCAGAAATACCTTATCAAATACCTCATATGCTATCTATATGCTCATAATTTCCACCATCGACGGGGATATGACACCGGCCAAAGTCGCCACTTTGCAGTTACCGTGTCATCTACTGAGCCACCACAGGTTGACGACCGCATGACCCTATTGTCTTATGGCGTC